TCTTTGAAAAAAAAAATCTTTAAAAATCGACGTTTATAGCCTCGATGGTCCTCGAAAAGAAAACATATTCCCTAAATATCCCCTATGGTCCTTGAAATATATCATTTCCTTGTCCTTGAAAGATAATCTTCAAGAATTCTCAATGTCCTTCATTTTTTTTAAATTCACGGTTAAAACTCTGAAGGTGTTTAGAATTTCTTTGGTCCTTGAAAAAATATATTGTTTAAAAATCCTCTATGGCTCTTGAATAAAATTCTTTAAAAATCCACGTTAATAGCCTCGATGGCTCTTGAAAAATAATCTTCAAAAATCCTCGATGTCCTTGATTTTTTTTAATTCCACGATTTAAGCTCTAAAGGTCTTTAGAACAAAATCTTTAAGAATCGAAGTTCATAATCTCGATGGTCATCGAAAAACACAGTATTTAAATATCCTCTATGGTCCTTATTCAAAAATCCTCGATATCCTTTAATTTTTTTAATTCACGATTAAAGCTCTGAAAGTCTTTGGAAAAAATCCTTAAAAATCGACGTTCATAGCCTCGATGGTCCTCGAAAAAAAAAACATATTCTTTAAATATCCCCTATGGTCCTTGAAATATATCATTTCCTTGTCCTTGAAAAATAATCTTCATGATTAAAGCTCTGAAGGCTTTTGGAAAAAAATCTTCAAAAATCGATGTTCATAGCATCGGTGGTCCTTGAAAAACATATTTTTTAAAAATCCTCTATGGCCCTTATAAAATATTTTTAAAAATCCACGATAATAGCCGCGATGGATCTTGGAAAATAATAAAAGATCCTCGATGTCCTTGTATATATTTTTTTTTAAATTCACGATAAAAGTATTCTAATATATTCTAAAAAATTCTTCGGGAAAATATTCTTCAGTATTCATTAAAAATCCCCGATGGCCCTTAAAAATATTCCTTATAAACCTCCGATTAAAGCCTTGAGAATTATGTTTCGAAAATTCACGATTATGGCATCGATGATCCTTGAGTAAAATTCTTTGAAAATCCAGCATTATAGTTGGATTATAGTTGCGTTGATCCTTGTAGAAAGAAACTTATTCTTTAAAAACCCACGACTGTAACTCCGATGATTCTTGAAACAATTTTTTTTATCCGCGATTATAGTCTGACATATTGGATATTTCTCTCTTTAAATTAGAGTTGACTTGAATTAAAATAGTTGTGTTAATACATTCTGAAAATATCATACACCACAATCCTTTAAAAAAATAAATAAAAAAAATCTACTACCAAAAATTATAATCCTACCCTCGTTACCATCATCAGCTAGGCTTAGTATTTTTTTATGACTGAAAAAAAAAACAACAACTCAAAAAAGCCATTTATGCCACCATCATTTATTCCCCATTTGCACTGCATTTTTGTTATTTGTTGCACTCTCGCCCGGTTGCTCGCGCTCATAATGGCCCAGAATGTCAGCTTCCATAAACAATAACAACAACAACATCCCAGCTTGTCGGGGGGCCAACTCAAATGAACTACCAGCGCGATGCAGTTGTGAAAAACCATAAACCTTTCAAAATACTCACTGCAACAACAACAACAACGCTAAATGGATATGTTGACAATTTAAATTTGTTGCCTACCATTTAGCGGAGAGTGAATGAATGACGGCGAAGCTGCTATGGGTCGCAAAACAAAAGCAACAGCAGCAGCAACAAAAGGTTAGCATAAAAAATTAAACACTCACAGATCGTTAGTTTAGAAAAATGGCAGAGCGATTTGCTAGGGGGTTGGCAACCGGGGGAAATTGTCCCATAGGAAGGGGATTTGGAAGGATAATAAAAACATTAAAGGATCATAATTATTTGTGGAAGGATTACCCCAACATAATTCAGACTTGACACATGATAACAATTAACCTAAATTCAAGTCGGAGTCGGCAATGGTGACAATGGATCTCCACACCGAGAATCGTGTTTTTTGTTTTTTTTTTTTTGAGAAATCTTTTCGGAGTACCTTCTGGAAGAACAATTTTTAATAAGTTCTGTCAAAAAATCTTGAGTTTTTAGAGACTCAAGTTTCTAGAGATTCAAGGATCTCCAGACGAAAGATCGTGATTTTTTCCGAGGGCATCTTTGCCGAAAACCGTCGATATGTGGACGGTAACTTGGAGCTTTTTAAGGACCTTACCACTGAGGATTGTGGGGTATTTTGAGAGATCTTTTCGGAGTACCTTCTGAAAGAAAACATTTCAATAAGTTCTGTCAAATAATCGTTGTATTTTAAGTTGTTTTTTAAAGGATTATTAGAGAATTATTTTAAGGATCTCCTTGCAGAAAATCGTTAACGGACCTTCTATTATTATGTCATAAATATTTTATTATTTATTATCAGACCATTAAGGACCGCCTGACAATAAATCGTGGACTTTTTTTTTAATTCCTTCTTACCGAAAATCATGGAATTTCTAAGAAATCATTTTCGAGGCCCTTCAACCTAAAAATTTGGATTTTTTAAGAAAATTGTTTCGGTGGTGTGCTGACCGAAATTTGTCAATTTTAACAATTGTATTTAAAGCATCGAAAATTGTCGAAAATTGTTTTAAAAGGAACGAAAATCGTGAAATGTTTTAAAAAATTTTCAAGGATATCCTGGCCGAAAGATTTAAAAAAGCAAGGACCTCCGCCGAAAATCGTGGAAATAAAATTAATTTGTACGACCTCTTGACAGAGTCGTTCATTTTCTATGCATTTTCAAGGCCGTTTTTAAGGATTTTTTTTTAAGATTATTTACAATTTTTTAAATTCAAGGACTGTAAAAATACATTTTCATTGTAAAAAGACCCTTATCCTTGCTGTTAAAAAAATAAGGACCTCATGACGAAAAGGTTTTTAACAAGAAGTCAATTTTTCTAAGATGTCCTAAAAGGTTAATTTTTTAAGAAAACATTTTTAGGTATTTTTGTTGAATATTGTTATTTTTTAGAAAATCTCTCCAAGGACCTTCCGAAAGAAACATTTCAGACTTCTTGACTGAACATCTTTACCTTTTAGGACCTCTTGAAAAAATGGACTTCCTGTGAAAAAAATCAAGGACCTCATGACCGAAAAGATTTTCAACAAGAAGTCCATTTTTCTAAGGATGACCTGAAAGGACCTTTCGAATTAAAAATTTCAGACCAAACATCTTTTTCAAGGACCTCTTGATCAAAATCGTGGACCTTCAGTCTTCTTGACCAAACATCTTTTTCAAACACATCTTGACACAAAATCGTGGATTTAAATAAAGATTTTGGAACTACGCGACAGAAAGTCGTTGACAAGGTCCTTTTAAATTAAGAACCGCTAACTGAAAATCTTGGATTCTTAAGCATTTTTCTAATATCTCCTTAATAATAGGTAATATAAAAAAAATCAACGATATTTTTTCAAGGATTTCCTAACCGAGAATCATAACGGAAATTTTTGAATTATTAAAGAAACTTTTTTTCAGACATCCTGACAGAAAGCCATAGATTTTTTAAGAATATGTTTAAGATTTCTATAAGTTTTACACCAGACCGAAAAAAAGTATCTCCTGACAGAATATCGTGGATTTTTTTAAATTTTTAAGAACACATAGACCGAAAATTGCTGATTAAAAAAAGTTAGGGCATACTGACCGAATATCTTGGACTTTTTTTAGAAAACCTTCTGATTGAAAATCCAGATTTTTATATATTTTTTTTCAAGGATCTCCTAACAGATATTCGTACATTTTTTGAAAAGGGACTTTCTGGTCGGTTTCATGTATTTCCCAGAAATTTTTCTTATAACAGAAAATCGTGATTTTTTTAACTGTTTATAGAAAATATGGCTGATTCTTTAAGAATTTTTTTTTAAATTGTTTTTCAAAGACTTTTTGACAAAAATCATAATTGTCTCTTATACTTTTTTAAAGAATATTCAGATCTGGATTTTTGAGAACTTTTTTTCTTGGGCCTTCAGATAGAAAGTCATGGATTATTTGCGAATATTTTAAAGATATATACGTTTCAGAGTCTTTCTTTATTTTTTTTTATACGAAAGAGTTTTTTCAAGAAGTTTTTCAAGGACCTCATGCCAAGAAATGTCACCTTTTTTACGAGGTCGTACTTTTAAGAACTTCCATGCCAAAGGTAGGAGATCTTCTCTTTTTAGGAGACTTCTGAAGGGTCTTCTTCATTCTGAAGGCCTCCAGGAGACCACCGATGGGTCTTCTTTATTTAAAAAAACCTTTTTAACATATATAAAAGACCTTTAAGGGGTCTTTTCTTCATGGGAAACTTATGAAGACCCTTCTATATGGAAGACAGCTAAATAGGCTTCTCTATATGGAAGACCTCTGAAGGGTCTTTTCTTCATAGAAGACCTTTTGAAAAGTTTTCTCTATATGCAATTCAATAATTTTTTGGGGAAAGAATGTAGGAATTTTTAAAATTGTTTTTAAGAATTCTCTCTGGAGAAAACCTCGTTATTTTTTAAATATTAGCAGCATTTCGCAAGTAACCCAGTCGCATATGCTCCTTATAATTGTACGTATATAAATGCTAATATGCTGTGGGTATATATCTGTCAGAACCCCGTTTGATAATTTTTATTTTTATTTTTCTGGGTAACTTATGATTTTATCCCCCCATGTGGAGACTTCTCAAAGGGTTTTCTGTCGATACGAGCCCTCTAAAGGCTCTTCCATTTATATAACCCTCTGAAGGCTTGTATTTCAGAATGTGTATAGTTGTTTTATGTATTCGTGTGTACAATTTTGTTTCCTATTCTGAATAATGTAATTTCTCTTTGGGGAAATGTTTGTGTTGCCAAAAAATATTAAATTTAATTACCCATTAAAATTGTTCGCAACTCCCACCTAGGTACTGTAGTTCAACTTCATTTTTATCACCCCAACCTTCATTCTTCTTCTTTTTTACAAAAAATCCAGTAAAACTTCGTTAATGATGTTGATTTTATTATAATTGAATTCTTTCTTTATCCACTTCTCTTTTCAGATCCTTTGAACACACACACACATACACGCCCATCCCAAAAAGAAAAAAAAACAGAATGTTGGACTTTTGGCTATAACAGTGTCATGTTGCCATGACCTTCATCGTCAAGGAGGAATAGCAACAGTGTAATTTGTAAATACTTACTACAACAACAACTACTACAACAACTGCAACTAATAACAACGAGTAGTCTCTTCCATTTACCCTCAGCAAAAAAAAAGAAACAACAAAAAACTCCCACACACCCAAAAAAAAAAAAACAAAATTACAAAAACAACGCAAACAAAATGGCATTCAGTTACGCCTGCCTTACACTGCAACGTGTAGTCCTACCAATTGTTTTGGTATTAGGTAAGTCCTTTATTTTTTTGGCTATGAATGTAATTTGAAAAGGGCATAAGGGTGAGAAGTCCTCTGAAGGGTAGGAGATCCTTAGAAAACCCCTAAAAGGGTTTCCTATCCTTAGAAGACTTCTGAAGGATGTTCTATCCGCAGAAGACCTTCGAAGGACAATGAAGGATAATTTCATAAAAGACATCTAGGAGGACTTCTATGGAAGAGAAGACCTATGAAAAACATCTGTATACTGTTTTCTAAGCAGAATACCTTTGAGGGATTTCTGTGGGGTCTTCTTTTTTTATAACACCTCGGGGTGATCTTTACTTTGTAGAAGACTTCTGAAGGATTTTATTTATTCAGAAGACCTCTGAAGGACACCATTAAAGGGTCTTCTCTTCATAGAAGACCTCTGAAGAGTCTTCTCTATATGGAAGACCTCTGAAGGGACTTCTCTATATGGAAGACCTGTGAATGTTTTTCTCTATAAGGAAGATCCCTGAAGTGTCTTTCCTACATGGAAGACTTTTTGAAGGCACTTCTATGTATGGAAGACCTCTTTAGGCTCTTCTCTATATGGAAGACCTCTAGAGACTCTTCCCTATATGAATGGTCTCTGGTGGGTCTTCTCTTAATGGAAGACATTTTAAAGGTCTTCTCTATAAAGAAAAATTCTGAAGGACATTCCCTATGTAGAAGACCTTTAAGGTGTCCTCGCTAAGACCTCCGAGAGGTCTTCTCTATGTAGAGGACCTTTAAGGGGTCTTCGCTATACAGAAGTCCTCTGAAAAGTCTTCTCTATTGAAAAAACCTCTAAAGTGTCTTCTCCATTTGGAAGACCCCTGAAGGGTCTGTTCTTTATAGGAATCTTCCGAAGGGTCTTCCCTATATAGAAGACCTCTGAAGTGTCTTCAATATAAAGAAGACCTCTGAAGACTCTTCTCTATTAAGAAGATCTCTGAGAGAGATCTCCTTTATGTAGAATGAGTCTTCTCTTTATAGAAGACCTTGGGAGGGTCTTCTCTTCATAGAAGACCTCTGAAGGTCTTCTGTATATAGAAGACCTCTAAAGGGTCTTTTCTATTTAGAAGACCTCTGAAGAAACTTCTCTGTATAGAAGACCTCTGAAAGGGTCTTGTCCATATAGAAGACCTCAGAAGGGTCTTCCCTATACAGAAGAACTCTTAAGAGTTTTCTGTAAATAGAAGACTTCTGAAGTGTCTTTTCTCTACAGGAGACTCCTGAATAGTACTCTCTATTAAGAAGACCTTTAAATGTTCTTCCCGTTATAAAAGACCTCTGATGCATCTTCTTACATGGACTTCTGAAGGGTCTCCTCCATTTAATAGACTTGTGAAGGATCTTCTCTATTTAGAAGACCTCTGATAGGTCTTCTCCATTTAGAAGGTCTCTGAACAGTCTTTCCCGTTATTGAAGACCTCCGGAGGCTCATCTCTAGTTAGAATATCTCTGATCGGTCTTCTCTTTATAGAAGACCTCTGAAAGGTCTTCTCTATGCAGGAGATTACCAAAGGTTCTTATATTTAGAGGCCATCTTAAGAGTCTCCTCTATTTGGAAGTCCTGTGAAGTGTCTTTCCTTTATTCGGAATACCTCTGAAGGGTCTACTAATATAGCAGAACCTGAAGAGTCTGCTTCATTTATCTAAAATATCCTTTTATGTATAAGGCATCTGAGAGGTCCTTGGAATCCATTCAGAGAATGTCATTCCTAATTTAAAACCTCTAATTAATTTGTCCCCTTCCGTTTTCTTACAGCTGCACTATATCGTCCTGTCGGTATATCCTTCGTATACCTGTTGATGTTCTTCGTGTCGCCGTTCATACCGGTGGCCACAAAACAGAACTTCAAGGGTTCTGTCACAGCGTATTTTATAATTCTTCTAGCGTTAAGTACCATACTCCTACTATGTCACATTGGACTGCAAGTTTCGATATTTGCCCTGCACATTGGGGATATGTTCGGGACGTGTAGCGTTACCGAACGACTGCTGAGGCACATTGGATTTATTGGTTTTCAAAATTTGAAGTAAGTACTTCCCAGATTCTCTGAAATGTAGTAATCCAATTTCTTTCATTTTCCGCAATTGCAGAGCCTTTGCCATTGTTGAATGGCTGGCCCCAGAAGTGGTGGTCTTCATCACCTCCCTTGTCGTGTACATAATCTCCAAAAAAATCACCCAAACTGTTGAGCCCCAATTGGAAACTGGGGATGTGGAGGTGGCGATACGTGAAAACGGTGGAGGAGGAGGAGGCAGTGAAAATCCGAATGAGGAAATCTCCAATGCCCTGGTCGAAGATGCACAAAGACAAAAACATGTTGTGGTGGCGGCGGCATCCTCATCATCTGCTGCGGCAACAGTCGACGATAATACCAAGCCAAATTTCGATGGACTGATAAAAATATGTAAGTATTTTGGCCTAACCTGAATCGAGGATTCCTCTATGGTCATGGTCATTTGAATGTTCTCCCCACCCAAAAAAAAGAACGACAGCAAAATAACTGCCAACCATTTAACAAATATCTTTCTCTTCCTCCCTTTTTACATTTTACAGCTCCCCTTTTCTGTTTGGCAACCCTTTTCTTTTCGGCCGTCCTGCGACCCAGTGTACCAGGTGGTTTTTATTTTTCAATATTCCTACTGTCGGGTCTGTACTGGGCAACGTTCCAAACATTGCAAAGGTAAGTTGGAAAAATAACCCGAAAATCTAACCTTCTTTCACTCCCTCTCTCTCCCTCTCTCCCTTCACCTGACCTAAAGTTGAACAAAGACAATATCCGTTGGCTGAGTGAATGAACGGATGTTAGTTTAGCAACAATAATAACAACAACAAGAAAAATTCAATTTATGTTAAAAGAAAAAACAACAAAAATAATAGGAAGAACGACAACAAGGATAGTTGTAGGACAATAGACTCCAAGGTAAATTTTGTAGAGGAGTAGCAAAACAAAAACGACAAAAATGTTTTGTTCTCTGGTATATTTGCTGTGAATGGGGGGTGGTATGGAAATTTTGGAAATTTTAATTTTAAGTGGCTATTTCACCATACAGAAGACCTTTCGGAAGCTTTTTATTGACACTAGATCTCTCAAAGGCCTTCTTTAAAAAGAACATCTATCAAGGGTCTTCAATGGACAGAAGATCTTCCAAAGCTACCTTATAGACAGTAGTCCTACCAAAAGCCTTCTATGGACAGCAGACCCGTTAAGGTATTATATAGACAGAGGTCTTACCAAAGGATCTCTCAAAGGTTCTCTATAAAAATAATATCTGTCAAGGGTCTTCCATGGATAGAATACCTTCCAAAGTTCTCCTATTGACATAAGTTCTACCAAAAGCCTTCTATGGGCAGCAGGCCCGTCAAAGGTATTATATAGACAGAGGACCTACCAAAGATCCTCTATAGACGAAAGACCCACGAAAAGTGAAGAAGATCTACGAAGGCCTTCTATAGACGGAAGGCTTACCTGAGGCCTTTTATGGACAGAGAGCCAACCATAGGCCTTTTATGAAAATAATACCTTCCAAAGATCTTCTTTAGATAGAAGACCTGGTAAGGGTCTTGCGTTGATAAAATACCTGTCGTTGGTCTTCTATAGACAGAACACCTGTCGATGGTCTTCTAAGTTCTGCCAAAGTATTTCTATTCACAGAACATCTACGAAAGGTCTTCTATAGACGGAGGACCTTCTTTTGATAGAAGACCTTCCAAAAGTCTTGTGCTGATAAAATACCTGCCGAAGGTCTTCTAAACACAGAAGTTCTGCCAACGTTTTTCTATTCACAGAACATCTACGAAAGGTCTTCTATAGACGGAGGACCTTCTTTAGACAGAAGACCTTCCAAAAGTCTTGTGTTGCTTAAATACCTGCCGAAGGTCTTCTATGGACAGAACACCTGCCGAAGGTCTTCTAAAGACAGAAATTCTGCCAAATGGACAGAACATATACAAAAGGTCTTCTATAGAAGGAGGACCTCTCAGAAGTTTTCTATGGACAGAAGACTTCTCAAAGGTCTTCTATAGACAGAAGAACCCTTTGAAGGTTTTATACAGACAGAATACCGGTCCAAGGTTTTCTTTAGACAGAAAACTTACCAAAGGTCTTCTATGGGAAAGTATCTCTCCAATGTCTTTTAAAAAATACCTTTCAAGGGTCTTCTATAGACAGAAGGTCTGTCAAAGGTTTTCTTTGGACGGAAGACCTGTTAAAGGTCTTCTATGGACAGAAGACTTGAAAAAGATATTTCAAAGTCCTTCTTTGGACAGATAGAAGACATCTCGAAGTTCTTCTATAGGCATAAGACCGGTCAGAGGTCTAATGTAGATAAATATACCTGTCAAAGGTCTTCTATGGACAGGAGACCTATCGAAGGTTTTCTTTGGACAGAATATATGGCAAAGGTCTTCTACGGACAGAAAATTTGAAGAAGAACTTTCAAAAGTCCATTGACAGAAGACCTGTCAAAAGTCTTCTATTGACTGAAGACCTGTCAAAGGTCTTCTATGTACAGCTGACTTTGGACATAACACCTGTCAAAGGTTCTCTCAAAGATTTTCTATAGACAGAAGACCGGTAAAAGAGCTTGTACAGATAGAGGAACGGTAAAGGTCTTCTATAAGACAGAAGACCGGTCAAAGGTCCTCCATGGACAGAAGACTTGAAAAAAATATTTCAAAGGTCTTCTTTGGACAGAAGACATACCAAAGATCTTGTATGGGCAGAATACCCTTCCAAAAAGTATTCTATAGACGAAAGACCCACCAAAGGTCTTCTATGGACAGAAGACCGATCAAAGGTCTTCAATAGAGAGAAGACCTTTCGAAGTTTTCCTATAAACAGAAGACTGGTCAAAGGCCTTCTATAAATAGAAGTTCGATCAAAAGTCTTCTATAGACAAAATACGAAATACTTCTGGACGAAATACATCCGGACGATAGACCTACCAAAGGTCTTCTATAGGCAGAAGATCTAAAAGTCTTATTTAGACCTCGGACGGTCTTCTATAAACCTACCAAAGATCTTCTATAGACAGAAGACATATCAAAGGTCTTGTATAGGCAGGCGACATAAAAAGTGTCTTCTACAGACAGAAAACCAAGCAAAGGTCTTCTACAGATTGGTGACCTCTCAAAGGTCTGTTATAGACACTAGACCTGTCCAAGGTTTTCCATAGACCGGAGTCTTTCAAAGGTCTTCTATATACAGAAGACATGTGAAATGTCTTTTATAGACAGTATTCCGGTCAACGATATTCTTTGGATATAAGAGGTCATCTTTGAACAGAAGACTTGTCAACGATTCTAAACAAGACCTCTCAAAAGTCTTCTATAGACAGAAGACTTGCCAAAGATCGTCTCTGGCCAGAAGACCTCCCAAAGTTCCTCTATTGACAGAAGGCTCGCCAAAGGTCTTCTATTTTCTTTGGACAGAAGACCAATCTCCTATGCACAGAAGACCTTTCAAAGGTTTTTCAAAACTCTTTTCTTGACAGAAGGTATACCTAGGTTCTTTTATAGTCCAAATAAATTTCAAAGGTTATTTGTAGCCTGAAGACCTGTCAAATGTCTTCTAAAGACTTACCACCTTTGGAAAATCTTCCGAGACAGATAATTTGTTAAATTTCGTCTAAATTCCATTTAGAAGTCTTCTGTAAAATTAAGAGAACTCGGGGTCTTCCCCAGATAGGAGACCCTTCAGATTTGTCTAACTCATCATACCACCCCTTTTGAAAATAATTCCCCCTAACAAAATCTTCCGAGACAGATAATCTGTCAAAGATTGTCTAAATTTCATTCAGGAGTCTTCTGTAAAATTAAGATAATTCGGGGATCTACTCCTGATAGGAGACCCTTCAGATGTGTCCAACTCATCATACCACCCCTTTTGAAAATAATTCCCCTTAACAAAATCTTCCGAGACAGATAATCTGTCAAAGATCGTCTAAATTTCGTTCAGGGTCTTCTGTAAAATTAAGATAATTCGGGAGTCTTCTCCTGATGGAATACCCTACAGAGCTGTCCAACTGATCACACCACCCCCTTTGAAAACAATTCCCCTTAACAAAACCCGTCCAACCCAATTACCACTGATATCTGTGATTTGTTTCTGTTAGTTTTCATTTTGGTACTCGTTTAGATATCTTTATTCTTTCCTCCCCCTCTTCCCTTCCTTCAGAACATCTATTTATCTATCCCGTTATTCTTATTTAATATATCTTTTTTTTCTCTTGGCTTCCGTTTTCATTTTCTGTTTTTTGTTTTTTTTTTTTTTTTTGTTCTTCTAGGAAATTTGCCATGTTATTACGTTTCGTTATGGTTGTCATTGTGGCCCATACCCTTTGTATTGTCGCCTATCAAACGCCATGGATGCAGGACCATTTGGAGAAGACAAGTTTAACAGCCAGGTAAGTTGATGTGTGTGTGTGTGTTTGTCTACATATTTTCAAGCTTGTATTATTAATGATATGCCTGCGAGCTGATGCTACTTTGTTGGCCAGCATTGGGGTTGGTAACTGATGGCCGAACAGCAGAAAAAAGACAAAGTGAACGATTTAGATTTAGTTGATTTATAGTTGATACGGTGATTTTGCTCTCCATTGTTCCGCAATGCAAGATGAGAGAGGGGGATTTTAAGTAGCTTGTTTTGTGGTTTTGATTTGAATGGCATACTTGGAATAACAAATGGACAGGAAATACTATTTAAACATCTGCAAATATGTCATTGAAAGTCCTTGATATTTGATTCAAAATCCCTAAAAATATTGTTAATAAAAGCTTGAATATATCCTAAAAATTTCCTATAAAGAATATTCGAATATATCCTTGACGGTTCTTGAAAGTTTATTTAAAACAAGTGAAAAACTGTAAAGCTGTAAACGGGCCGAACTTCTAATACCCTCCACCATTTGGAACGAATTTGGCAGTTTTCAAAAAAATAAAAAAAAAATCCCTTAAAAATTCTGTTAAAATCTTAAAAATGCCGAATGTAGTCGTTATATTAGGGTCTATACGAGGATGTGGACCTGCATCGGCAACTTTTGCCATAAGCCATTACAAATATTCAAATGCGAAACTAAAAAAAAGAGTCGGCGAATAATGTAAATAAAATCATAAAAATACCGAATATCGGGAACCGATATATGGGGGCTATACGAAGACGTGGACCTGCACGGACAATTTTCTGTCATAGGGTGTAGTATCCATTACGAACTTCAAATAGCAAATTTGAGACAATTCCGGTGAATAATGTCGCTTAAATCACCAAAATACCGAATATCGGGAGGTACTATTATATGCGGGCTATACCAAAACGTGGACCTGCACAGGGAATTTTCTTTCATAGGCTGTAGTATCCATTACGAACTTCAATTAAAAAATTTTAAGTAATTCAGGCGAATAATGTCGCTAAAATCATCAAAATACCGAATAGCGGGAGGTGCCGTTATATAGGGGCTATAGGAAGCCGTGGACCTGCATGGATACTTTTTTTGTCATAGGCTGTAGTATCCATTACGAACTTCATTTAAAAAATTTGAAGTAATTCCGGCGAATAATGTCGCTAAAATCATCAAAATACCGAATATCGGGAGGCTATACGCAGACGTGGACATACATGGCCTATTTTCAATACCAAAAGACCTGCTGACACTACCACTACTTTATTTCAATCGGAAGCTAGGGTGATCGACATCAAGAATATAAAGTGTGAGATTAAAAAACTGCAACCAACTTCAGACTGCTGTAATTTCTAAGCCACTCCTCCGACAGCTGTTGAAATTATTCCAGTGACAGCTCATTATATTGTTTACAAGCGTACAAAAGCATTTTGGCGAGAATTTTCCCGAAAAAAAAAATTAATCGTGATGGCATTCAAGCGGATTAGTGTGATTTCTTTATATTTGGCTGGAAAATCACAATGGGCTATCGCTAGAGCACTCCAGCATTTAAATGTGAATAAATCTTTTGTGCCTCGTATCATCGCTCGTTACCGTGATACTGGCGTAGCGTAGCCCGACGTCAAGGAAGTGGACGGAAGAAAACAGCAATATCAGCAGAAATGGTTCGAAAAGTACAGAAGCGACTTGATCGGAGCCAGCGTCGCAGTGACCGAAAAATGGTTCATGAGGTGAACATATCGCAATATTCCATTCGGCAAATATTGAAAAATGAGCTCAGGGTAAAGCCATAGAAATTCAAAAATGTGCAAGAACTTACACCGCAACTGAAAGAAAATAGACTCAAAAAAGCTAAAGAGTTGCTTCGCTTGGGCGAAAGTGTTAAACTGCCGAATTTGGGTTTCTGCGATGAGAAAACATTCGTTGTCCAGCAGTTTGTAAACAAACAAAATGATCGTGTTTACTTGCCAAAGAGGTCAGCTGAAGATGTGCACCTTCGTTTGGTTACCAGAACTCAAGCGCCGGCCATGGTGGTTGTGTGGGTTGCCATAACAGGCGATGTCGCTCTCCGCTCGTATTAATTGACCGTGGCACCAGAATAAATGCCGAACATTATCGCGAAAATATTCTGGAGGGTGTATTAAAGCCTTGGGCAGGAAAAACATTTTGGCCGCAGACCATGCAAATTCCAACAGGACTCAGCACGGGCCACCCAAGAATGGTTCCAAAATGACGTGCCTTGCTTTATTTCCAGCGCAAAATGACCAACAAAATCTGCGGATACCAATCCGTTAGACTATTGTGTCTGGAGGATTTTGGAAAGCAAGGTTGGCACTAAAAAATACCAAAGTGTCGATCACCTCAAGCAAGTGCTTTGCCGGGAATGGGTCAAAATACGGCAGAGCAACATTCGGGCAGAGTGTGACGGTTTCCTTGGCCATAATTCGGGCCAAAGGTGACCAATTCGAACAAATCTAAACTTTTCTAAATTTTTAAGCTTTTTCCGACATTTTTTTTGCTTTCAATCAATAAAATTTGGCGTTTGACTTTGTTGTAGTTTTTTATCTCACCCTGTATATACTCTTGATCAGCGTAAAATTCTAAGACGATTTAGCCCTGCCGGTCCGTCCGTCTGTTGAAATCACGATAAAGTAAAAACGAATTAAAATTGGAACCTATAATTTTGCACAGATCACCAGACAGATTTTGCAGGCAGGTATAGTTCGAAAATGTGCTATATCGGTCCACGATATGGTATGACCCCCATATAACGGTATCTCCCGATACTCGGTATTTTGATGATTTTTGTCACATTTTTCAATGGCATTGTCTGAAATTCTACACAAGGAGTTCTCTGTGAGTACTTTACGCCCTGAAAGATAATTTTTTATATAGGTCCACAAAATCGTATAGCCCCCATACAATGATGACCTCCGATATTCGGTATTTTGACGATTTTACCCACATTTTTCAATGGAATAGTCTGAAAATCCACACAAGGAGTTCTCTCTGAGTACCTTACCCGTTGGAAGAGATTTGTTTACATAGGTCTACGTTTTAGTATAGCACCCACATAACGCCACCCAGAGATATTCGGTATTTTCAGGATTTTCGCGACAGTATTCACCGGAATCGCGTCAAATTTTGTATTTGAAGTTCGTGATGAGTACTGCAATTTATGACGGAAAATTTTTTCTGCAGGTCCACGTCTTATTTTAGCCCCCATGCAACGGTACCTCCCTTTATTCGGCATTTCTATGATTTGTGCGATATTATTCACCGGAATTGTTTCGAATTTCGTATTTAAAGTTCGGAATCATTACTACAGCCTATGACAGAAAATTATTTATCCAGCACCGCGTCTTCTTATAGCCTACATATAAAGGGTTTTATTTGAGCGGTATTTTTCGACGGAATTAATTTTTTATTTATTACATTTTAAAAGTTCCTTCCAATTGGTGGAGGGTATAAAAAGTTCGGCCCGGCCGAACTTAGCTGCTTGTTTACTTGTTTTAATTAACCACGTTTGTTGGATCGTCTTTCAAAAATGTTTTCAAAAAATGCAAGTTTCTTTAATATTCCTTAAAAAAAATATTTAAAAAATCCATTTAATTTCGATTCCAGATTAATTGGCCTGGAACCTCTCATCACATCCAAATGTGCCGATGACATCCGAATCATTGTCTACAACACGGAATACAAAGCGGATTCATTTTTGAATCCGATTGTGTTATTCTTTACCTATTATGCATTAGCCCTAACCACCAAGAATCTCATTAAAATAAGGGTAAGTTTCAAAATCTGATTTATTTTTTTTTAACTTTTTTCAAAAATTTCCCCTTTTGGATTTCAAATGATTTCAAATTAAAAAAAATTCAAATCATAACTAAAATTCAATTCTTTATAAATAATCATAACAAAAATTTCCTTCTTTTTCTAACCAGAAGTACATAAAAAACAAATTTGTAATTTACAGAAATTTTTTCTCAACTGACTAACCAAAAAAATCTCTTTTCAAAAATCATATTTCTTCTATTCCCCAATTTTTATTTAATTTTTCTAAAAAAATAAATAAAATTGCTGCTTGCATATGGTCTGGCTTTAACCTAAACTTTTTACTAAACGACTAAAACTGGACACGGTTTTCAATAAAAAAATATCAACATTTTAACTAAAATAAAAAAATAACTAAAAAAATAACAGATAATAACAAAACAAGCCACCGCTTTTGGCCAAGATCTCGATAACAACAGTAGCCATAAGATACAGCGTCAAATCTCGCTAATAACTCAGTCGACGCGCAGTAGCAAACGCGATGGTGGTAGTCGAATGAGAACACAGCGTCTCCATGTAAGATTTTCATGTCAATACAAAATTAATTTTTTTTACAAAACTTCCCCGAGGTTGATTTTTTGATTTTAATATTTTTTTTTTGATTTTTTTTACTTTGGGTTTTGTGAGGTTTTGATATTTTTCAACAAGGTGAAATGTTGTAAAAAAAGGTTTTTGTGAGAAAATAAATATTTTTGTACATTGAGTGAATGCGTTTCCATGTCTGGAAATTAAAATCCGGAAATGAAGATCTTGTACAAAATGTCATCGTTCTTATTGATATATATTTTAATATTTTTGTTTTTCTTTTTTTTTTTTTTTTGTTCAGAAAACTTGACAATATTTAACAAACCAAAACAGTTTAAATACCCTTATGATAATGGTATAAATGAAAATTTTAATTAAAAATTATTTCCTATCAATTAAATATATAAGAGATTAGTTATATTCCCTTTAATTTAAATGTATTTTAAAAATGAATGTCCCACTGGTTGTCTGTACATTTTCAGATCGTTGACAATATTTCCTCTTCGTTGGAAGAGGTGTCGTATAAGTGATGAAATTTCAACAATATGTTACTCATACGTCCCACATCACTCCACATTGTTGACTAGGATTTTTTATTTAATATTTTAATTCTCTTGCGAAATATAAACCAAAAGTATATCAACAATAAAAAAGTATTATTAGGGTGTGATGTTTGTGTTTCAGTATATTAGGGGGGATTTCATACATTAAAGTGTTTGGGTTTATTTATTTATTTATTTATTTTTTTTTTTTTGAAGAAATAGATTCAGTCCCCTGATTTTCTTGATAACAAAATCAAGCTAAGTCTTTGCGAAAGTTCCATGAAGAAATCTATCCCTTTGGAAATTATTTTTAAAATACACTTACCTTTAGATTTATCAAAAGTTGTAGAAAAATTCATTTTTAGCGTAAAAAATGTTTGTAAGAGGATAGTATCCTTGAAATTACTGGAAATACTCAGTTCAAAACAAATTTTAAAGATGAAAATTCAATATAATTTATAGTATTCACAATCCCTTTTTGGTCCTTCAGAAAGTTAGCGTTTGATATTCTCCGAAAAGATCCATGTAAGGTAGCAAAAAAAAAAAAAAAATATGATATGTCCTTCAACAATTCTCAAAATTTCCCAGATTTGATCCTCAATAAAAAAGTTAAAAAAAAATCACTACCTTCAGAAAATGCCTTACAAACCTATGAATTTCTGTTTTGAGATTTATTAGTCCTACAGGAATATGTAGAAAAAATCATACTAAGCTTTTCACAAAAATGTGTCTATTCAAACATAGTGTCATTGACTTCATCTAAAATGTGGTGGTTCTAAGCAGTTTTAAAAGTTATCATTCTTTGTGTTTCTGAAAATCCATTTTTTTTTTATTCGAAAACCCAACACTATATCATTTTCGGAAAAATCCATATAAACCATGGAAAAAATGAAGTTTGGTCCTTCAAAAAATTAGATCTTTTTTGTCCTGAATATTTTTATTTTAAATAAAATTTAAAAATAATCTTGCTATGTCATTTGAAATAATCTAAAGAAATCTACCTCTGGTCTTTTTGAAAATTATCGATATGTAAATTAATTATACACATAAGACTATCCAATATAGCCCTGATTTTTTTTTTTGTTTTGATTAAACAGATTTCCCTCTTGGTCCCTTTGAATATTTTAAGAAATATTTATTTAGATCCTTTCGAAAATTCTTGGAAAAATCCCAACAAATCTTAGAATTACCGCCACGAGAAAAGAAATAATTGAAAAATCATATCTCAGAAAATTATCTGAAAAATCCGTATTATCTTCTTTAAAAAGTTATGGGAAAAGTCTATAGAAAATTCTAAAAATACACGAAGGGCCTGTTACAAAAAAAATTAAACTTTAAGGAATTTCTTGGATATCCATTACAAAAACGTTAGAGAGTTATCGGAAGAACCCATGCAAGCCTTTGTAGAAAATTCTGAAAGAAAACCTTAGAACTTTTTAAAAACTTGTCGAAAATTTACTATTTTTTATATACCAAGTTTAACTTCGTAGAAACTTCATATCACGTTAGGTTCTACAGAAAATTCATATTTGATCTTTTACAATATTCTCGTAAAATACACTGAGAATCCTCTATAAAATTCTAGTAAAAATGTACAATGGATCCTTTAGACAATTCTTGCATGAATTTTCTTTGTGTTCGTTTAAAAACACTTACGAAAAATCCATATTAGGTCCTACACAAAAGGTCTATATTGGGCTTTCAACATAAGTCCATTAAAATAGTATTGAAAATCAATTTTGTGCCTTAAGAAAATACTACGGCCTTATTTAGCCATGGTTGATCGTTATTATTTTTTTTTTTTTTTTTGGAAAGCGTAAGCGTAAGTTTTAGTATCCATCCATATACTTCCGATTTTTTCTAGAAAATTTACGTAAGATCTTGAAAAAATCCAAAAATTTATATGTTTCCTATTAACATTTGATGCCAAAAAGAAGGGTCAAAAACAACTGCTTCAGGAAGATTATGGAAACAATGCATGTTATATCCTTAAGACAAATCTGTGAATTCCCATGTTTTAAAAGAAATTTCTTGGAAGAATGTATTTCGAGTTTTTTTAAATTAAATCCTTTACAAAATGAACGGAAAAATAACAATATATTTTGTTTGTAAATTCTCTAAAAATCTAAAATCCAATATTGATGCAATTTCTTTATATTTTATTAGACCCACCCCATTCTAGGAAAATCCGCGTCAAATCCTTTGAAAACTCCTCAGAAAAAAATTAACTTTGGATCTTTAAAAACACTCCTTAAAAAAGAGTTCTGCAAAATATTCACATGTAGTTCCTTAGAAAATATTATAAAATTTCACCATTTTAAAAATCCAATTTCAGTTTTTTAAATCTCAAAAACATAAACATTTTCAGAAGATTGAAAATATCTTTAGCCATTTTACTTTCTAAGAAAATTCCAAATTATCCCAAGTTTAGACCTTCAACAAGAGTCCTTCACAAAATTTAGCAAAGAATCCAAACTTCTCTAAAAATTAGAAGAAAGGTGAAATATACCTATTTATTAGCCCATCATAACATAAAATTGAGTCCTTCTGGAAATATTTTATAATCAAATTTAATCCTTCAGAATTCACTTTTTTTATTTTGAGGAAATTTTTAAGGAATGTATATTAAGTCCATTGAAATTCTAGTCTAAAGTCTTTAATTCCGATTTTTATAGAAGGGCTTGTACACTATCTACACTTTTAAACATACATAAACTATTTTTATTAAAATTCTAATAAATACTAAATTTGAAAATTTCGCAATATATAATAAGTAGTTTGTTGGTCTACACAAGGGTATGGTTTCTCAGTAAAAATAACAAAAATTGAATCCTCTTCTAAATATAAATTTTTTATTATTATTTTTTAATATTATAAAAAATGTATTTAATAAATATCCTGCTACATATGTAAAATTTGTATTTTTGATGGGCCCCTGTGCTTCTGCGAAAACAATATGTATTTAAATTGTGGTCTCCTTTTCCTCCTCCTGTCCTTGTTTGTCCTTACCTTTCCTTGAAATCCCCATCCCCTTTTACCTCAACTTTGTAAAGCAAAAAATTTTCTTCAACTTCTTCAAACTGTGCTTCAATTCCTTTATATTTTCCTTTAATTTTATTTTTTCTCAATTAATATTTGCATTTTATTTTGTTTTCTTCCCCTGTCCTCTTAAACCATCTCCTATCTTATTTATCTCTCTCTTTTTTGACACTTCCTCTCCCGTTGTGTTATTTTAACATGTCTATTTATTTGTTGTTATTTTTTTTCTTTTAATTTCTAAAACAAAGAAACCGTTATATATGTGTTTGCTTCTTTTTTCCTTCCGCTTTTTTTAGGTTACTTTACGCCGTGATCAACAACGTCCTCAAAATATAACTGAACCGACTGAAACAACGCCTGTACGTAATTAACACCAAAAACAAACCACACACTACCTTGCCCCCCTTGCTCCCTCGCTCTCCGTTTTACTCTCTTTCCCCTGCTATCACTCACTCTCTCTCTGTCTCTTTGACTGTAAATCATTTCACAACTATGTAACAAATGTATTCCAAAATAAATTCTTTCACACACACACACACACCTACAACTCTAACTCACACATACTACTCACTAACTCTGTTGCTAACAACTATCCGTGTTCCAACCACATACCAGTTCTATTGTCCTTCCACCCATTGTCCTTTGAACTCTTTGTAAATATATGTCCGTATGTATTGTAGCCATGTAGGAAACAAGTGTCACCTCCCCCGGTAGCTGGTGGCGATCGGAGGTGGCCGGTGGAATATTAGCACTCTCCGAATGTCAAAGAAATATCTGAAATAATCATAATCCGGACCAGTTGTAGTTGTGTTTTTTTGGGTTATCTTTTCTTGGTGTTGGCTATTAGAGTGTTTTTTCTGATATTCTTGTTGTTGTGTTTCCTTTTTCATCTTCTTCTTAGTTGTGTGTTAAGTGTGTAGTATATCCTTTCTGGTTAACTGTCAATAGAATAGAATTTTATTAATAAATATTTCTTAGAATTAGTTCAGGTAATGGTATTGGTATGTTTTATATGTATTAGTAATATAATATTTTATTATTTACGAGGATGGTATGATAATGTTAAGGAATTTATAAATCATTTTGCGAAAAAGACGAATTCATAGGTATCCTTATTCTTTTGTACAGAAGAAGGTTGCCCTCCTTCTGTTCTACAGAAGAAGGTTGCCCTCCTTCTGTTCTACAGAAGAAGGTTGCCCTCCTTCTGTTCTACAGAAGAAGGTTGCCCTCCTTCTGTTCTACAGAAGAAGGTTGCCCTCCTTCTGTTCTACAGAAGAAGGTTGCCCTCCTTCTGTTCTACAGAAGAAGGTTGCCCTCCTTCTGTTCTACAGAAGAAGGTTGCCCTCCTTCTGTTCTACAGAAGAAGGTTGCCCTCCTTCTGTTCTACAGAAGAAGGTTGCCCTCCTTCTGTTCTACAGAAGAAGGTTGCCCTCCTTCTGTTCTGCAGAAGAAGGTTGCCCTCCTTCTGTTCTGCAGAAGAAGGTTGCCCTCCTTCTGTTCTGCAGAAGAAGGTTGCCCTCCTTCTGTTCTGCAGAAGAAGGTTGCCCTCCTTCTGTTCTGCAGAAGAAGGTTGCCCTCCTTCTGTTCTACAGAAGAAGGTTGCCCTCCTTCTGTTCTACAGAAGAAGGTTGCCCTCCTTCTGTTCTACAGAAGAAGGTTGCCCTCCTTCTGTTCTACAGAAGAAGGTTGCCCTCCTTCTGTTCTACAGAAGAAGGTTGCCCTCCTTCTGTTCTACAGAAGAAGGTTGCCCTCCTTCTGTTCTACAGAAGAAGGTTACCCTCCTTCTGTTCTACAGAGGAAGGTTGCCCTCCTTCTGTTCTACAGAGGAAGGTTGCCCTCCTTCTGTTCTACAGAGGAAGGTTGCCCTCCTTCTGTTCTACAGAGGAAGGTTGCCCTCCTTCTGTTCTACAGAGGAAGGTTGCCCTCCTTCTGTTCTACAGAGGAAGGTTGCCCTCCTTCTGTTCTACAGAGGAAGGTTGCCCTCCTTCTGTTCTACAGAGGAAGGTTGCCCTCCTTCTGTTCTACAGAAGAAGGTTGCCCTCCTTCTGTTCTACAGAAGAAGGTTGCCCTCCTTCTGTTCTACAGAAGAAGGTTGCCCTCCTTCTGTTCTACAGAAAAAAGTCTGCTTCTCCAGTTCGACAGAAGAAGGTCTCCTCCTTCTGTTCTACAGAAAAAAATCTGCTTCTCCAGTTCGACAGAAGAAGGTCTGCTCCTTCTGGTCTACAGAAGAAGGTCTGCTTCTCCAGTTCTATAGAAGGAGGTCTTCTCTCCCTGTTATACATAAGGTCTCCTCCTCCTGTTTTATATAAGAAGGTCTCCTCTTTGCATGCGTATAATGAATGTCATGACTCATACGCAACCCTGTCGATAAACTTCTCCTGATGACATTATCATACCACCCTCGTAACGTCTATAGTTTTCCCCTAAGGAATTTAGATAAGATTCCATTCTATTACTGGTTATTTTTTTTTAACTGGCCATAACACGATGTTCCTCCAATCGTACATATCTCTCGTAATGTGTTACTAATTAACCTAAAACCTATTGCTGTTGTTGGTGTAGCTATTGTCTCCGACTAACAGTTGGTGGTGATGGCATTCCTTGATGTTGGCTGGCGGCCTGGTAGCTGCTGGTTAGTTGTCTTTAATGTTTATTGTTTGTGTTTAATTGTGAGATTGTGCGTTTTATCGGGTGTTGGTTGTCCAATGTGTGTGTGTGAGTGTGTGCATCTATGTATGTGTGTTAGTAATGTCACATATGTGTAGGAACATTGAATGTGATTGTTTTTTATTCTTCCTTTTGGCCATTAGTGACACAAAACAACAATTGTCTAGCAGAATATTATAACTGTGTCTCTCTCTGTGTGTACGTTAATGTGTTTGTAGGGAAGATTTTATATAAATGTGTCCGTGTGTGTGTGCATTATATGCTCCTGGCATTTATGGCTACAACATTTCCATGAATTGTTGTCAACCATTGTTCGTTCCACTTAATGGTGTTGGGGTTTTAAGTATTTTTTTTTTTTACCACTTTTTGTTTCAGATTTAACTCTCTTTTTGTTATGGTTTTTATATAAAAATGTGCACACACACACACATACACACGCTGAGAGAACGAGTTAAAAGTGCTTACAGCCTTTTGTTGGTACTTTAAAAAACATTCACTTTTTATTCGTTGCATTTTTATGAAATAGAAACAACAGCAGCAAAAATAATAACCCATTTAAATTATAACAATTACATTTTAATTAGTTACACTTGTTTTTGGAAGCCATTTAATTAGTTCCTAAGGGGTGGTGTAGAGCAATGACGTTTTGGTTTCCTGGTAATTAAATGTTAAATAGCTGAGTGTGTGCATTTTTTTTATTTTCAAATTATAATAAAACTAGATTTAAAATTTCATAAACGGTAAGTGGTGAGTGTAAATGTTAAGTGATGAGAAAAGGATTTATTTTTGAGAGGTAGGTTAAGAGGAGCGGAGCGTATGAGTGATGTCGACACTCATACACAGATAAACACTCTGTGTTTTAAGATATTACGAAAACCGATTATAATATTACACACTTTAAAAATAACAAGTTTTTATAAATGTAATGCCTAAATAATAAACTTATAAAGGTCAGTTGAACGATACGTCTCAAGGGCTTGGTAACACCTGACCAATTTAGTTGTCTGTTGATTTGTATGTAATTTATAGCAAATACGAAGCGTCCTCATTTATTTGGTGTAATTTGAGTAATATTATTTTTATCACAGGTATTTCTAGCATGATTACTGCAAATTCATTTTTCGTGATATCCTTTTAACCGGTCTATCGATCCCAAAGTTCGGATACAAAATCTGGCTTTTATCCGACTTCAGTGAAACCATTTTTTCCAAATATTAAAAATGTAATTATGTTATTTTAACCGGCTCGGTAATAATACAAGAAAGTTTGTATTTTTGTAAAAATAAGTCCAATATAGTCTACATTCCTGCATTTATAAAATGGGGTCATACAGGGTGAGATGGAAAAACTGCAACCAACTTCAGACTGCTGTCATTTCCAAGACACTCGTCCGACAGCTGTTAAAATTATTCCAGTTACAGCCCATTATATTGTTTACAAGCGTCGTACAAAAGCATTTTGGTGAGAATTTTTCAGAGAAAAATATTATTCGTGATGGAATTCAAGCGTGATAGTGTGATTTCTTTATATTTGGCTGGTAAACCATAAGTGGCTATCGTTAGAGCACTCCAGCATTTAAATGTGAATAAATCTTTTATGTCTCCTACCAAGATACTGGTAGCGTAGCTCGACGTAAAGGAAGTGGACGGAAGAAAACTGCAACATCAGCAGAAATGATTCGATAAGAAAAAAAGCAACTTGATCGAAACCCGCATCGCAGTGGCCGAAAAATGGCTCGTGAGCTGAACATATCGCAATATTCCATTCCATTCGCAAATATTGAAAAATGAGCTCGGGGTAAAGCCATTGAAATTCCAAAAAGTACAAGAACTTGGACGGCAACAGAAAGAAAATAGTCTCAAAAGAACTAAAGAGTTGTTTCGCTTGGCCAAAAGTGGTGAACTGTCGATTTTGGTTTCTCCAAACAAAGGAAATGATCGTGTCTACTTGCCAAAGAGGTCAGCTGCAAATGTGCACCTTCGGTTGGCCGGCCACTAGAACTCAAGCGCCGGCCATGGTGATGGTGTGGGCCGCCATAACAGCCGATGGTCGCTCTCTGCTCGTATTAATCCACTGTGGCATCAGAAGAAATTAAGAATGATATCGGCAATAATATTCTGGAGGGTGTATTAAAGCCTTGGGCACGCAAACGTTTTGGTCGCAGACCTTGGATATTCCAACAGGACTCAGCATCATCGTACTCAGCACGTGCCACCCAAGAATGGTTACAAAATGAGGTTCCTCGCTTCATTTTCAGGGCACAATTGCCACCAAAATCTTCGGATGCCAATCCGTTAGACTATTGTGTCTGGAGTATTTTGGAAAGCAAGATTGGCGCCAAAGTGTCGATCACCTCAAGTAAGCGCTTTGCCGGGAATGGGCCAAAATACCGCAGAGCAACATTCGGGAAGCGTGTTACGGTTTCATTGTCCGTTTGAAGGCCATAACTCGTGCCAAAGCTGACCAATTCGAACAAATCTAACCTTTTTCTAAAATTTAATGCTATTTCCGACATTTTTTGCTTTCATTCAATAAAATTTAAAGAAAAATGTAAAAATGATGACGTTTGACTTTGTTGCAGTTGTTTTATCTCACCCTGTATACCAAATTATAGTCTACATTCCTGCACTTCTAAAATTGTGCAAATGTGTCGACATCTCTTATATCTCCCATCAAATGTTTGATATTTGAATAGGTATTTCTATAAGTTTTACAGCGATGCCCATATTGTATAAATAGGTTCAGTAGAACCAAATAAAATCCTGATCCGAATAAACGGTTATAGGTTATCTCTCCCATGAATTCAAAAGAAGGAGCGGACTCTCTCCTAAATAGCAGAAGAAAAACCATCTCTACTACAGAGAAGAATCATCTGCCATACAAAATTGAGGGTCGTACTTCTGCCATACAGAAGAGTGGGTCTTCCTTCTGCCATACAGAAGAGAACGTCGTACTTCTGCTATACAAAACAGTGGGTTATTCTTCAGCTATACAAAATTGAGGGTCGTACTTCTGCCATACAGAAGAGAGGGTCTTCCTTCTGCCATACAGAAGAGAGGGTCTTCCTTCTGCTATACAGAAAAGAGGGTCGTCCCTCTCTTATTCAGTATAGCTGAAGGACGACACTCTCTTCTGTACAAGAGAGGGACGACCGTCTTTTCTGTATAGCAGAAGGAAGACCCTCTCTTCTGTATGGCAGAAGGAAGACCTTCTCTTCTGTATGGCAGAAGGAAGACCTTCTCTTCTGTATGGCAGAAGGAAGACCCTCTCTTCTGTATGGCAGAAGTACGACCATCAATTTTGTATGGCAGATGATTCTTCTCTGTAGTAGAGATGGTTTTTCTTCTGCTATTTAGGAGAGGGTCCGCTCCTGCTTTTGAACCCCTCTATATGTAAATTAAAAAAGAATTGTTGGTCTTTTTTGAACGCGAGTACCTATACGACACCTTGGTAATTCCTCATACTAATTGTTTCCAGAAGGTATTATAAAAATAGCCTCACCTTGGTTCAAATACCAGGTTGTGGTTTTACTGATCGTAACATGAAAGCATCAGTTTCCTTTAGTCTAATCAGCATCCTTGTTACTGAGTGAGGCGAAAGACTCAATTAAGGTCCTTTTATATGAATTTTGTCATATATTACTTAATTTGCTGTTTTCGGTTTGACGAAGTTACACGGTTGGGATTGGTGGCTTTGAGGAGCAAAAAACGTCCTTGCTGGACCATAATTTGTCATGCCAAGCTTAGTACCCAGTATCTCAGATATTTTGAAGATTTAACCAAAAAGAATTTTGTATTTATGATGCATTGCCTATAGATGATCTCGTGGCAAAGTATTTTTTAAGGTGACTTACGAATAACCCCTTTTTGGGCATCTTAAAAAAAACTACAAACAATTTTAAGCATTATTAAATTTTTGACATAGTCTCCAACCCCATTTTCCTGATATTCGGCATCAACAGAAGTGTTGTATTTTAAGGCCAAGATATAGTTTTTTTTTCGCGAATATCAAATTTGTTTGGCCAAAGCGAATTCTAAATATGTTAATACTTTTTTCTCGAGGAGAAATTCTATGCGTATGATTAATACCAATACTAAAATGCAACCTCAATAATCTCGTTAGAAGTATTATAAAATTGTTCACATTTAACCTTCACTTTTTTACTCATATTGATTTAAAGAATGACCACTAAGTGGACGAATTCTGGGCTTTAGAGGGAGACACCTAAGCAGCATGGATATGTAAACAACTTAAGTTCCGTTTTTTTGTTAACAGTGGTACATCAAAACTTCACTTACCGTTTATGAAATTGTATAGAAAATATTTATGTTTATTTTTAGAAATTTACAGAAAATATACTATTTTTATAAGGACATCGAACATACATAGATTTAAAAAAATACCAATTTATAGATCACAGGAGGTTCTACTAATTATGTGATGCCATAAAAAACGTCTAGTTTTAGATACTACTTCTAGTCATAGTCTATAGTTTAATAATTTCATTTTGTGATAATTGTTAACATTTCGTTTTATTCCTTAGTCTAATATGTTTTTCATTTAATTTTTAATTTTGTTTTAACTCATTTTGTAATTTTGTTCCTCATTTTGTTTCTGATGTCCAAGTCTAACAACGTAGTTGTCCGTCCCCTATTAATTTTTAACATCAAATAAGAAAATTCATTATAAAAATAATGCTTTTTAATACCAAACATTTTCTTCTGTGCAACGTCTTTTGTGCTCATCCATCTCTCTCTCTCTCTTTCCATTTCCATTCATTCTTTAGTTAATGCGTGCGGCTACACGTAAACCGGCCAATGATACGAACAGTTCAACTGTTGCTATTGGCGGCGGAGCCATTGGCCAAACGTCACCCAATGACATACCGCTGAGCAGTATGGAAACAAATCGTTCCCACAATCGCGAAGAGGAATACAAATCGGGAATATTGGATCAAATTGCCTATGGCATAACCGGCGTTGGTGGTTTTATCTATCAAAATAGTTATATATTCACCAATGTTCTGATGATGGTAAGTATGAACGATTTTATTTTTTTATTTTCAGAGTTTCCAGAAGACCTTCTAGGGCGTGTTTTATGATCAAAGGTCTTTTATAGATAAAGTCTTTAGCAAATCTTCAGCTGACAGAGAAACAGGGGTCTTCTATGCAATTCCTTCACAATGCCTTCACAACCCCTTTATAACCAGGATACCTTTTATATGTCTTCTATGGTCTTTATAGTTCTTCTTTAACCAGAAAAAGACTTTGCATTATTGTCTGAAGACCTTCTACAGGTCTTTTATCGCCTGAAGACCTTCTGCAGGTCTTACATGGTTTCTATATCTAGAAAGACCATTTTCAGGTCTTCTATGTCCCCACGACCTTTTACTGTGGCCAGAATTCTTTTTACAGGTCTTCCGTGACCAAAACATCTTTTTCAGTAAGTTTACAGCTTGAGAACTTCTAACAGGTTTTAAACCATCAGAAACCTTTCATTGGTTTTTTATGGCCCGAAAATTAGCAGGTCTTCCATTGCCAAAAGATCTCTATAGGTCTACCATTGCTGGAAGACCTCCTACAGGTCTTCTATGGGCGGAAGTCCTTTTCTAAGTCTTCTATAGTTCAGGACACATTTTACATGGCCAGAAGAAATTTTAAGGGTCTTCAACAATATGATTTTTTTACAGTTCTTCTGTAGCTTGAGACCCTTCTATAGTTTTCAATAATCAGAATATCTTTTACAGGTCTCCTATATCTAGTAAACTTTTCACAAGTGTTCCATGGCCAAAAAAACTTTTACTGATCTTCTGTGGTTTTTCCAGGAGTCTTCATATGTTTTCAATGGTCAGAAAACCTTCTATAGGTCTTTCAGACCCATATAACTTTCTTCCATGGCGCTTTACAAATTTTCTATGGTCGGAAGACCTTTTCTAAGTCTTCTATAGTCCAGAACATCTTTTACAGACCTTCCAAGGCCAGAAGACCACTTACAGGCCCTTACAGGGAAATAATACTATTTCTTGTCAATGTAAGACAAAAGATCTTCCAAGGACCTCGATTGGCAAAAATCCTATTAGAAATCTTCTATGGCCCGAAGACTTTCCACAGGTCTTCTGCGGTCAGAAGACTTCTTTCAGATTCTTTACGGCCAAAAGACATTTTACAGGTCTTTTACGGAGAGGAGACCTCCAACAGGGGTTCCATGGCTAGAAGGATTCTTACAGGTCTTCCGGGACCTGAAGACCTTCTATGGTCAGGAGACATTTTACATCTCTTCTATGACCAGAAGAATTTCCGCTGGTCTTTTATGGCCTGATGACGTTTTAAGGCATTTCACGATCAGAAGTCCTTTAACAGGTCTCCTATGGCCAGAAGGCCTCTCATAGGTCTTCTATGGCCAGAAGTCCTCTCATTGGTCTTCTATGACCAGAAGGCCTTTTAAAGGCCACCCATGGTCTAACGGTATTTTACAAGTCTTTTTTTGGCCTGAAGACATTTTATACGTTTCCTTTGGTCAAAATACCATTTATATGTCTCCTATTAAAGGTACTTATAGGAAATGGCTAGAATACCTCATACTGGTCTTCTATGGCCATTATATCTGAGATAAGGTCAGCAAGTGTGGATAAGGACCATTATCTCTAAAAGAAAGTCCGACAGGGATAATCGTGTCTGAGATGAGGTCCCATCAAGACATTGGTCTCTGAGATGGTTGTCAGAATCATTGTGTGTAAGGAAATTATCTCTGAAATGAAGCCTGGTCAGGACCATTATCTGTAAGATATGGTCCTGTCAGCCTCATTGTCCTGAGATGAGGTCCGGCCAGGACCATTTTCTCTGAGAACAGGTTCGACCAACATCATTATCTCTGAGATAAAGCCATATCACGACCATTATCTTTGGGACAAGGTCCTGCCAAGATCTATGCCTCCAACATTAATTCTGATAATAACCAATATCTCTGAGATAACATCCGGTAAAGGCCATTAACTCCCATATATGTTCCCTTCAGGGCCTTTAACTTTGAGACAAGATTCAGAAAGGACCATCACACCTGAGATAAAATCCGATCAGGCTCATTATCTCTAAGGTATGGTTCGATCTGGAATCTTGGAGAAAAGGTACGATCAGAGCCATTATCTCTGAGGTAAGGTCCATTATCTCTCAGACAAAAGCCAGAAGTATTTTCTATGAGAAACGGTCGGATCAGGACTACATAAACTGGGTCCGGCCAGAGCCATTTCCTTTGAGATGAAGTTAGATCATGACCATGGTGTCTGAGAAAAACTCCAAGCAAAATCATTGTCGACCGGTCAGGACCTTTGATTCTGAGATTAGGTCCATTTAAGACAATTATCTCTGAGATAAGGACCTGCCAGGACCATTTTCTCTGAGTTATCATTCTTTCAGGACTATTTTCTCTGAGAGAAGGTCTGATCAGTAACAATCTTTCCGAAATAAGTTTCTGTTAGAGCCATTGTCTGCGAGCGAAATTCCCGTCGGTAGTATTTTCTCGTCGTGTCAGAACCATTGTCGCTCAGATAAATTCCGGTTAATGTCATATTCTCCAATGAAATTTTCTTTAGATCAGGAAGCCTTTTTTCCAAGAGAGAAACTCTTTTCCATTGAGAGAAATTCTCTCTCTCTCTCTCTCCCTCTCTTTGTCGCTTTAATTTGTCTCCTTTCTTTTTCTTATCGTCCTTTTTCTCTTTTCAGGCCTGGTCAATCATCTACCACAGTTGGCTGACATTTGTGCTGCTGCTGTGGGCCAATGTTCTGTGGATGATACCGAATCAGCGCAAAGCCATGATGCGTTCGAGTCTTTTTATTGTAATTTATGCGGAGTTGTTGTTAATAGCCCAATATATTTATGGCATGGATTTGACAAATGACGAATTGCCCTCCAAAATTAAGGTAAGGTCACACAATCTCAAAACTTTCCCTCTCATAAGTGATTTTTAAAATTCAATCTCTTCCTCTTTCATTGGCAGATAACCGGCATTAATTTACAACAAATCGGTTTTGAACGTCCCAAAGACAACGACATGCAGCCCTGTGTTCCGCTGATAGTGAAAACCTCATTCCTGCTGATGTTCTGGGTGACAATGCGTCAGTTCTTCAAAGAGAAGACGGACAAACGTCGTGACAGCACCCTGGCAGATATGTTTGCACCGTTGCATTTATCGGTACGCTCATCGGCGCTCGATGGCGATGATGCTGATGGTGGGGCCGATGCCAAGAAAACCTCAAAGTTCCTAAAGAAAATTGGCACCGTAATTAAGAATCTCTTGGTGCGCCTGTGGATTTGGCTGTTGATTCTGGTCATTTTCCTGTGCGCCATGACAGGTGATAAAATGACTGGGTTCCGTATCTGTTATATGGCCCTGTTCCTGTTCTTCTTATTGGTATTCCAATCATCGTCCAAGGCCTGGGTGAAACTGATGTATGGTTTCTGGTTGTTCCTAATCTTCTATGCCATGTCCATATTGATTCTGATCTATACCTATCAGTTTGATAAGTTCGATCAGTACTGGAATGACTATTTGAATATATCCAAGACTTTGTGAGTATTAAGACTAACCCTAATCCCCCAAATTCCCCATGAATTAATCTTGAACATTACCTTCCAGACAAACCGACATTGGTCTGGAACGCTACAAGACCAAAGATCTGCTCCTGCATTTCATTTCGCCCACCATCATTGTCATTCTAACCGTGATCCAGGTTCACTATTTCCATAAACGTTTTATTGCCTCGATGAATCAAACACCGGTGGTGGAGAAACCCGGCCCCGATCAACAGCAACGACAGCGCACAAAAAGCGGCTCCCGCCCAGCCGATTATGAAATGAAAGATTTCACCGAATCTGCCGGGGAGTTGGTGCGTTTGTTTTTGAAACGTTCCCGCCAAAAGGCCGAAAAATTCCTAAAACAATTCAAGGGTGTTTTCTGGAGTATTTTGGAATTGCATTGGATTAAAGTGGTCTATATAACGGCATTTGTGTGCGCCGTCAGTGAGGTAATAGCAAAAAAACAACAAAAAACGCAACATCGACAAGAACAACGTTTTATGGAAGTTTTAAACAAAACTCAGGAGTAGCTTGACTTGAGTTTGAGGACTTTTGTAAAATCGTGACCCAAAGTCGGGTTTTACAAAAGTCTTGTCTTTTTACTAACAACAAAGAAATGTGTTCAAAATGTTCTCTAAATAGCGGGTATTATTATTATTTTGTAATTTCACAGTTAGAGCGTTTCTTCTTGGAAACGATTTTTAGTCTGAGCTATGTTCCTTTCAGTACCAGTATCACATGGTAGCCTCTGTACCATTTTCTTAAAAAGAAATGGCATTTTTCTCAATTAATGTCCGACAAGCGCTTCTTCATTACAGATTAGATTCAGTCAGCAAGATTATCTAAGAGATAAAATCCAGTTGGTTCATTATATCTGAGATAAGGCGCAGTCAGGATCGTCACCTCTGAGATCCAAGATCCAGTCAGGGCTTCTTTCTCTGTATGAAGATCCGTTCAGATTCATTTTCTTTGAGACAAGAATCAGTCAGTCTGGGATAACGTGTGTACAGGACTAAGGGCCTGTTCGGGTCGTCTTGTTGGATTTTTATTCTTTGAGACAAAATTCATTTTTAGAGTCAATGACCTCCTTCAAAGTATCAATTTGGGAGCATTTTCTCGGCTTCGGTCATGAATTTTCACTGAGATAACACCCAGGTAAACCCTTACATCTATGGGACATATCACAGATGTAAGGGTCTACCTGAAAAAAATTGTCCGAAATAGGGTTGGGTTTTTTTTTTTGAGATTAGATCCAATCTGAACCTCTCGGAGATAAGGCCTAGTTATTACCACCTCTCGGAGATAAGGTCCAGTTATTACCAATAATATGATCCGCCTATATTACATCTCTAATAATAAGGTCAGATAGGGGTCATTGTCTCTGAGATAAAGTTCGATTAAGGTCAACAAATTAATCTCATCTCCAAAATAAGGTCAGATAGGGGCCACTGTCTCTAAAATAAAGTTCGATTAGGGTCATTAGCTCTAAAATTAATCTAAATTTGGGCCACCAAGTCTAAAATAAAGACCGATCGGGACCATTTAGTTTTATATACAATTTGATGAGACCTTTTTTCTTCCAGACATGGTTCTGTTAGGTTTGAGATAAAGTATTTTAAGGATCATTATATTTGAGGCAGGGTCCAATCATGAGCATTATTACTGAGTACCATTTTCGCTCACAATAATTGGGGTCCTTGTCTCTAAGTTAAAGTCCGACCATTACCATGACCCTGAAACAAAAAAAAAAAACAAAACCATTTTCCTGCAGTAAGGTCAAGTGAGGACCACTTGCTCTGAGATAAGTGGCTTTAAGGGGCATTTTTTTAAGAAAAAAATGACTGTGAGCCATATTTCTTCGGGATCCTGTTAAAATAATTTTCTCTCAGATAACGCCCTTCTTTGAAATAAGGTCCATAGTCTACATAGGACCAATTTCCCTGAAACAAAGGCGGCGAGGACATTTGGCTCTGATGTAAGATCCTTCTTGGAAAAAGTTAGCAGAGTGCCGGATGTAGACCATTTTTAGCTGAGTTTAATCCACATAGGATTATTTTCTTTGAAAGATCAGTTTGGTCCCATCTTGATCAGTTTTTTAGATCAGGAAAATGTTTTCTGGGAACATGATTCGATCCGATTACAATCTTGATGATAAGATCTATCAATTTTTTTGAGACTAGGTCAATTACTATTTTTTAGGTACAATTGTCTTCAAATTATAGTTCGACCAGGCCCAATTTTTTGAGACAAAGTCAAGAACTATTCTGGAAGTTAGAGTCTGGTGAGGATCACTTGATCTGAGATGAGATCATTTTTCGGAGAAAATTAAGTCTACTGCCATTTTTTTAAATCGGGTCAAAATAATCTTCAGCTGAGTTAAGAGCTAATGTTAGTCAAAATGATTTTCTCTGAGATAAAGACTTTATAGAATAATTTTCTTTGAATTCAGGTCCATGTAAATATATTTTTCTCAAAAACAAGTCTCATCTGACCCATCTTTTCTGGCCTGACCAAATCTGGGAAATGTTCTCTTAGAACAAAGTCCGGTCAAGTCTATAACTTTGATTGCAAGATCTTTGCAAGTCCAGATAAGGCACCTATCGTATTATTATAATTGAGATCAGGTCCATATAAATATTTTTTGCTCGAAGACAGATTTTACCACAACCATTTTTTTCTGTTTTGAGCTGATCCAACTTTGAAAATTTTCTCTGAGACAAGATTCAACCTGTACAGTTTTCTCTAAATTTATTCCAGACAATTTTGTCCTTCCCTAATCTGAACCTCCAGCTCCAGTTTTTTTTTTTTTTTTTTTAATTTTCTTTGAGAAAATGTTGTACTATATGAAATTTCTGAACATAAAACGAAAGAATCGAAAATTTTGAGCACATTTCTTTAAAAAAAAAAGATCCCCTATACTCTCCCACTCATTTACTCATAAAAATATCTCTCTCTTTCTCCCATTTACTTGATCACATCTCTAGGTCTCCTTGCTCCACGTACCGTTCATTGTGCTGTGCGTCATTGGCGTCATCTCCAATGTACGCATGCGCATATTTTTCAGTCGTGTCATCTCGCTGGTTGTCACTCTCATTGTGCTCTCAAAAATGATCTATCAAATTGCCTATTTGGATCATACGAAATATAATGCCGAGTGCACGGAAAATGGTCAAACAAAAATTGTCGGCAATAATGCCGAATGGTTTGGTCTGTTTAAGGCAAATTCCGAAACGGGCCTAATGGGTCTGCTGAAAAAATATATCATTTATATGGTCATAGCAACATTGCATGCTGTCATCTCATTGCGACAATATCAAATGCGCCGTCTCAAGGGTACACAAAATGATCCCTTGCCGAAAGTACCCTTCCCTGAGGTAACCCGTGAAGATGCCGAAAAGAAACTGGAGAGTATGATTAAATATTTACTCAATTATGGTTTTTATAAATTCGGTTATGAGATTTGTATGATTGCCTTGGTCTCGACCATAACCTATCGGCAAGATATTGTGGCGGTTGCCTATGCTGTGTGGTTGGTGTTATTGCTGATATTCAAGAGGAAAAAGATTGCCCATTTCTGGGGTATTTTCCAAATATTCATATTGATTTCGATTATTGTGCAGTATATTGTTTTGGTCCAATTGCCACCCACGATGTGTACGAGTAAGTAAAGCAAATTAATGAAAAAAAGTGAGGTTATGGTTGAATTTGTAAATTTTTAAATAGAATAAGTAAAACTTGGTCGCCATAACGGCTATTTACAGGATTTTCAAACATTTCTATTCAAAAAGAAAACAAAATAATAATAAAAAATTATAAAATTAATGAAAATATAAAAAAAATATTTTCGTCCATAACCTCACTTTGCAAATATTTGTTGTTTTTCTTTCTTTAGACTATTCAAATCGTTTTCGTAGATTTTTCCAAATATTTATTCAATATCTCTTTTTGTTTTTCCAGAATACATTTGGGAAGGCTCCCCCTTCTCGGACTCCATCCAACGCTGGGCAATGCTACCGGGTCACCTGAAATACGATCACACCAAAAAGTTAATATTCGATTTTATATTACTGCTCTTGGTGAATCGTCAGAAACGTGTCTTCTCCATTGAAAATATACCCAACTTCCCGGGTGGCAGTAATCAATCGGTGGTCAAGGACATTGCCAATCTGGGCAAAGTAGAATTCGTTAATCCCACTCATGATTTCCTCTCACACATGCGCAACTATTTGGATATTTTCAAGCATGCCATCTTGTGTGGCTTCTATTGGGTAACTTTAGCTGTGGTGTTTTTGGCTGGTACCAGCATAGCAGACTTTTTGGCTTTGGGCTATCTGATTGGGGCTTTCTTCTTTTTGTGGGAGGGCTCTGATTTCTATTTGCGGCCAATTAAATCGATAATTGGTCTATGGAAAATCCTTATAGCCTATAATGTAGCCAATATTGTGATAAAGACCTGCTTGCAAATGGCTGGTTGTATGTTCATGGAAAACTTGGTGACGAACTGTTGTTGGCTTGTCCACATGTTGGGCATCAATTGTGCCAGCAATGGTCCGCCAGCGGTTGATGTCGACGATGATAACGACACTGACTGCCCTGCCACCACAGTACAAGTTGTCCTGCTATGGGATTCGATATGTTTTGCCTTCTTGATATTCCAATTGAGAATATTCAAATCACATTATTTCTGTCACATCATCACCGATACGCGGGCGAATAATATTTTGGCTTCGAGGTGAGATTTTAAAGTTTTTTAATTGTTAATTTTGAGCAAAATTGTTAATTTCATAATTTTTCCTTAACAGAGGTGCCGAAATCATTGAACATTTGCGCCAGAAACAAATCGAAAAACGCCAAGAATACGAGGAGGAGGTATTGCACAAAATCAAACGTAAAATGGAAAAGATCCGCGCCACGCAGCAGAAAATGCTTAGACCTTTAGAAAAACCCACACACTTTGATGGTAAGTTGGAAGTACTTTATTTTTGTTTTTCTCTCAAGTTGATGATTTGAAGACACCAGAAGGGAACTGGGTAAATTATGAAAGAATCTCGCCGAATTTAATGTTCTATTTTGAATTATATGAAGATTTTAAATGTCTACGGTTCGAAAAAAGGTGTATTTATTATACGTATCATAGAAATCCCGGAGTATATTTGTATGATATGAAAAAAAAATAATAAATTGAATTGCAGAACACAAATTTAAATAGCATATAAAAAGAATAATTGATTTTAACATGATATAGCATTTAATTTGCAACCGAAGTGTCCATATTTATATTTAATACAATATTTTCAATGGCCTAATAATGTGAATACTTTTAAAACTGAATCTTCGACCCTTTGTTTTGGTCAAAGAAATACATTTTCTTACAGATGTTTAAGTAAAAAATCCCACTAACGGTGGATACATTTTTCATCCCCAACCGAGTCCCAGAAATGTAAAAATGGTCTAACAAACTTCCCATAGTTTCTCTCCTCGTGGGTATATCTTTATCCTTTGAACTGGGCTTGAAACCCAATTTAAATTGGGCTGAAATCCAATCTCTCAACTACTCATTCCCCGCACAATCAGAGTTATGACTTATCGGCATAAACCTAATCGTAGTGCAAAGCAAGACACTGAAATATGACATCGATTTCGCACCAAACCAAGGAAAACACTTTCTACTCCATGAGATCGAACAGTTTAGATAAGTGATCTGGAAATTAATTAATGGTCTATGACAGCATTTCAATACATGACACCGATGTGCAAAACATAATGTTGTGGTAAAAAGTCCTTTTAGGAAAATATTCTTTGTTTTCCTGTCAGTATCAATATATCTGAAATGTATCATGACCAAATTATTGACGATAAATCCTATCATGATCATTATCTATGTGATAGAGTCAGGCCAAATCCATTATCTCTAAAATAAAGGACGTTTAGAACCCGCATCTTTAAAATAAGTTCCGGCCAGTAGCATTATCAATAAATATCTGGTCTATCAGGAACATTTTCTGTCATATAAGGTGCGGTCCGAAATTCTCGTTGCCCTTATCTTTTCTATTGGTTGAAGATGAAGAAGACCAAATCAAATATTCTCCCACTAACACATCCTGCATTGCTTATTGGCAATAGTCAGCACTTTCCTATCTTTTGGCATAGACCAAGGGCTGCTCTTTTCTATTAAAAAAGCCGAACATTTTGTGCTTTGATTTAATATCGCCTTGTCAGAAGCGAATTCCGTGAAGCGCTTGACTCCCAGATACCTCACGTACAGGTTTTAATCCACATGAGGAGAAGAAGACCGCCTGTGCGACAGCATAATAAAATGCTGTCTATGCAATACATGCTTGGATGTTATAATCGACAACATCCGCTTACGCTACGACCTTCGTGATCTAAAGAGAATGTTACATAGGTATAAGAGAGCAGCTCGTGATCTAAAGAGAATGGTACATAAGTATAAGAGAGATCAAGAGGGCTATCAAGCAGCACTGATGATGAACTGCTACAACAACAACAACCCACTGGTATTAACACTGGAATTGATAATTCGTGGGAATACATCTCGTGCCTCCGGACTTATCTTTTGGCTACCATAGTTAATTCTGATTCTGGAAAAGCACTCAGTCCCTGTATCTATTATGGATTAACTTACGATAAATGGTACAGAACCTTTGTTCCTGCTATCCGTTATAAATCGGTCCAAGCCTGTCACGGTAATTGTAACTGGTCTTTCCTGTGTAGACTTGCTTGAGTTCAATGGAAGTGACTTGTTATCGAGCGACTTAAAGAACTTGTCCATATTGTAGATGACATATTTTGAGTCCCATAGATTCAGGGATTCAAGTAATGGATTTCTGTTCTTCTTTGGCAGACAGAATACCGGCTATTTTAATTTTCATAGTCAGGCCATTGAATCTAGACCAATCAATCCAAACAATGTTGCTCCCACTCGAACATGGAATTTGTGACTTGATAGTTCTTGGTGGGAAAGTTGTTCCTGCTAATCAGTACAGAGCATTGTTCAGGACGCCGAGGGATTTAATTGTACTTGTAGTAAAAAATTTATGCTCCACGAGTATTCTGACTGGCCTTTTCAGTGAAGAATGTCTTAAGGTAATTAAGCAGAATGCTCTGGCTTCTTAAGTTCTTTTGCAATCAGACCAAATCAAATTGAGCACAAGACGATTTGATCAGTCGAAGCAAGCCTCTCCCAGATGCAGAGAACAGTTTTCAATATAATATTCTCTTCTATTAAAGGAGAGAAGTCATGTTCAATATAAATCAAAGCATTTTTATATGGTCTCGAAATTATTTTTAATTTTTTTGTAAACTTACTTTTAATTTAAAAAGTGAGGTTATGTTCACTTATTTTTTTATGATAATTAGAAGTTGAAAAAAATCCAATAATTTTCAATAAAATTGAAAACATATGACTTAGGCTTTAGACGAACAGCAGATTATTTGATGCACACCAGCAGTTCTCAATCGTGTAATGATGGTTCGGGCTATCATACACCGAGTGGTGAAAAATACCAAAATAATAAAAAGGATACCCAGTGTAGCAGCGCAAGTAGCAGCAGAAACAGCAGTCGCAGTAATAGTATCTCCGATAATGAATTTGATCTGCAATTTTCTCACGAATATGAAGAAATTGGAGTGGAACGCCCCAATATCAATAATACTTACACGGTGTTGCCACAAATCGAAATTGAAGGAATGACGCCACAGGTATTTATGGAGAATACATTTGAAAAAGGATAATATATTTTATGTAATTACGCTTTTTGTGATATCTGGAACTAAAGCCACCCACACCCTCATCGGAGGTGATGACAATGCCATTGGATGGTTATTTGGAAGCACCCAGACTATCTTGCTACTCACAAACCCATTCGGATTTGTCAAGGCCAAAATATTCGCGCAACAATTCGGAGGATGGCTCAAGTGATGTTTTCATCACCACGACGGTAGTGTTTTGTTTTCTCTCCAAAGGCAATTGTTTGGGATTTTGAGATAAAATGGTTTTTCATAATTTATTTTAGAATCCCAAACCCAGACCCTCACCCATTTTATTGTCCGTTAAAACATTACAAGATGATCTAAACAAGAGTGCAGCCAGTTCAATGATATCCTCGAACTTTACACGGGAAACTAGTTCTTCGTTGAGACGTAATTCATCCATTAGACGTCGTCAGTCGTCGGTAAATGCGGTATCATGGAATGACAATGTATCCATACAACAACCCTCTACAAATTCTCCACCTTCCAAGAGGACAGCCGATGCGGAAGCGGAACAAGTTACCATGCGGCGCCAACGTCTGCTCCATCGTCGACATCAAAGTGTTGGCAATGCCAAATATGACATACGTGGAGATGAGCAAAGCTCCCAAAAGGCTTCGAATCGTCGACGATCCAGTTCTCTGTGGTGGGCCCAAGAGGAGGCGGTCAGGCGAAATGCCCAAAGACCCTGTAGCTGGGGCCCAGCTGGTATGGATGTTTTTGCCACCGACTCTTCCTTGATGTGTAATTCATCGGCTGTTTACCCATGTGATCTGCGTTTGCTGCATGGACAATGTATACACACTTTGTGGATTGGTTTTTTCTACTTCTTCACCCACTCTTCTTCTTCTCCTTCTTTAGAATATGACATTTTATTTATTTTTATCTTGACAAAAAAAGAAAATGATTGTACAAAGGAAAATAAAAAAAATATTCTTTTTGGGATCAAAAGAACTTGGACACATAGTGATTTTCTTTCTCTGTAAATAACACGGTTTTGAAATCTTTTTTAGATTCTTATAAGATATTAGAAAGCGATACTTTAAAATTTGTTTATGGAAGGTATTGGGAAAAATTCTCTTCCACAAAAACAATTTAAGAACCCATTGTCTAAACATAGCAAAGGACTTGAAGGTTCTTAAGTTGTTGGGTGTAATTATGAAACTTTTCAATATTTTCCATTAAATAACACAAATCCATTCAAACAATTATGGAAAATATCGCCAATGGTAGTCTTAACCCAGACTGTGTATAAAAAATTAAATTTGAAATTTTGGAATGCCTAAAAAATAACCAGAACGAAAAAAACACATTTCTCTTCTAAATGTTTGAAATTTATATTTTAAATTTTTGAATAAAAAAGCCAAACTCACACCTTGAGAATGGACCGCCCAAAACTGGTCCATCTCATCAAAATATGTATTTCAAGGAATGAAAAACGTAGTAGTTAAAATAAACCACAACACTGGATGTCAACACCAATCCAGGCTGATAAATATTTTTTCTCTCCTCTTTATATTAAATTGAATAAAAAAACAATGCTTTTTTGTAAAATAAATACATTTTTATTTTGCTTTAACTGTTTATTTTCTTACATATATGCATTTTTATTATTATTATTATTTACTTTTTTCTGTTTACAATTTTATTGTTACTACTTTTTTTATAGAACATGGAAATCCAGTTTATGGCTCACGACCACATAAAAGGAAAGAAATTAAATTGCATCCTGCCGGTAAATGTTTTATTTTAATTATCTCACTGCTTAATTATTTTTAAGTTCAAATAGTAGTCACTATTATGTTTATTGTATATGTTTGAGTTTATTTTTTTGAAGAGGCTTGGCATAAAAAATCTGCATACAAAAATATTTGAAATGTTAAAACACGAAGGAGTAAATGATATCGAATTTTATTTTTGGTTACATCAATCAAAACAAACCAATAACTGATAACACTGTTCAAACCCAAAAAATAATTACGGGGAAAATCCAGTAGATTATGAAAGTATAGCTAAAAAAGACACCGTTTGAAAGTTGACATCACAAAGTAACCTAAATCGAAGATCTCCCCCTTTCCACGCTTTGGAAAAGTTTTGGATTTAGATTCCACTGTGCGTTTTAGATATATTTTGTCTTTGCCAATATTGTAGATACAAATACGAGGAGTATTTTGAAAATTTTAACCATCAAGAGAGTCAAGAAAGCGATGTTTTTGTTCAATTTTTAAAAATCTCCTCGTAGCAAGTCAAAATATTCTACAAACTTTTTTGTCATGAAAATCTGCTAAAGGTCCTGGAACACATCAAGAGTCAGGTTGAGATAAAAAATTGCAACAAAGTCAAACGCCATACTTATTACATTTTTTTTTAAATTTTATTGAATTAAAGCAAAAATGTCGGAAATAGCGTCAAATTTTAGAATAAGTTTAGATTTGGTCACCTTTGGCACGAATTATGGCCTTCAAACAGTCAATGAAACTCTCACATGCTGCCCGAATGTTGCTTTGCGGTATTTTAGCCCATTCCCAGCTTGCTTGAGGTGATCACACTTGGGTATTTTTTAGTGCCAACCTTGCTTTCCCAAATAATCCAGACAGAATAGTCCAACGGATCCGAAGATTTTGGAGAAAACCAAATTCGGCAGTTCACCTCTTTCGGCCAAGCGAAGCAACTCTTTAGCTCTTTTGCGTCTATTTTCTTTCTATTGCGCTGTAAACTCTTGCACTTTTTGGAATTTCAATGGCTCATTTTTCATTATTTACGAATGGAATGGAATATTGCGATATGTTTAGCTCACGAGCCATTTTTCGGCCACTGCGGCGCGAGTTTCGATCAAGTCGCTTCTTTACTTTTCTAACCATTTCTGCTGATGTTGCTGTTTTCTCCTGACCACTTCCTTGACGTCGAGCTACGCTACCAGTATCACAGTAATGAGCTATGGTACGAGACACAAACGATGTATTCACATTTAAATGCTGGAGTGCTCTAACGATAGCCACTTGTCGTTTTCCAGCCTTATATAAAGAAATCACACCATCACGCTTAATTTCCATCACGAATAATTTTTTTCTGGAAAATTCCCACCAAAAGCATTTTGGTACGTTTGTTTACAAGTCACTGGAGTAATTTTAACAGCTGTCGAACGAGTGGCTTGGAAATGACAGCAGTCTGAAGTTAGTTGAAATTTTTTCATCTCACCCTATATATTTCGTAATATTTATGAAAGAGAATTGAAATGTTGATAGAGATCTTTGTTTCACATCCAGAACCATTGGTACAGAAAATGGGTCTTGCTGGTTCACTTTTTGAAATAGTCCCTTTGTAAGGATAACCCCAATATCCGGTAGTTTTTACATTTTTGTCAATTTATTTTTTCCAAAATTTGGCATTTTAAGCTCTTATTATTCCTCTATTCCGGAACTGCAAGAATTTTTTCTTTATGATATCGAAAAAAATGCAAGACTAGTAATTTCTTGCTTTCTGGAACAGATCATCTGTAAAAGCACTATTTGCAAAAAATTATCAATTAGTTCCATCTATTGGTATAGTCCGTATATACCTGATTTGAGTTATCTTGAAGGTCGATGAAAATTAGTATATTGCTGGGCTCGAATTCTTCTATTTACTAAACTTTATAAGCTACAAGGCCCAGTGCAATGACGTTTGTAGAATGTCCACTTCCAACGCTTTGTTCTACAAAATCAATATTTTCAAGTATTGAGAGACGTGAAGCAAATTCTCTACTGTAACTGCAATATTTCACCTTTTTTATAGTCAATTTTAATCATATTAATGTACAATTTTGGAAAAAGTTTAATATTTTACTATATTTTTTTTTGGTTATGAACTTTTCTGTATGCAGACTCTTTATGCCTAGTATATAAATAGCGATGTTATCTTATTGTATATTGGAGTTATAAAATATAAATGATCTGTTTTTTATGTTCGAAGAAAAGCATTTGCTTCGAATAGAAAAGACATTCCATTTCCAATCGAATATGGTTGTAATGGATAAATGTTATAAATCATAAAAATATCAATGTTCCTTACAATCTTATTCTATTTTGTTAAATTAGAATGCCATTTTTATTTTTACATTAAAATTTCTTTTATTTGTTGATGGCATGATGTTTTTCAAACTATCTCTCTTCTTCTTGTTTTATCTTCATACTTGTTCCTTCTTCTCGCTATGCATTAGTGTTTGTTTTATTCAACTTTGTCTCACCTGCTTGAAATATTCCTATACCGTTTTGTCCGTATTTTCCATGTTTATTATATTTTATATATCTTAAAATGTCATTGTTTAGAGTACGATCTGTAGGATCCATTTTACAGTTATTATTGTAAGTTAATGTCTAAAACTTAAAAAACAATATGGACAATATCTAATTCAAAATCATTTGAAATTTCAAGAAAATTTCTCGATTGTTATAATCACTAATAGGTTTATTGTTTCAGTAGTTTTACATAAGCTATGTTTGCAGTTTAGATAAAACCTCAGCCCCCGTCCTAACAAAATCTTGAGAAATGAACTATGTTTGTCTATTAAAAACCTTCCGAAACCATTTGAATTATATCGCATTCCTAGGAAATAGTATATCTCCTACAAAATATTCCTTTAGCTTTTCATATATTTATTCATGCGTATTTATACCCTACACCACAAGGTGGTCAGGGTATTATGTATTTGTGCAATTGTGTGTAACAGGCAAAAGCAAACGAGATAGATCCATAGTTCCATTTGATGATCTGCATAGAGTCACATTCTCAGTCGATTTATGCATGTCCGTCCGTCCGTCTGTCTATATATCTTTGTAAACAAAGTACAGGTTGCATTTATTGCCCGATCCAGATGAAATTTTGCACAAATCATTTGTTTGGCCCAAGGACGAACCCTATTGAAATTGAAGATAGTCGGTCAAAATTTAGATATATGTATATATCATATATATCTTAATCCGATTTGCCTTTTATTGTGCACCAAACGTGTAATAGCAGCCCAAATAGTATGGAATTTTGCAGATACGACCAAATTAGGCCTGAAAATAAGTATGCAAAATTTGATCGAAATTGGTTCAGATATAGCCGATTTTTCATTTTTGTCCTCCACAGCCGTAATATGCACTCTGTAACAACGATTTTTGGGGAAAATATATTAAAAATAGCTCAGATTTTTTTTTTATCGAGATCGGTTCAGATTTAAATATTGTGCGCCTTTGATTGCGCGCCAAACGTGTAATATTAGCCCAAATGGGATGGAATTTGGCACTTACGACCAAATTGGGTCTTGTCAAATTTGAAATTTGCCCTGTACAGCCGTAATATATTCGGGGAAATATATCAAATACAGCTCAGAAATGCCTTTGCCAAATTTTATTGAAGTTGGTTCAGATTTGAATATAGCTCCCATATTTTTTCCGATTTCAAGTTAATTGGACACCAAATGGGTAATACAAGCCCGAATTGAAAAGGCACAAATGCCTCGGCAAATTTCGTAGAAATCTATTCAGAGTAGGATATTCCTCTCATATATAAGTTCCTTTAGACTTTTATTTATAACTATAATCATAGTTGGTATGATTTAATTCTCACAAATTCCCCACATAAACTTTTATTTGTTTTGTGAAAATCTACTAAATATGTAAAGTCGTGGAGGGTATCATAAAGTCGGCCCCGCCCGACTTTAAGTCTTTCTTTCCTGGTATATCTGTAGTATTCTTTACCACTTCGTCTGGATTAATTAAATTATTGCCTGCAGTCTTCAAAGGCCTCTGGTATTTTTGATAGAAATCGATTCTATGTATATACATATGTCTTCCCTCCTTTTTAAAATTTAAATCGCATTACAACCGTGCATTATAACAAATGCAACGACTACTTTACACAAATCCCTAATACAAACATACATTTGTTACGAAATGCTCTGCTAAAAATGCAGAATGGTTAAAAATGTAGTTTGTCTTTCCTTACTTATTTTAATACGTCGACCAAATATTGGTTTTGGTGAGGAAAATTAATTCCCATAAAGTGTTGGAAAGTAAATAATAAATATTTCTATCTGTTGGAATCTAAAAGACAAAAACTTCTAGGATATAATTGCAAATAAATTAGTTATAACCTCTTTAGAATCTTAAAGCTAAATTTCTTTATGTTGAAACGGCCAGGAAACGCCCATTTCCGATTTTTCTGAATTTTCAATTTCAACCCAAAATGTTGGTAACACACATTTCATGTATTTTGATATTCTGTCAAAGTAGAGGTAAGCATTTTTCGACTAAAAAAATTGCAATAGTTAATAGAGAAAGTAAAATGATCCCTATGTACTTCCCACACATTGGAAGAGTTCATGTATAAATGGAGAACCATTTAAAATTAAAAATAGTTTTTTGGTCTTTTGTTTTTTTTTTTTTTTTTTCAATGTTCCAAGATTTTTTCTTATTAGTCTTATTATGTTTGCAAATTAATCAAACATAACCTTGAAAAATTGAAAAATGTTTTTTTTTTTATATAAAATTACTTTTTCAAATTGATTATAAATTTTCTCTAGATACGGAACCCATGCATCATTTCAAATTGTATAAAAATACAAGTATGTCAAATTTTCATTTACGCCCCATTATGAACAGAAAGTGAATTCCAGTAAGGTGGTCAATTGGTGACAACATAATAGTAATATATCAATCCAATAAAAAGAGTCGTTCTTGACCTATATATGTATTTATGTCAACACCTTTTAAAAATACCTAAATATCTATATGTTATCGATTACCCACTCTACTGGAGTTCCACGAAATCTCATAATTGGGACATGTGGTGTAATGAAATACAAACTGACAAACCTATGTATATAGTATCTAACTGAAATCATACGTCATTTGTCGTCCAGTGTTTAACGCATCTACATTCATAAATGTTCTTTCTCTACCTTCTATTTTTTCATAAAATTGGCAATATGCCTAGTAAATATATACAAATTTATTACATTTTTTGACTTGTGTATAGTGTATAAAAATCTTTGTAAATATTTTGTAATGATTTATTTTAAATTATTTTTTTTAACAAATATTTACTAACATTTTATTAATTTTTTTGCCTGTATGTAAATATTTTATTGTTCTTAATACTTAGTGTAATTTCAATATTGTTTTTAAAATTGTACTAATTTGCCTTTGTATTTTATATCTTCTTGCTTTGATTTTTGAAATAAATTTTAGCTGTCCGTGCTGGTGATTATTACATGTTCGAGGATATTGATGATAAATTTGAATTGGATTTAATAACCGACAGCGATGGCCTATTCGATAATGACAACGAAAACATTACCGAGAGTGAAATTAAGATGAATCGCCGTAAGACCCTGTATGATGTAAGTATTAAATTTCCCGTTTGGATATAAATTTACTAAATGTGTTATGCTATGCAATGGTCTGAGTGTTGAGCTAGACTGGCTTTTGGTATGAAAATTATAGTATTCTAGGGGCTAATTGATGTTGAAAGGTTATAGTTTGTTTTTAGTTCAATTTGTTTTCTCTCGTCTCAGAACCTACAGAGTGACTATTACTTATATAATTTATTTAATTAATTTAATTATTTAATTCCATTGAACTCGGCTCTTAAAATATCCCACACAAAATAGGGGGTTATACCCGAAAATTTTTTGTGAGGTTTTAAACTATTTTCGTGTACTAGGTATACGAAATTTTAAATTACAGATTTTTAAGTTGAAAATTAGATGAAAGGACCATTCAAAATATTGAACCTTAATGTTAAATATCTGCGAGGTTTACAGAAGCAAAGGCTTGGTAAAAAATTGCTATTTTAGCGAGGAGTTGAAATATACCCAGTGAAATTTAAAATCACAGCTAACCTGTTTAGACAATACCAAACATATTTTTGCGAGGAGTGAATCTAACCTCTGAGGACTACTCACTGAGAACCCAAATTTTCAAATTACAGCTGATTTGGTGGGGATAATACCGAAAATCAGGAGATACCGTTGTATGGGAGAACTAACTAAATGTACGCCAATATATTATATTTTCAATACCAAACATACTAGGTGTAATATTAACAAAAGAGCAATATTTCAGCTGATAGACACGCAAGCGGACACTTCTATATGGACATAACATTTTACGAATATACAGGGTGAGATAAAAAACTGCAAACGCCATAATTTTAATTTTTTTTTATTAAATAAAAGAAAAGAAATGTCGGAAATTGCATCACATTTTAGAATAAGTTTGGATTTGTTCGAATTGGTCACCTTTGCCATGAGTTATGGCCTTCAAACGCCCACAATCCCGGCGAAGCGCTTGCATGAGATGATCCTTGCTTTCCAAAATACTCCAGACACAATAGTCCAAAGGATTGGTATCCGGAGATTTTGGTGGCCATTGTGCGCTGGAAATGAAGCGAGGAACCTCATTTTGTAACCAATCTTGGGTGGCGCGTGCTGAGTGCAATGGTGCTGAGTCCTGTTGGAATGTCCAAGATCTGCGGCCAAAATGTTTGCGTGCCTAAGGCTTTAATACACCCATCATTGCCGATAATATTCGGTATTTATTCTAATGCCACGGTCGATTAATACGAGCGGAGAGCGACTTCGGCGATGGCTTTACCCCGAGTTCATTTTTCAATATTTGCCGAATGGATCGGGATATTGCGACATGTTCAGCTCACGAGCCATTTCTCGGCCACTGCGACGCGGGTTTCGATCAAGTCGCTTCTTTACTTTTCTAACCATTTCTGCCGATGTTGATGTTTTCTTTAATTCACTTCCTTGACGTCGAGCTACGCTACCAGTACAAGATGTACAAAAGATTTATTCACATTTAAATGCTGAATTGCTCAAACGATAGCCACTTGTGGTTTTCCAGCCAAATATAAAGAAATCACACTATCACGCTTGAATTCCATCTCGAATAACTTTTTTTTTCTGAAAAACTCTCACCAAAATGCTTTTGTACGCTTGTAAACAATATAATGAGCTGTCACTGGAATAATTTTAACAGCTGTCGGACGAGGGGCTCTGAGATGACAGCAGTCTGATTGCGGTTTTCCGGTTGTGAATGGAATAACAAATTATGTATACCCATCATCTTATGGTGGAATATAAAAGTACAAACTGTAATTCCAAATTTCTCCAAAGAACATTTTTTGGACTTTATCTAGATTTCAACAGGGGAAATATTTCGAGTTAAGATCATATTGGCATTTAGGAGCTCCTACATTTGGGGTTGGAGGGTGTTACGAGTTTAAAACATCGAGTTTAAACCCTCCTTTTATTTCAAATAAAAAGCAATTACTTTTTGAATTTTAGGTCAGTATATTCGTTCGATTTATTTTAGCTTTCCAATGTTTCGTTATAGTTTACTTTGTGTTTAGTATTTAAATTAACAGTCATTTTAAAACAGGCTATAACATTTTCAGTTATAGGGTCTTACAAAATTTACTTTTATAACTTATTTTATAAAATAAAACATACAATTTATCTAGTTGCGACAATTACTATTCCGCTTCATCTACTTCTATATTATCATAAATATCTTCTATACCCTGAATCTCTTTAAGTTTGTCCACAAACTTTTGATAATCGGCCTTTTCCTCAGGCGTCAGAGTGACAGTATTTAGTGGCGTGAAAATGTGCTCCGTGTTATTCACAACATAGCCTTTGTTCTCCAATGCCTTTCGTACACCATTAATTCCCTCTGGTTTACAGATGAAATGCACCGAACCCGATTCATTATCTATCACTTCAATATCTTCCGCCCCCGATTCAATGGCATCCTCTGTCGCCTTATCCTCCAGACTTTCTCCAGCAGCAAGTCGCGTCTTATCTGCCGTTGCCTGTATTAAACCAAAATCTTCAAATAAATGCCCGGCATCAATTTGCACCCCACCGCCCTTGCGCAGTATGGTTGACATATCCATTTTTAGTTGGGCAAAATTATCCGTATATATGGTACAGACCATAAAGACTTTCTGTTTGAATCTCACATCTTGGCGATACTTTTTCAGTTGTGTCTTTGATGCTGTGAATTTTTTCAAATTATTTTGTATCGTTGCCATGGGCATATTTTTGCGTAGCGCCTCTTCAATTACACTTTTCAGTTCGCTATTCAGATTGGGATCAGCACTGCCACCATCCTGTATGGCCAAACGTATTTGTCGTGCAATTCGAGAAAATAATGCCGACTTTTGTCCATCTTTGGCGGCCTTAATGTGACGTATATTTGCCCATTTGGAGTGGCCAGCTAATAGGGGATACAGTTGAGTGGAGATGTCTCGTGTTGTACAACTGAGGCTATTTGTCCAGTTGCATGTTTGAGTTTTCACCGATTGCTGGAGCAAATTATTCCGTAATACAGTGAAGAGTAAACTTCTCATTGTGAAGATGATAGGTAGGCAGGCAGACAGCTAGAAATTGTTAATGAGGTAGCCGGATTCCAAAGTAATTTTGATGGTTGCTGAATGAACGTGTTGTTATTTTTGGAATCCTTTGTTATTTTTTCTTAAACAGTATAATTATTGCATTTGTAGTGATATTTTTATTGATATTATTTGCTTAATAATAAAATATATGTGTGGTTCTATTTGCTACTTTGGTTTATGTAAATACACCAATACAAATTTGAGGTTATGTTTACTTCATTCACAGTCGTTCAGCTGTTTGTCAATGAACAGATGGCCAGACACAGTGTTGTTTTTATTTCGTATGACATCAGCAGACACGGCAGATGACGTGGCCGAAGACAAGTAACTGACGCCGTTAAATTGTAATGACCGTTAATGAAATAAAAGCAGGGCTACTTAAAAGAAGACAAATGTATTTTTATTTTTAATGAAAAATATGAATTCTTATCTGTAGGAATATTTGATTTATAAATTAAAATAAATAATTACGCATTTACAAACATATTTAAATATAAAATGGTTATAATATGATCTTTTAAGCTTATATTCAGCAAAGAAACTTACATTAATGGACACGTTTTAATTGAAAGGGAAATATGGATTTTTTTCAATTATAGCGCCAAATATTTAGCCTTTGTTTTCATTAGAATAAAACGTTTAATTATGTAATAATATGAATTTTCTGAGCTTTGGGATAGAAAAGATGCCTTACCTTTCTAATTTGAATTTACAGGAGTTATTATTTGGTGTTATATATTAACAATAATGAAAAATAATATTCAGACCATTGTATAACATTGTTTTTGTTGTTTTCTTTTACAAATAAACCAAACGATTTTTGTGTTAAACCCAATTTATGCATCCATTGGAATTTTATATGTTTGATCATCAAAATTTTTCCAATAACACTAAAATTTAAATTTAATTCCCTACAACAACAACAACCAAACACAAACAAATTTAATAAAATTGCAAACAAAGGTTTGGAAGGACATTAGTGCTGTGGAATATCGTCGTCAGGTATATTTACGGCAACGTTCGTATGCCTCGGCACCACCCTCCCATATTGGTATACTCTTGAATGAGCATCAAAATGATGCCGATTTAAATACCGAAGGCGGTATACGTATATCAACATTATCTGAACCTTTGTGCTATGCCCAACGTTCGACAAGTGAATATTTTGTGAGTTGCAAAAAAAAAAGTTTTTCGAAATTTTCTCCGTTTCTTTTTTCTTTGTAAGAAGACGAAGTAGAACGGAGAGTAAGACACCATTTTGTATTTTTCTTTCTAAAGATCACCAAATTTTTTTCAGAACTCCAAATATTTTATTTTTGTTTCGCTAAATCACCTTTATTTAATTGAATACACTCACAAAATCACACACACAATTTGACACAAAATATTAAAATATTTTTTACATAAAAATTATATAAAAGAATTAAAAAAAGATATCTTTAAAATATATAAAATACTTTCGATATTACACAAAGTTTAATTTAAGTTCATTAATTGTTTATTGGCAATGTGCGTAAATATCGATGGTGTTTTATATAGGTTCAATGTTATTGTTAAATGTAAATATATAAATGTGTATAAAATCTCAAACACAATTGACTACACATTACTAAAAACTAATATGTTTCCTATAACAGACATATAATTTAATAATTGTTGATGTTTTTTAGTTATCGTTATTAAAATTTTGAAATATAAAAACTAATTTTATTATCCACCTATTTATATTTACAAAGGAGAGTCAAAAGCCCAGACCCCAAAAAGATTCACTGACCGATACAGCTGGACCCTCTACCAGCAAGGCAGGCGGTGGAGCAGCAGGTGGAGAAACCCCAGCAAAAATGCCCACAATGGAACCTAGGCAAAAAACTGAAGTTGACAGTGGTGAAATAACTGAAAAGGATACAGAAGAGGGTAAGGAACAAGTTTTTGTTTCAATTGAGAATTGAATTAAATCAAATGTCCATTACAGATTTCGAAGCCAATCCAATAATACGTTTAATGGAAGGATTTTTGGTTTCGCTGACCATTCGTTTGAATCGTTTCTCACGCAATTATCGTTATGTCAATAAAATCCTCGAAGAAGAAAAGAAAGCCTTGAAGGAGTCCAACAACCTGTATATGTTTAATGGTCGTTTTAGCGGCCGCAATGCTGCTGCCATATTCAGTTTAATGAAACGTAACATTGCCAGGTATTTGTCCAAGAATTTATTTGCAATTATTATGTTCTTCTTCGCCAGCAGTAACGTAAATATTATATGTTTTTGAAATCAAAATTTTATTTTGAAAACAAATTTGGCTTCTTTTATGAAATTTTAAAATTTTTTTCATGACTTTATTTTTTTGTTAAAACCGTTTAAATTGCATTTTGTTTCTTTAAATTATTTGTTTTTGTTAATTTTTATTAAGAAAAAAAGATAAACTAGAAGTATTTTGTGGCATGATTATAAACAGGAGATAACTGGAGTGCAAATTGCACTGTGCAACACACAAAAAAAATAAATAATTACAGGGAAATGCAGCAGTTTCAATCAAAAATACTTCTAGTTTCAAATCAAGTACTACTTTAAATTCATTATTTTACTATTATTAATTTCGTTTTTTGTTTTTCCTTCTTCTTCTTTTTTGCATATTCTGTTTTGCATCTTATGTTACATACATATCTTCTGTTATTGCAACCTGTTATTGTTTGCTACCCTGAATTTGAACATGAATGCTATCTACCAACCACCTATTATCACCAACAACTACAACAACAACGAAAAAATCAACTACAAACAATACCACAAAACCTTCACCAAATGTAAAAAATTGAAAAAAAAAAAAACAACAAATCATAAATCATTCATTGTTAATACTTTTTATTTAATTTATTTATAAAATCATATTATTGAATGTTATATTTAAACTCAAAAATATCATTATAATTATTATTGTTTTTTTATTTTGTTATACGTTTCTTGATTGTTATTTAAAAAAACAAATTGTTTGATTGCAAGTAGTGATGAACATGAAGATGCTACACGTCCTATTGCTACTACCCCAACCTCATCGAAAAGGAATTCTAACAGTGCACCATCCACCACCACCACACAACCACACAATGAATTTATGCAATCACCACCATCACAAATACCACCATCCATTAACATATCAACATCACAATTACAACAACAACAACAATATAATGATGATATCAATGCCATCGAGCCATCATCATATGATGTCGTTGATAGGTAAACATTAAACGAAACAAAAAGCCATAACAACTAACAATTATTTTATGGTCGGTTTGCACTGACCCATGTTGTTATACCCTAAACCACTACCTATTTTTGAATTTCCATCAGTAAGAAGGGAAAATAATTCTCTCAGGGATTTCGTTGGGAAAATATATTGGACCCTAAAGTAATCAATTTCAGGTTCTGTGAAATAATAATCGCAAAAGAGTTTATTCATAACAAATAGAAATACAGCTTGAGATAAAAAAAACTGCAACAAAGTCAAACGCCATAATTGTAACATTTTTTAATGAAAGCATAAAATGTCGGAAATAGCATCAACATTTCAGAATAAGTTTAGATTTGTTCGAATTGGTCACCTTTGACACGAATTATGGCCTTCAAACGGCCAATGAAGCCGTCACACGCAGCCCCACTGTTGCTCTGCGGTATTTTGGCCCATTCCAGGCTAAAGATTAGGTCAGGGTGAAATCCGAAATGGCAAATTTTTAGATATTTTTGGTGAAATGAGTAGTTAGTATTCAACATTTGGGGATTTTTCTGTTGGAATCTCAGGGTTACATTCGAAAATTGTTAAACTTAAACAAAGTACGTCATATACTAAATCCAAACCCCAACAGGTTTGTATGGCATACCTCTTGTAGTACTGAGATTACCTCAAAAATAACAATTATTCGCTTAAATTTGGAAATAAATGTTGGATTTTCTAAACATTGCCCAATATTTTTTCAGTATTATATGAAGTAGAATACTGTGGTCCACTACATCTGGTAGCTCAAACACCGTCCAAATTTGTCAGCAAAATCGACTGACACTTGTTTTCCTTTGCATTTTGACATAAACGTTTTTAGGGATACATTCTGCATGGGGGACTCAAATCTTTTTTTATTTAGGAATATTTGGCTTTTGATGAAAAAGAAATTCAAAAAATTTAAATTAGTTATCGTAGTGGTTTTAAGGTATAACAACAGTTTTATTAATTTAGATTTATAATCCCCAATATTATTTTGTAGTTCATAGAGTAGATATATTTTTCAATTTATTTTTGATTTCGTAGCAGCTAAAAGTAATTAATTTCCTTAGCAAAATAATTAGCATAATTGCCGAAAAAACAACAACATCAATAATGTTTATATCCAAAAAAAAAAGTCTCTCCAAACAGCAAACACCAAATTTATGCATATTTTCATAATTAACATTTTTTGTATTATAGCAAAGAGACACTATCGGAACCGAATAGTAGCAATAAGCTTGTACGACCAAAAGGGTAAGTTCAATTCATGCATTCTTTTTGGTATTTTCGTTTTCTCATTATTTAACGCTAGTAAACGTTATTATTGTCATTTATGTTTATGAGAAAATATTCATATATTTTTAATTTTTAATATCATAAATAATATTTGTTTTCATATTTTAATAATACAAACTTGGAGCCAAGTGTAATGTTTTGCTTATTTCTGCTGTGGAAATTGAAAACAAAACGAAAAAATCGAAATAACAAACATTTAGACCCATAAAAAATGTAAAAGTCCTTCTCGCTTCATATCTCGCTTTTTTATAATATTAGCATGGAGACTAGAGTAATTGAATGCTTACTGCTGTGAAAATTATTATACGAATAATAAAAAGTTTTTAGAAAAAAGTCGCAACATTAGGCCCCTTTAAAAATTGGTTTAAAATTACGTCATAAAATCTTTTATAAACAAAATCGATTTTATAAAGCCAAATGGGAACCATTTAGAATCCGTAAAATATTTACGATATAAATCCTTTTTGGATAAAAAGAAAATCTTTAAAATTAGCACTTTTGGGAGATTTAAAATTTAAATTCTTTATAAAAATGCACATTGCGACTCCTTTTTGTAATCCGTAAAAATCCAATATATAACCCCTTATAGGACCAGGGAAATACAGCAGATTATGAAAGTTGAGGTAAAAAGAAGACACGTGGATCTGTGTTTTAAAAGTTTACATCACAAAGAAACCTTAATAGAGGGCACATGTTCGCCCCTTTTCCACACTTTTGGAAATTTTTGATTTTAAGATTCCTAGGAATCCATGCATTTCTGGAATACGAAAATAGGTCGAAAATTGGTCGAAAATTTTAACCTTCAAGCTCGTCAAAAAAAAGGTGCACATTTTCAGCTGAACTCTATGTCAAATAAACACGATCATTTTGTTTGTTTACAAACTGCTGGACAACGAATGTTTTCTAGTCGGAGAAAACCGAATTCGGCAGTTCACCACTTTCGGCCAAGCGAAGCAACTCTTTAGCTCTTTTGAGACCATTTTCTTTCTGATGCGGTGTAAAATTCTTGCACTTTTTGGAATTTCAATGGCTTTACCCCGAGCTCGTTTTTCAATATTTTCCGAATGGAATATTGCGATATGTTCAGCTCACGAGGTATGTTTCGGCCAATGCGACGCAGGTTTCGATCAAGTCGCTTTTTTACTTTTCGAACCATTTCTGCTGATGTTGCTTTTTTCTTCAGCCCACTTCCTTGACGTCGGGCTAAGCTACCAGTATCACGGCAATGAGCGATGGTGCGAGACACAAAAGATTTATTTATTCATTTAAGTTATGGCGTTCCTAAAATATTATTTAAAAAATCGCTAAAATTAGCTAAAAATTTAAATTAATAAAAATAATATTAGCTTAATGCCTAAAATATGATTTCTGTGCTCTTTCCTTGGCTCCAAGTTTCAATATTTTATTATTTATTGTATTTTTATGCTTTCATTTCTATTACCTACTATTTGTACAGTATTAATTGTGTACAAAAAGAAATTGATTGATATCCATTTGAAAACCAAAAAAATACCCCATATATAAAAACCATCCTATCTATATTTGTTTTATATCCTCAACAAACAAAAAACATATTATTGCGATTGGTGTTATTTGTACAATGAAAAAAAAAAACAAAAACAAACAAAATTAAATGCTTTGGCTTTGTTCGTTCGTTAAATTGAATTTGTTTGCCAACCATAACAAAAACAAAATCGTATCTGTGCATATGTAGGCGTAAATCCGAGCCTTTACCCGAAATACGCATTAAGGCTCCATCGTTCGATCGTAGTCGCCGTGGCTCAGTTGCTCTAATTACAAATCAGTGGGCTCAAGAGAAAGTTACCAGGTAGCTTAGTATTTCCTTTCTTTCATTATTCATTTCTTTTCTTTTTTAAAAAATTCAAAATTAAAAAAAAAATTACAAAAATTGATATTTTTTCTAATTAGAATGAGATTTGTTTTGTAAGGTGTTTTAGTTAATGAATGATTTTCCTTTTTTGAGTTCGAAAGTACCACACCTTAAAGTATAAGGTCAGTGAAGATGATGGTGATCAGAATCGGTTTTTGTAACTCCTATTATGAAGTGATCACCTTCATTCTCCTGACCTCCTCCACCCTTAGAAGCTAGTTTTCGTCACAAAATTTTCTTTTAATATAAGAAAAGTATTTTTGTCACCCACACGTATGTCATATTTTTCTTCCTACTACTTCATATTCCAGACAACTTGAAAACAATAATCAAAAGCGTTACCTCTAATATTATTGCTTGCATTGAATATTTTTGAATTTATTTATTTTTTGAATTGTAAATTTATTCCTTTTAAGGTTTACGTTTTTTATATATTTTAATAAATGATTGTAGCATGGTATTTTGTTGTTAATTGTATGTAGAAATTATTTGGTAATTGTTAATGAATTTTGCAACAAGAGAATGAGTATAATTTAGAAAAAAAAATAGTCTTTGTAAAAAAACAATGCGAAAAAAACCAGTTTAAAATTTTGTTTTGAAAGTTATGGTACCAATATATAAATCGATTGGGAAAATAGACTGTATCGACCACTTCAACTGGTTTCATCCTCACAAATTTTAAAAATATTACGATTTTTAAAAAGCTGCCTATCAGGTTCGCGTTTTTCAATGTAGTATTTTTCCACCGGGTTCAACATAAACCATTTTTTTTTCTTATTGAAGTAATTTTTAAGTTTCCTCTCAGTCAATACTTCCCCTAAGAAACTCTATAATAAAAAATAGAAAAACGATCTTTCCTTTGCCAACGAGGGCGAATTCTAAATTGCCCAGAAGGCCCTCCGAGAAGCGCTTTATGACTGGCTTTTCCACAGAAATTTTCTTCAAAAATACTCGTTTGTTTACAAAATTCCTTCAGACAGGAGGGTGAGGGTGAAATCACTCACAAATTTTTGAAATATTACGATTTTTCAAAAGCTGCCTATCTGGTTCGCGTTTTTCAATGTAGTATTTTTCCACCGGGTTCAACATAAACCAATTTTTTTTTTCTTATTGAAATATTTTTTAAGTTTCCTCCCCTAAGAAACTCTATAATAAAAAAATAGAAAAACGATCTTTCCTTTGCCAACGAGGGCGAATTCTAAATTGCCCAGAAGACCCTCCGAGAAGCGTTTCATGACTGGCTTTTTCACAGAAATTTTCTTCAAAAATACTCGTTTGTTTACAAAATGCCTTCAGCCAGAGCTACAAATTTCATTTCGGACTATAAAAGGCCAGAAAACAAGGCACTGCATTCGAGTTTCCCTCTTTTTTAACTTATATTTATATTATAAAATATATTAAAACATGTATTTCAAATTAGAACAATTGTACACATTAACTACTTTGTATGTTCAACAACGATCTATTTTTGTTAATGTTTGTATATGTATGTACTTCAAATACGATTTAGAAAACTTAATATATACGTTTTTTCTTTAAATTAGTAGAATGATTTTTCTATTCCGAAATAAAAAATGAGACTAAAATATATTTCCCCATTATATCTCCACCTTACAGCACGGAATTGGCATTCGATGAAGATGATTTTACAGCACGCGATCACAATATTATTGTGGAAGTTTTGATTTCAGCCTGGTATGCCATACTATCGAATACGGATTTGATTTGTTACATTGTGGTGTTCATTAATCAGGTAAGCTAGCAATTTTTGGTTTGAAATGCCTTATAAAAATCTTTTCTTCTTCTTCCTCTTTTTACAGATTGTCAACGCCAGTTTAATATCGTTGCCATTGCCCTTGATGATTTTCCTTTGGGGCACCCTGTCGCTGCCACGTCCCACCAAAACGTTTTGGGTCACTCTTATCGCATACACCCAGGCCATTGTACTTATCAAATGTATCTTCCAATTTAAATTGATCTGGACGAATTACCATTACAATTTACCCAATAATCCATTGGGTATTGAGAAGTTGTTTGGTGTTGAAATGATTCCGGACTATGCCACATATGATTTGTTGCTGTTGTTGGTGTTGTTCTTCCATAGGTAAGAAAGGAAAATTGTTATACTTTAAAAATTGTGCAAAGAACTGTAAACGTCGGTTATTAAGATTATGTTATTAATTGAAGTCATAAACTGTCACATTTTAAACCCTCACCTTACAATTTTGATACAGTACCTTAGAATTGTTTATTCATTTTGGTGTAATTACATATTACCCTGGAATCAGTTTTATACCCTCAGCCATATGGCTACAGAGGGTATATATCATTTGATGCGGCCAAAAGTGACTCAACGAAATAACGATTTTAGTCCCTAGGTCTCTTTGGACCAAATCCGTTTCAGGACATTTGGAGTCGATCTAGCGATGTCCGTTCGTCCGTCCGTCTGTTTGGCTGGCTGGCTGCTGCGCACGATAACTCTCGAAGGGAGTATCTGATTTGATCCAAACTTTGTACATTGTAATATTATTGTAAAACTTAAATCGAGTTCCGAGATGGGTAATATCGTTCCACTCCCACACAAAATGTCAAGATTTAAAACAAAAAACTATTTACTACACAGAAAGAGAAAGGATAATCCGATTTTGCTCCAACTTTGCAAATCCTTATATTTGCACAAGTTCTAGGTCAGATGCGAAAATGGACAATATCCGTCTACTCCATCATTACCTCACCCACAAAGGGTTAACATTTTGAGTAATTACAACTCTTATAAAATGTTATGTAAGAGTCCGATTGTCTTCAAATTTGACACATTCCAATGATATTATTAACCGAAGGTCTGGTGTTAAGATCTGGTACCTTCCCCACAAGGGTTCAAAATTTTGAATATTCATGAAGCACGGAATAACCATCCGATTCCACTCAGTCTTGGTACATATTAATACTTGGTACATATTAATACTTCCATAAAAACAAGATCTGTTATAAAGATGGTAGAGATCTGGTACCTCTCCCACAAAGGGTCAAAGTTTTGAATAACCAAAAATAATCATAAAATCCGGAATAACATTAACACGAGATAGCTCTTCAGTTCAGCCAGATGCAAAAGTGGCAAGAAGCTCTGTTCCATTTTCGTATAAAAAATCATAAAAATTAAAAAAGTAATTTCCGCCGATATCTTGGTCTGACTTGCAAGATTCCTTCCTTCTTCTGTATCTCCTCTTCGGTGTAACATTTCATGTATTTTTATGTATCTCCTCTTCGGTATAACATTTGTTTGTAGTTCAAACTAAAAAAAATAAACAAAAAAATATCCAACAAAACAATTCTTCACAAATTATTTTACTATAGAATTGCCCACGAAGACTAGAATTTCGGCAGAGAACTATGCAAATACATTTATTTTAATTGTTATCTTTTTCTTCGTTACAGATTTATTTTGAAATCTCATGGCCTTTGGAAGATCGATAACTATAAGACTGCAATGTTCCAAAGCGAGGCTGACGAGGACCGTAACAGTCTGTAAGTATTGTCGTTTTTTATAAATAATTTAATAATACTGAAATTTAAGTATACATTAAACAAATTACAGATTAGGTAGGTTTTATTATTTCCTTATACAATATCAATTTAATTGAGATCAAATGCATTCAAAATATTGAAGTCCATATAAAAAGAAGAATTATGTCTATCAAATCCAAAGAAAACTGGAAAAGGCAAACAGCAAGATTACAAGCCAGAATTAGAGTGTTAAGAAACTTTCGTGTCAAAACAAATATTGCAAAACAAAATCAAGATAATACTGTGATGAGGTATTCCAAAATTTATTTATTTATTCGAATTTATTTAATAGAATTCCAAAATTATTGCGTTTTTGGAATTATTTCTTGGATTTTTGATTTTTTTATAGAATTGTATTATTAATTAATTTTGATATTGTCTATCCTATTATAGCAATGCCTCCAATGCTGATGGTGCTGAAATGAACTCAACCAGTGATCGTCGCCGTTCAATGGGTTCAGATTACGCCTCCGGTAGTCGTGAAAGTATATCGGCCACCAATGAATTGGTGAAGCGTGTTGAAAGTTTCCAACGTCACAAGTACTTGTGTGGCCTCTCAAAATTCTTCCATAACTTGATGCATAAGGCCCGCCTGCCAACCGATGTCTATGCCCTGATGTTCTTGTGCGATTTTATTAATTTCTTTGTCTTGCTGTTTGGATTTACGGCATTTAGTGTAAGTATATCAAATTTTATATTTTACAATTCTTGAAATTACTATTTTCTTTTTATTCCAGTCAAAGTTATCTGATGGTGGTGTCAAAACCTATTTGGCCGAAAACAAAGTCCCAGTGCCGTTCCTCATCATGTTGTTGGTCCAGTTCATATTGATTGTAATCGATCGTGCCTTGTATCTACGCAAAGCATTGGTGTTCAAAATTGCTTTCCACTTTATATCGGTGGTTGGTATCCATATATGGATGTTCTTTGTTGTCCCAGCGGTCACAGAGCGTAGTTTCTATGCCTCGGCTCCACCAATAATATTCTACATCATCAAATGTTTCTATTTGCTCTTGTCCAGTTATCAAATCAAGTGTGGCTATCCAACACGTATTTTGGGCAATTTCTTAACGAAGAGTTTCTCAATGATCAATATGATTTCATTTAAAATGTAAGTACGATATATTTTAAAGAAGTTGATATTACATATATAATTTATTTGATATGAATATATATTGAAAAAATTAAGGGGGGTTAATCTTGAGGCTTTGAAGCTTTGAAATATTATCCGAAATATGAAATATTATTATATTTATTGAAATATGAAATATTATTATATATAATATTATTATTTGAAATATTATCTCACCCTAAATGATATTGTTTTTTAATGTTTATTTATAAAAGAAATCGTAAGCGTATATAAAATATATACAGGGTGAGATAAAAAACTGCAACAAAGTCAATAGCCGTAATTTCTACATTTCTTTTTAATTTTATTGAATGAAGGCAAAAAATATCGGAAATAGCATCAAATTTTAGAATAAGTTTAGATTTGTTCGAATTGGTCACCTTTGGCACGAATTATGGCCTTTAAACGGCCAATGAATGAATGAAAATGCCACACTCTGCCCGAATGTTGCTCTGCGGCTTGAGGTGATCGACACTTTTGTATTTTTTAGTGCCAACCTTGCTTTCCAAAAAATACTCCAGACACAATAGTCCAACGGATTGGTATCCGGAGATTTTGGTGGCCATTGTGAGGTGGAAATGAAGTGGGAAACCTCATTTTGTAACAATTCTTGGTTGGCGCGTGCTGAGTCCTGTTGGAATGCCCAAGGTCTGCGGCCAAAATGTTTGCATCCCCAAGGCTTTAATACACCCTTCAGAATATTTTCGCGATAATATTCGGCATTTATTCTGATGCGACGGTCGATTAATACGAGTGTAGAGCTACCATCGTCTGTTATGGGAGCCACAACATCACCATGGCCGCGCTTGCATGATTGCCAATCGAAGGTGCACATTGTCAGCTGACCTCATTGGCAAGTAAACACGATCATTTTGTTTGCAAACTGCTGGACAAGGAATGTTTTCTCATCGGAGAAAACCAAATTCGGCAGTTCACCACTTTAGGCCGGCCAAGCGAAGCAACTCTTTAGACTCTTTTGACTCTATTTTCTTTCTGTTGCGTTGTAAGTTCTTGCACTTTTTTGAATTTCAATGGCTTTACCCCGAGCTCATTTTTCAATATTTGCCGAATGGAATATTGCGATATGTTCAGCTCACGAGCCATTTTTCGGCCACTGCGATGCGAGTTTCGATCAAGTCACTTCTTTACTTTTCAAACCATTTGCTGATGTTGCTATTTTCTTCCGCCCACTTCCTTGACGTCGGGCTACGCTACCAGTTTCACGGTAACAAGAGATGGTACGAGACACAAAAGATTTATTCACATGTAAATGCCGGAGTGCACTTGTGGTTTTCCAGCCAAATATAATGAAATCACACAAGCACGTTTGAATTCCAACACGAATAACTTTTTTCTGGAATATTCACACAAAATGCTTTTGTACGCCTGTAAACAATATAATGAGCTGTCACTGGAATAATTTTAACAGCTGTCGGACGAGTGGCTTAGAAAAGACAGCAGTCTGAATTTGGTTGCAGTTTTTTCATCTCACCCTGTATTAAATCTTCTTTTATATTAATTCCTACATTACCTAAAAACTCTAATCAAAATGTTTCATTTTTTAAATAGTTACATGGTCATCCCCTTTTTGTACGAGTTACGTACAATTCTGGATTGGCTGTGCACGGACACCACAATGACTCTCTTCGATTGGCTGAAAATGGAAGATATTTTTGCCAACATCTATTCAATAAAGTGTCTGAGACAAATGGAAACAGATTTCCCTGCAGTGCGTGCCCAAAAGAAAGCGGCCTTTATGAAATTGTTGATGGGTGGTGCTGTGATATTATTTATTGTATTCCTTATATGGGGTCCCCTCACATTGTTTGCCCTTTTCAATGCTGTTGGACAATCTAATGTTCCCACAGAGGTTAAAGTATCGCTACGCATTAGTTCATATGAGCCCATCTATGTTACCAGCACCCGAGAAAGTACCTATGTTTTTAACGATGAAATGTTTTCACAAATGAAAAATGCCTACATAAAGGAGCGAGAAGCTTTGTCATTCCTACTGAACTATGATGCCTCCGATATTGCTGCCATCAAGCTAAGTGGTAATTCACCAACTATGTGGAATATTGCACCACCGGATAAGATGCGTTTATTGGATGAATTGAATAGCAGTAAGTATTTAATAATTCACTTCGAAAAAGAAATTATATTCTAAACTAATTTCAAAATAATTTTCAAGATGCAACCTTAACCGTCCGCTTGGCCTATGAACTGACACGAACCCCACCCTCCAAGGGCCAAACGGGTACGGTGGGCTCAGAAATTACCTTCCAAATGAATGACACCTATGCCTATCGAGATACCCTAAAGGCCATGATAACTGGTGGCCCAAATGATAAGAACTCCACCAGTAATGGAACCCTAATAGAGGCCATTATACCAAATATTGTGCCGAAATTTATTAAAGTTCTAAACTCCGCTGATCCAATATATGTCTCAGCATTGCTTGTCAATACCAATAATAGTAAGTAAATGTAAAATTCTTTATTAAACAATGACTAATATATTTTAATTTATTTTATTTTCAGACTTCCGCGACTTGGGCATCAAGGTCCACACAAATAACTATAGCTTCCAGTGGTGGGAAATTGCCGATCATTGTGATGACAATCACAACAATGTTGTGGGTTCGGGTGGCAGCAACAGCCTGGATGATGACGATGATGATGGCATTGATAAAGCCAATGAAATATTGAAAAAATTACCCTTGTATGATTGCAATTCGGGTATAGTTTTCTATACGTTTAACGATAAGAAATTCCCATCAACATGGACCTTTATCACTGCTGGAGGGTAAGTTGTTTGATTTTGTACTTATTTAAAAAAAAATATATAACAAAATATTTGTTTTTTTCCAGCATCATCGGTATCTACACTACATTTGTTTTAGTGGTCTCGAGATTTTTGAAGGGCTTCTTGGGTGGCCAAACTCGCAAAATTATGTACGAAGATTTACCCAATGTTGATAGAGTATTACAATTGTGCCTTGATATTTATTTGGTAAGTAAATAACAAACAAATTAAGAGAATTTTCCAATTTTAAAATTTACAAACGGAAGGGGATCGATGGGATTTATATTCTAGTAGATATTTTTATACCCTCCATCATAAGAAGCCCCCATAGATATATTATCTTGATGGGCATAAAATTCTACGTCGATTTAGCTATGTTCATCTCCCTATTCGTCGATATATCTTTTCGTCATTTCAAATCAAAATTGATCCCACATTACTTTTTGGTGGAGCTTTGAAATTTGGCACAAAAGTTTGTTTTATGTCGTGGATGGTAGCTATTGAAAATTGACTATATTGATCGACGTTTAGGTATGGCCAGGGACGTAAGCAGAAAGGCATTCCGAAACCATTTCGGGAGCCCAACTTGCAAAAAATACACTTTTCCTTTTTTAATGTAAACTAAAAGTAAAAAGTAACCATTCCTGAAGAACCGAGCCCAGGATCCCACATTTTGCGTATGTACCCCACAGCCCCATATAACGATAAGCCAAGATTGTGTAACGATATTTCCAAAGACAACAATCAAGAATTGTTTAGGAATATTTCCTTGGGTAAAAGCGATGATTTCTATGAACATTCCCATTCCCATACTGGAATAATTATTATCGTTTTTTTTTTCGAATGTTTCCAAAAATAATAAAATTAATTCAAATTTCTAATAATAAGAGGGAAACCCCCTCAGGTTATGAAAGTAAAGGTAAATTGGAAGATATATATATCGGAGTTTTGGAGGTTTACATCGAAAAATAACCTAAATAGAGGAGGCAAGTTTACCCCTCCTCCACACTTTTGGAAATTTTTGGATTTAGATCCTACTTCGGCAATACTGTATATAATAGTGCAAGGGATATTTTGGTCGAAAATGTCAACCCTCAAGCCGTTTAACAAAGGCTTTTTTTGGACTTTTTACAAAAAATCTTCCCTTAAACTACGATCCAGTTTAAGTCAAGTCAAAATATTCTACAATTTTTTTTGTCATAAAATTCTACTATAGTTCCTATAAAACGCCAAGAGTCTAAATCCTACCTAAACGCCAGGAATATATTTATATTAAATCCGTTCTAAATTTGTGCAAAAATCTCCAACAAAGCATAATTTTTGAAGGATGACGTCAAAGACAAATATATTCCTCATTAAATTTAACTAAAAGTCAGCACAGAAATAAAAATCTCTATTTCCGTTGTAAACCATAAAAAAAATCCATGGTACCAAAAAAACAGAAAATATTTCCTTATATTTTAGATCAATCTTTTCGGACTTTTTTCAAGTTAAACCTGAAAGTAACTAAAAATTCATTTTAACCAAAAACCGTCAAAAGAAGAAATATTCTACCCAACATTTCACTAGTAATCTCAGAATAAACTATATATCTAGATGCAATAGTTTTTACGAAAATTACATTCAAAATTTATGTATTAAAAGTAAAAATCATGTGTTTGTTGGATTTTCTTTTTTAATTTAACACATATCCAACCCGAGTCGAAATCTTCCCTTTTACTTCATTTTTTGTGTAAAGTGTCAAAGTAAAAATTATTCTAGATCAAATTTCATTATGAGTCTCTGAACAAAAGGAATTCGTATACTTGATATATATCATAAAAAATAGTAACTATTTTTGTTTATAAAAAACCTTGTTTTTTCTGATAAATTTAGCACTTTTTCCCAATTTGCTGCAAAGTTTATTATGATTTCGCTGATTAATAGCCAGTCTGGATTGTGAAAAATTCCAAGTGAACTCGATAGTACTCGTTTTTAGATCAAAACCACAAAGCCACAAAATTTGGTTTTTTTGGCCAAATGTTATTAAAGTCCTTATATAGTTTTGACCATATACAAAGATACCCCTATATTTTTAAAATATGTTTGGTAATATTTAGGATAGAGCTTGGAATTTCGATAGAGAATCTTGGATTATATCCAGAATATAATCTTGGATTAGCAGGAGTATAATTAAGGACAGTTTAATGATAATAATAGTGTCATATTTTAAGAATATACCTTTTCAAAAGCCAAATATATATTGGCCGTAACCTTTTGTAATTTATTTTTTAACACTTTTTCACCTCTTCTCGTCTTGCAGGTAAGAGAAGCCTTAGAATTCATGTTGGAAGAAGATCTATTTGCCAAACTACTCTTCCTGTATCGTTCACCGGAAACCATGATCAAATGGACAAGGCCACGGGAAGAGATCGCTGACGATGAAACCGATACGGATTCAGTGCGTAGCAGAGCCAGTGGGAGAAGAGAACATCAACAGCAGCCACAGCAGCAGCAACAACAACAACAATAATTGAATCTGTACACAAAATATTTGACTGGATATTAAGCTAAAAAATATATTTATATTAGAGGTTTATAATTTTTGTTATTACCCCTTTTCCTCACATGTGGATTGTTCTTTTTTTTACAAATTTCACTTCATTTTCTCAAAACAAACCTTAAATGAAAATAAGAAGAAAAAAACTGCCGACCATTTGTAAAAAACAAAGAAACTTTGTTCTAAGATCGTTTTAGTTTAAAAATAGTCAAATATTAAATTGTGTGTTTATTTTTCACTTCTATAGAAAATATTAAGCTAAAATACTTTTTATTATAAATATTAATCCATTTAGTGTCAAGGTTTGTTTCATATTTTCAGGGTGTGGCAAAAAAGTGTACTTGTATCGTGACGGGATCCATAATGTGGACATTCCTAATGATTAACTAATTACAGCTTTTTGTGAGGTTATAAAAAATATTAAAAAATTATCTTAAATATTTAGAGATTTGGAAGATAATCTCATTAATAGAAACCTAGCCTATAGCCCATTAAATCTCAAAAAACGTTCCACATAATCTTATTTTTCCGATATTTTACCTTTAAAGGTAAAATATCGAAAAAGATAAAATATGCCATTTTTAGCTTGATTTAATTGAACATTATGGTAGAAACGAATGTTAGGGTTAAAAGCCACTTGTTCGTACCAAAATGTTCCTATTTGTCAGTCTAATATGAACATCCAGAAATTCATTTCGATCGAATAAAGAAATTTTGCCCCAGTCCCCCTGTGGATCTATTCATTTTATAAGTAGTCACTTTTTTAGTTACCTCTGTCACATTTTGTCTTCTAATGTTCGAATGCCATTATATATTTTTTTGTCTCATCTAACCTCAAAAGATACGAACTTTTGTATTTTTATTATAGTTTTTTTTTATACATGAAATATATCGAATCATATAAACCAAATCGAAAGAATATTAAAAAAAAACAACAACTAAAAACAACACCATAATAATTATATAAATGTAATAAAAATGTGAACTCATATTCAGGGATTTTTAAGCATTTTTTTGATACAAAAAATTAAATAAAGAAAAATAAAATCATAAAAAAAAACAAACGAATAAACAACATGTTTATATGTGTGTAAAAGTTGCTTGTACATATATATGTATTACAAATAAGTTAAACACAAAACAAAATGTATTATAGTGAGGAAGAAAATTTTGAAAATATTTGTAATTTCATAAAAAAAAATTTTGTGCAAAAACAAAAATTTGTGGAATTCAAACCTTTACCTTGTAAAACATTTGTGAGCAAAATCCTTCATATTTTTTCCACTCTTTGATGTAAACATTTTCTCGGCCACCAAATAATATTTTGTACCTCTTATAAATGTGATGATTTCATTTGAAAATTCTTAAAAGTATTGTCTCAGACTCCACAAGGATATTTATTCTAGATCATCACGAATTGCTATGTCGATTTAACCATGTCCTAACTATACAACTTTTGAAATACGTAGATAATATTTTGAGAATCTGCATTTTCAGTTCATAGAAGTTTTGAAATTGAGAAAGAGTCATACATTCAAGCGAGTCGAATGTAAATTGACTTTATATACTCCCAGAAAGTAGACACGAATCCTTGCAAAAAACTGTGCACATCGAACGACAACGACCCGATTGAATGTTACTTGGCTGTTTGAAATTCGATTGTTATCGATTGAACAAAATTATCTTCGATTTTTGGGTTTTGTCTTGTTAAAGAGAATATCATATGGTTATGATTCATTTATTTAAGAAGACGTTAGAAAGACCTTTTCTTCAAAGAAGACCTGAAAAAAGTCTTTCTGTAGAAGCCCTACAAAAGATTCTTTACATGGAACACCTGAAAAGTGTCTTCTATCCGTAATAGACCTTTCCTATCTACATCTACTTGCAGACACCCCTTCCATAGAAGAAAATATAAATATTGGAAAATATGTACTCATGAGTATTCCATTAGGCATAAAAAGGGCTAAAATCTTCATGTGTAAGTTTTCGGCATTTCTGTTTGTAACTCCTCGGAATAAGCACCTCACAACTAAATATATTCTTGATCAGCATAAGATTGTATGTCAATTTAGTCATGTCCGTCCATAAATGGAAATCCCTTTAGCTTCCGAACGAAATAAAGTAGTTTGATAAAAAATTGTTGAGTTGCATTTTGGAATTTTTTGGCAATGACAATGGATTTAAGGTGTTTTCGCCGTACAAGTCATATTTTTGCTGTAAATTTGCAGTTTGTATTCCCTATATGTAGAGAACATCTTTGCAAAGAACTGTCCATATAGATCCAAGTTTAAGTATAATCCTCAGATAAAAGTACCTCCAGATATTCGGTATTTTGTCACAGTTTTCACCGGAGTTGTATTAAATTTGACATTTGGAGTTCGTGATGGATACAGGTCCACGTCTTCGTTGAAATTTTCCTAACTTTTCAGGGAAATATTTCAAATTTGTAATTTGGTGTTCGCAATGGTTACTACTTTCTATTAAAATTGCCATATAAACATTTTTTCCGTCTTTTGATTAATTTAGCCACATTGACGGTCGTAATATGCACCGCCCTCGCTGCCTTCTTTAAAATCAAATTCTTAACTTTGACAAAACGGCGATCCATACATTTCGACAGATATTTCTACAAATTGTGCGGATCAATTTTTAAAAAAAAAATCCAGAGATTTTCCGTAGAAGCTTCTGATGTCTATATGCTTGATTGATTTTTTAACCTTGACTGAATCCAATGACTATTTAATGAGGGCATGCAAGGAGGAGAATTCAGACCTTTGTCTTCTCTTGTTGTCAAAATTTTTTTCCGAGTGCAATCCTTCAAAAAAGGAAAATCTCTATAAACTGTCTCACAAACAAGGCTCCATAAATTGACTCAATATGAATTTCAAATAACAAACTTAGTTGTCAGTTGGGCTTACTGGTCGACCTTTTATAGGTCATGGTTGTTCCCGTTTATTATTTTTAAAATAGAATCATTAATTCTAATTTTTATTAAAAACAATTGGCTTTGACAGCAAAACAAGAGAACAGCCAGTCTTATCGTGTCACCTTGTAAATACATCTGGCTGAATCCTTCACTTTTGATAATTGACATCTATGGTGTTCCCTAAGACCCTTTCTTCACTCATTTTTTGCATAAATTTCATAGAGACCTCCCTTATTAACTTTCCATGTATATATGCTCGTTTATACTCCCATTTCCCGCAATGACCTCACTATAATACACTTTGCCTGCTTTCTCTAGATTTTTGTGTGAAAACCAAAATAAAAACAATAAATGAATATTGTTTTTTATTTTTTATTAAAAGTTTTATTTGTAATTTTTTTTATTTACATAATTTTTCTTATAGCGCAACAGTTGTAATTGTTAAAAATAAAAACTACTATATTTAGAAAATATATATGTATGTAACTGTGCATAGAGATTTAAAGAAATGAAATCTCCTAAACAAAAAAAAAACAAAAAATGACCTATCTATCCATCTATTGAATGTAACAATAATTTACAAAAACAACAACAATATATAAATTTTTATACTGTACTATTCTCGCTTCCATAACATCCACCACCACCATCACCACTACCAGAACCTCCTATAAAATAAAACAAGAAAACAACTAAATAACTGTAGCAAAGAATCAAATATGTAGGAGCTTCATAGCTGAAATAAAAAATATTCGACATTTTTTTTTTAACTAAAATATTTGGTGGTCAAGCGTTCATACCTTTTTCATTTTACTTAGAATTTGTTTTCCGATTCAGGAGCTTTATTCTTGATCTGTGAAAGTACGAAATGAAAAAAATTGCTTTGTAAAATTCCTCTACAAAAGTTTTCATTTAACTTTTTCACAGAACAAGAATTAAGGTCCAGAACTTATTTCGAAACCCATTTAAAATTCTGTTAATTTTTTTAAGATTTTTTTCCATTTTCACTTTCCATTCCCTTTCATTTTCATTAATTTTTTCTCCATTATTCAGAAAAAAATGCAGTGAAATAAAAGTATAGCCAAAAAAAATATTTATTATAAAATGCCTTAAATGTTGTAATTTATTAAATAAATGATAAACAAATAAAAAATGGAAGATACAATAATATATACAAAAAATATAGAAAAAAAAGAGAAACCAAAAAACTTAATGTGCTACATAAGATACATTTTCAAAATCGATTTGTTAAAAAAAATTATGGAATAAATAGTTTTCCTTAGCAAATTAAAAATAAATTATATACAGTATGAGCTTAGTAAATATAACTTATAAAATACCACATGGGAGATATACGGAATTTCGCCAGATTCAAAGAGGTATTAGAATTTAAAGAAAAATATATGGCTTTTCAGGAAAATAAATCAAAAGAATAAATTGAGAAAAATATTATCAAAAGCTCTATCGGAGAGTGATCTGGAAATATATTTAGAAAATAATTATGTATTTGTTTTCTTATAGTTGAAGATTTATTCGGTGGATTACTTTGGTCTAGAGTATTCCCCTATTGGCTTAACCTCATATTACTCTCCATCACATAGAGTGATCTGCTTCAAATATTTTCATGTTTTGAATATTGAATTTAATACAAATCTATAAAATAGACAAATATTCCTTAAATACTCCTTTTCCAAAATTGGATCAAAAAAGGTGACTTTTATTAACCATCTTTGAATTCATAAAATTTTCCTTCTCCGCATTGAAGTCTCCTCTTCCTAATCGGGCTCATACTGTATATAATTTTGATAAAAAGTCAATGCTTAAAATTATTCTCATATGCGAAAATGTGCGAAACCCAACTAAAATGCTTGTTAAAAATAATATTCAAAAAATCAGTAAATTGGCATTTTAAAATTAGATAGAAAATAACAAATAAGGACAAACAGATAAAATCAAATTTAATTGTAAATTCAAGAACAACAAAATTGAAAACAAGGGCTCAATTCTTATTCTATGAAAATGTGAAATGAAAAATTTCAAAAGAAATATTTTTCATTTTATATTTTCATCGAATAAGAAGGAATCCAGCACCAAAACAAAAAAAGAAATCAAAATAAGCAGATATTCATTTTGCAAACCATATCGACAAAAAAACTACAAAAAAGAAAACAAAACAAATTAATCAATAAGGTTTTTTAAATATTTTTCTAATTGGAATTGATATTTTTTCTAAAAGATACATTTTTTTATAATAACAAGAAAACCAAAAAAAAAATAAAACAAAATATTTAACTAAAAAAGAAACACAAACAAAAGTTATCCTATTACAAAAAAGTAAAATTAAAATTGTTTGCTTAGTTTTTATGTATTTTTTATATATAATATTACAAAAAAAAAAACAAAAAAAAATATTACAAAAAACCAAACATTTTTTATACTTCAAAATACTAACTAACGAATAATACTAATAAAATTAATAAATAATAATATTATTGTTTCCAATTAGTAAAAGTAAAAACCCCAATACAAAAAAAAAAAAAAACAAACAACAATAATACTAAGTGTTTTTTACCTTTATTAAATTAATATTATTATTATCAATAAATATTAAAAATAAATTGAACGGTACCTATTTTAATAATGTTTAATATCTAGTGGAATTAAAGTCAAACTACAATTACAACTATAACAAGAAAATAATTAACAAAATAAACCATTTGTATTTTGATGATTGTAAACAGGATATAAATTAAAAACGACATTAAATTGAAATAATGTTTGTATTTTTTCAAATAAATTACAAAAAAATGAAATATGATTTTTTAGAGTTTTATTCTTGGGTTTGGATTATTGAATAATAAAAATAATAATTAAAGCCCACCTCCCTGAACAAAAAAAATTACATCCGAGAAGAACTTCTCAAAGCCAAATCTGTGAAAAATCGTTCTTTAAAATCTTTCAACAAAAATGTATTCTTCAAAATCCATCTTCTTGCAAAATGTACCAAAAATCTTACATTAAAAGTAATCTTAAAAAATCACGTTCTTAAAAAAATATTTGAAAGACTATCCCTATTTCTAAAAATCCACGTCCTTGAAAAATTATTGAGAAAAATAATTTCTTATAAGTCCGCATTCTTAAATAAATTTTTAAAAATTCAAATATTCCTATAAAAAAGTTCACCTCCTTGAAAAAAAAATATACTGCAATCTACGTCCTTGAAAATCCACATCAAATATATACAAATGCAGTTCCTTTTAATTTTTATAAAAGTTCAAGTCCCTGAAATGATTTTCTTAAAAATCAAGAATAAATAAATCAAATATCTACGTCCTTTAAAAGAGTTCTAGGTGTTCAAAAAAAAAACATGCAATTATTGTTCTTTTAAAAAAAATCCTTCCCTTTCATCGAGAAAATAATATTTTCTTAAGAAAAGTCAACGTTTGTTTTTCAGAAAGTCCTTGAAAGTAAGTATTCCTAAAAATTTACCTCTGATGTTGATTAATTTGATAAAAAATCTATTTTATAAGATTAAATAGGTGGGTATCTAAAAATTATGCATAAAATGTCGAATTTACATCATCCACATTCGTTTCGTCCTTAAAAAGTAGGTCCTTGAATAAATAATCTCAAAAAATGATCATATAAATAAATATATTTTTTAAGTTAGACGTTTTTAAACGTTTGGCCCAAACGTTTATCGGTTTCACCTACCTGCGACTTGAATTCAGTCATCTTACAAAATCAAAATGTCATTTTCTGCAATTTCACCAAATACCCGGCAAACAGAATGAGAAAAAAACAGAAAGTAGCCCGACTAAAAAAAATTATGTGCAATTTGGTTCTGGCAACACTGTACAAAACCTAATATTCAAAGCACACTTCAAGGCGCCTTATTTTAGGTGGGTATGTAAGATGTTGCCAGAATAAATTTTAATATTACTGCTTGCCCAAAAGCATGCTTTGAATTTTGAAACGAATAATTAATCAAGCATTGCCACACAGTGGTAAGGGTATTATGTCTTTGTGCATCTGTTTGTAACATGGAGAAGGAAGCGAGATAGGCCATTATTTACTTTTGAGGATTTTCATAGAATCACTTTCTGAGTCGATTTATGCATGTCAGTCCGTCTGTGAACAAAATGCAGGTCGCATTTATTATCTGATTGGGATGAACTTTTCCAAACAAGATTTTTTTGGTCCAAGAACGAACCCTATTCAAATTGATTAGAATGATATCACATTTAACATGCACTTCACAATCTTTGGTACCATATATCAGAATTTTAAACTCTTACACTTAGGAAAAAAAATGTTGTCAAGATCGGTTCATATAGCTGTAGCTCCCATATACGGGTGAGATATAAAACTGCAACAAAGTCAAACGCCATAATTTTTTCATTTTTTTTAAATTTATTGAATGAAAGCAAAAAATGTAAGAAATTGCATTAATTTTTAGAATAAGTTTAGATTTGATCGAATTGGCCATTTTGACACGAATTATGGCCTTCAAACTGCCAATGAAACAGTCACACGCTGACCGAATTTTGATCTGCGATAGTTTGGCCCATACCCGGCGAAGCGCTTGCTTGAGGTGATCGACACTTTGGTGTTCTTTAGTGCCAACTTCCAAAATACTCCAGACACAATAGTCCAACGGATTGGTATCCAGAGATTTTGGTGGCCATTGTGCTCTGGAAATGAAGACAGGAACCTCAATTTGTAACCATTCTTGGGTGGCACGTGCTGGATGCCATTTCCAGTGGTTTTCCAGCGAATATATAAAGAAATCACACTATCACGCTTAAATTCCATCACGAATAACTTTTTTTTTCTGGAAAATGCTCACCAGAATGCTTTTGTACGCTTGTAAACAATATAATGAGCTGTCACTGGAATGTTTTTAACAGCTGTCGTACGAGAGACTTTGAAATGACAGCAGTCTGAAGTTGGTTGCAGTTTTTTTATCTCACCCTGTATTTCTGATTGTCTGGATATTGTGTGAATATACAGGAAAATATATTTTTTTTAATTTTGTGACAAAATGTCCGATGAAATTATATAATACAAATCTCCGTTGTCGAAATGTTATTTCTGAAAGCCACAAAGTCTAAACGAACACTTGACCTCAAAGAGGGCTTAAACGACGGAAGCTCCCACCACTGTTAATATATTGTGTCGATGCTGGTGCTCTTAACCACTAATCACGTCAAGCTGCTGGAACTTATCAAGGGCTGACGTAACGGCTTAAGCTAGAATCTTGAAATTTTGAGTGTAAATGAAGGGTATTAAATATCAGATCGCTGATCAGATGTGGGATAGATGTACTAAAGATTATTTGGATATAAATACTTTTGGTCCACCAAAATCGTAGCATTTGACGATGAGGATTATGTTCTTTTAGATATAGACATCGATTTGCAAATGTCTACTATAACGTGCATGATAAGTACTAAATGCCGCTAAAATTGTAAAATAGAGCAGGAAAAGAGCCTAAGCGTGATTTTCTATATAAGATCACTGTGGAATATATGAAATATATTCGGCCTATTTTATGTATTTGACTGTAAACCAATATCTTATGATTAGAGTACAGTAGAGAGCTTGCAATCAAATTTTGCCGAATTGTGGGACTGTAATTAATTTATGATTTTAATCCCACATTTAATTTCCATCCTAATTAAATAACATTGACCTTTAACCTTCGGCCACAGTGAAAAAAACTTGTTGATTCAGATATCGAAAGATTAGCTAGACTTGCTGGCCGTAATAGAAAATTGTGTGGTAAACCACAATAAAATAGAAAACATACACAAACAACCAATAACTATAATTTTTAAGGTTTCCCTCAGGCAAATGCAAAACAAATCGATAACAGACGGATTAGAAGGAAAGGAAACAGCAAACGTTTTTATTGTTATGGTTGTCGTATTTGGTTTAATTCCTTGTCACTTTTGCATAATACCACGACATTGATAATGACAAGAAAACACAAAATGGAAAATGTCATAACATATGAACGGAAAGAAGTCAGAGGTCAAATATCGGACAAAGACGGATGTGGAATACCCTAAGGTGTTCGAAAATGAAAACAGTCGAATAGCAAAAACTCTTAAAAATACATGTTTGTGGCTCTGTTGGTCCTTGAAAAAATATTAGTAAAATTTTGAAAAAATATAAAAAATTAAATTAAAATAATCCTTAAAAATAATTAAAAAAAAAACAGAATTAGATAATCCTTAAAATAATGTAAAAAATCAACGTAAAATAATTCTTAAAAATAATTTGAAAAATCCACGTTCTGTTGATCCTTGAGAAAATATTTTTTAAAAAATTCTTTAAAAAATTCACGTTCTGTTGGACTCTGACAATATTTTTTTAAATCCTTGAAAAAATATTCTTTAAAAAATTCACGTTCTGTTAGACTTTGAAAAAATATTTTTTAAAAAATTCTTTAAAAAATTCACGTTCTGTTGGACTCTGACAATATTTTTTTAAATCCTTGAAAAAATATTCTTTAAAAAATTCACGTTCTGTTAGACTTTGAAAAAATATTTTTTAAAAAATCCTTGAATTTTTTTTTTAAATTCACGTTCTGTTGGACTTTGAAAAAATATTTTTTAAATTATCCTTGAAAAAATATTCTTTAAAAAATTCAGGTTCTGATGGTCTTTGAAAAAATATTCTTTAAAAAACCCACGTTCTGTTGGTCCTTGAAAAATATTCTTTAAAAAATTCACGTTCTGATGGTCCTTGAAAAATATTCTTTAAAAATCCACGTTCGTTTGAACCTTAAAGAAGATGCTTTAAAAATCCACGTTTTGTTGGTCCTTAAAAAATATTCTTTAAAAATCCACGTTTTGTTGGTCCTTAAAAAATATTCTTTAAAAATCCACGTTCGTTTGGACCTTAAAAAATAGGCTTTAAAAATTCACGTTTTGTTGGTCCTTAAAAAAAATATCCTTTAAAAATCCACGTTTTGTTGGACCTTGAAAAAATATTCTTTAAAAAATCCACGTTTCTGTTGGTCCTTGAAAAATATTCTGCAAAAAATCCACGTTCTGTTGGTCCTTGAAAAATATTCTTTAAAAAATCCACGTTTCTGTTGGTTCTTGAAAAAATATTCTTTGAAAATCCACGTTCTGTTGGTCCTTAGGGTATTCAAATAAACGCTATGACGGGCCACAGGTTTTCTTATTCTGTTGTTTTTTATTTTTCCTACGCTTGTATGTGTTACAAGTAACCTTCCATTATACGAGGAATGTATGCTATAACAAAATAAAACAAAAACAATTACCACAAAGAATTTTTGCTATAAAAACAACGTTTTGCTTACGGAAATATTTTAGTTTTTTACCAGACATCGTTGAGTTCGTGCAACCAGAACAACCACCGAAATCCGAACCAAAATTCTCAAACACCAATTTAGGATTATTCTCACCATGGTGAATACAACAATGCAGGAGTGGATGTCCAACGAAATGGAACGTTTATCCTTAAAATGGGAACGCTATAAACCAGCCTGTTCGGGATATAATCGCATACACTCGGTACGCCTGTCCAAGAGTGTTACCCATATGCTTAATAATCCCCTGCCTGCCGAGGATCGTTTAGGTGGCAGCTGTTCATCGACGACGTCTATGCAACGAAGTGCCAGTCAAACTTCACAAGTCTTGAGTCGTTCGCCATCATCGTGGGAGGAAGTTTATCCTACAGTGCGAATCACACGCCAAGACTCGGAGGGGGAAAGAAAAGAGAGTGCACAAAAGTTCGCCTACTATCGAAATTGTTCGACACGTGTCACGTAGAATGCTATGCCAGGGCGTATGGATTTATTTGGAAACAATTTGAAAATATAGATGATAATAATTTGTGGAAAGTGCAGCATTTTGATGGCAATGCCGCCCAAGCGTTGGCACTTGTAAACGGAGCAATGCATTTCGTTTTTGCTGATAATTGCAACTCCTTGCGGTAGAATAATTTTGAATAGTTTTTCTAGATTTATATATTTGTAAAAGAGATTTCTATTTTTGTATATCCTTGATGTCAAGAAGAGAAGGAAAGTGAATGTTAAAGTGTCCCCCTGTAGATTAAGATGAATATGCCGAAACAAATTACAAACGAAATTGTTTCAATAACAATTATGTTTCAATAAAAACGACATGTTTGTTATAAACAAAAAAATATTCAATTTGGATTTGAAATATGAAAAATAAAAATTAAGTTTATATTTTTCATAAAAATGGTATAAGGTCTCCGTAAGAATCTACGACTCAAGAGCCTAAAAAAGACAAGACAAATTCATAACAAAATCAAGAATAGAAAATGCAAGAAAGAAAATAATATCATGGGTGGCTAGAAAAGTTATTTAAAAAGAAACTTTGAATATCTAACATGCTTAAGAAAAATCAAATATTGGAGATTTAAGCTTAATTTAAAAAGCCACGTTTGGAGAAGAAATCTTGAATAGGTCAAAAAGTATCAATTCTTTTTGCCGTCAAATGTTTACCCTATAGCCATTGCCCGTATATTTAAATATATTTTGATTTGCGTTTTGATTATTCAAAATTGTTGACCTTTTATGGGGAGGGGTTCCGAATGAGTGTGTCAATGTTATCCATTTCGTATCTTTATTAAAAATTTTAATTCCATATTTACATCAGATCCCTGGTTGACAAAAATATGTCTGTAGATATACAAAGTTTAAAAAGTTTCGCTGACTTGCTTCAAAAGGTATTAAGTATTGTTACCCTCTGTGGGAAAGGTACCCAAAGGGGTGGGCTTAAGTATCCAACCAGATCTTGCGTTGGTAAAAATACTGGAATGTATAAAATTTGAAGAGAATCACATTTATTTATTTTACATTTTATCACGTGTTTTTTAATCAAAATATTATGGGATATATTGAATAGATCATATATTGAATTACACCAAATCTTGTGTCAATAAAAATATTGGGATGCATACAATTTGATAAGAATTGGATTCTATTTTGCATTTTGTAAAATAGACATAATTAGAACTCTATAAAAATCTTTGAAAATTTTATTTGTTAAAAAATCTCTTAAAAATCAACGTGTGTGGATGTCACGTTTGGGACAGTCATATGAGGCTAGAAAAAATCTTTAAAAATCCAAATTTGAGGATGTCAAAGAAGGCTGGAAGAATTCTTTAAAATGTCCACGTTCGAGGTTGGTTCCTAATATGCTTTGAATAATCCACATTTAAAGATGTCAAAGGATGCTAGAAAATTTATTTAAAAATCCACGTTCGAGGATGGCTTCTAAATTTTTTTAAAAAATCCACATTTAAAGATGTCAAAAGAGGCTAGAAAAATTATTTTAAAAATATATAAAGGAGGCTGGAAAATATTGAGGACTTTAAAGGAGGCTAGAAAAAATCTTTAAAAACATTTCTTCACGTTTGTGGACTTTCTTCTTTAAAAAATCCGCATTTGAGGACTTCAAAGGAGGCTAGAAAAAATCTTTATAAAATCGACGTTTGAATAAATCAAAGGAAACTAGAAAAATTCTTTAAAAAAACACGTTTGAAGAAGTCAGAGGAGAATAGAAAAATGTTTTCAAAATCCACGTTTGAGGATGCCAAAGGAGTTGAGAAAAATTATTTAAATACCCCGTTTGAAAATGTCAAAGGAGGCTAGAAAAATGTTTTCAAAATCCACGTTAAAGGATTTTAAAGAAAAATTATATAAAAATAAAATTATATAAAAGAGTCTAAAATATTCTTAAAAACATTCTCTATTCATAGTAGTTGATTTTTTAATCGTCTTTCGAAGAGCTCGGAAATAGTGAAATTTTTATTTATCTAATAATCGAAGCGTGATTGATAAGTCCCACTAATGTGGAATTGAAACAAGATTCACAAAATCTTTAAAAATCGAAAGCAAAGTTGAAACGAATTTGAATTAATGTGATTTTTTATTACAGTGGACAGTAGGTCCTGTCAAATAAGATGCCTGTTTTCTTGTTCCTCATTATGGTGTTCCACGCAGTTTATATAAATTTCCCATTTGCGTCTTTAATTCATCCGGTTCTTATGGATTTTACTCTGGAATCCTAGTTTTCAACATCCAGCGATATAAACACTTTTTGATCGGGTTTTCAGAACTTATAATTCAATTCTGAATTCAGAATATTTTAAAGGGTAAAACATCTGACATCTTGTTCATCAATTCAATTCATCTCCGAATTACAATATGGATTTCTTTGTCGACTTACGATCGCCCTGAACCATACAATCAATATCATCCTGCTCAAAGTAGGCATAAATGAGACGAAGATTATTCGTAAAACCTGCACCATCTTTCCAAGGCGAAACAATGAGTATGGTATCGCCAGTTTTCACAATCCCTATACGTTTTGCAATATTCAGGGCATATTGTATGCGGACATCTACACCTTCCAGCCAATTGTCATCGAGTTTTTCTGGAAAACAAATTACAATTATTAATTGAGGACTAAATGGAGTAAGGTAAGTTGGTTTACCTGTGTAAAGAATTGGAACAATGCCACGATATAGAAAACATTGCCTAAATGACCGAGAACATCTCGTCACAGCCAAAACAGGACATTTAGGATGATATTTTGCCAGCAAATGAGCCGAACGTCCGGAAGTGGTTAGAACAATAATTGCCGAAGCCTTAGTTTTATTGGCAGCATTAACAGCCGATATGGCAACTGTATTAACTGGATCCAAAGTGAGGGGAATATCTATTACTCCATTTCCCCTATGCATAGCCAACTCAAATTCACGAACTATACCATCCATCATGGTCACAGATTCAACGGGATATTTTCCAATTGCTGTTTCCGCCGAAAGCATAACACAGTCGGCACCATCTAATATTGCATTACCCAAATCTGCTACTTCTGAGCGGGTGGGAGTTGGCTTCTTGCACATGGAAGCTAGAAGCTGGGAGGCAATTATTATGGGTTTCCCCATTTTATTGCAAAGTTCAGCAATGGCTTTTTGAGCTAAAAATATTTTTGCCGGAGGGATTTCTATTGCCAAATCAGCTCGATCGAAGAGTATGCCATCAGCCTCGGACAATAACTCATTAATATTTTGCAAACTTTGAATGCAATCGATTTTGGCTATTATCTTTAGCTCTTTGCCCTTTTGACCCAACACAGAACGTATTTCTCTTACAGCTTCGGCATTGCGCACGGTTGAAGCAAAAATCATATCAAAATTGTGTTTGAGAGCAAATTTCAAATCATTTCGATCTTTTTCCGATACAGCTGGCAGGTCCACATTGACTCCGGGTAAATTAATTTTCTTGCGAGAACCCAATGTACCACCACGGCGTATTTGACACATCACACAATCCACACCCAATTCCTTTACCACCAACTCCACGGCTCCATCATTTATGTACACCAAATATCCGGGCAGCAGGACATCAATAATCCGTTCATAGTCCACATAAATAAAATCACGATTTCCCTTATCCATCAGATCACGATTGATAGATAGACGGAAACTATCATTGGTTCTCAATTCGATTTCAGCATTTGGACCAGCTTCCAAGAGGCCAGTTCTTATTTCGGGTCCCTTCGTATCCAAGGCTAAAGCAATTTGTATATTACGCCCCACCTCTTGGGAACAATGTTCAGTAGCTTCGTGTAATAACTGCAGCGATCTCTCATGAAACATTTGTGTATCATGCGAGAAATTTAAACGTGCAATATTCATGCCAGCCATAATCATTTGTTGTAATATTTGGGAATCTTGAGATGCCTTCGATATTGTGCCAATAATACTGGTCCGACGATATTGAGAAGCAGGCTCATTGAAGATTAGGTGGCACTTTCGTGGCGTTGCCTGGTCATCGTTCATTTTTATTGAGATTTTTTAAATTTTCACAGAAAATTTTGATATTGTTTTTGTGAATTTTAAAATTGCTTTTGGCTTCATTACTTTCAAATATAATTTAAAAAATATTTACAATATTTTAATTGCATTTTTTAACCTTCCCAGACATTATCCAACAAGAATTCTCAAACGTGGTATATTTATGAATTTTTTAAGACATTTTTTTAGATTTTTAAATAATTTTAACCTAACCTCATGGACATCTTCAAAACTGGATATTTTTAAAGAAATTCTCTTGACTCGAACATACTTATTTTTTAAGAATTTTTTTAGTCTACTTCGACATCCTACTTTTCTAGTCTACTTCGACTTTCCAAACGCGGATTTACTGACATACTCAGTTAAAAAAAAGTTCTAGTTTCCTTCGACATCCTCAAACGTGGATTTTTTTTGAAGAATTTTTATAGTCTGCTTTGACATCCTCAAACGTTGATATTTTAAAGAAATTTTCTAGTCTATTTCAACACTCTTAAACCTAGTTTTTTTTAGAGAAATGTTCTAGTCTACTTCAATACCCTCAAACCTACTTCGACATCCTTAAAAGTGGATTTTTTAAAGAAATATTCTTGTCTACATTGACATCTTCAAACGTGGAATTTTTAAACAAATTTTCTGGTCTACATTGACATCTTCAAACGTGGATTTTTTAAATAAATTTTTAGCCTACTTTGACATCCTCAAGTGTGGTTTTTTTAAATAAATTTTCTGGTCTACTTCAAATGTGGATTTTTAAAAAAAAAGTTCTGGACTCCCAAACCTTGTTTTTTTAAAGAAATTGTCTAGTCTACTTCAATACCCTCAAACCTTGATTTTTTACTTCGACATCCTTAAACGTCGATTTCATAAGGAAATTTTCTGGTCTACTTCGACGTCTTCAAACGTGGATTTTTTAAAAAAAAATTCTGTACTACATTGAAATCTTCAAATGTGAATTTTTTTAAAGAAATTTTCTGGTCTGCTTCAAAATCTTCAAACGTGGATTTTTTAAAAAAAAATTCTGTACTACATTGAAATCTTCAAATGTGAATTTTTTTAAAGAAATTTTCTGGTCTGCTTCAAAATCTTCAAACGTGGATTTTTTAAAGAAATTTTCTGGTCTGCTTCGACAACGTCAAAAAGAAATTTTCTGATCTACTTCGACATCTTCAAAAGTGGATTTTTAAAGAAATTTTGTGGTCTACATTGATATCTTCAAACGTGGATTTTTTAAAGAAATTTTCTGGTCTACATTGACATCTTCAAACGTGGATTTTTTAAAGAAATTTTCTGGACTACATTGAAATCTTCAAAGGTGGATTTTTTAAAGAAATTTTCTGGTCTACTTCGACATCTTCGAACGTGGATTTTTTAAACAAATTTTCTGGTCTACTTCAAAATCTTCAAATGTGGATTTTTTAAAGAAATTTTTTGGTTTACTTCGACATCTTCAAAAGTTGGTTTTTTAAATAAATTTTCTGGTCTACTTCAAAATCGTCAATGTGGATTATTTAAAGAAATTTTTTGGTTTACTTCGACATCTTGAAACGTGGATTTTATAATGAAATTTTTTGGTCTGTTTCGACAACCTCAAATAGGAATTTTTAAAGAAATTTTCTGGTCTGCATCGACAACCTCAAAAAGAAATTTTTTAAAGAAATTTTCTGGTCTACATTGACATATTCAAACGTGGATTTTTAAAAGATATTTTCTGGTCTACTTCGACTTTTTTAAACGTGGATTTTTTACTTCGACATCCTCAAACAAGAATTTTTAAAGCCTACTTTGAAATCCTCAAACAAGAATTTTTAAAGACTACTTCGGCATTTCTAAGCATAAATTTTTTAAAGAAATTTTCTGGTCTACCTCAACACCCAGAAATAGGATTTTTTTAAAGAAATTTTGAAGTCTACTTCGACATCCTCAAATAGGAATTTTAAAGCCTACTTTGACAACCCTTAACATGGATTTTTAAAGATTTTTTCTATTCTAGTTTGATATCCTCAAATGTGGATTTTTTAATAAATTTTTCTAGTCTCCTTTGACATCCTCTAACCTCGATTTTTTAAAGAAATTTCTAGCCTACTTCGACATCCTCATTCGATATTTTTTTAATGAATTTTTAAAGAAATTTTCTAGTCTACTTCCACATCCTCAATTTCCTTTAACAACCTCAACTGTGAAATTTTCTTGCCTTCTTTTAAAGAAATTGGAAGATATCATCAAAAGCCTCCCCTTTGATATTTTCAATCGTGGGTTTTTAAAGAATTTTTCTGGCCTCATTTTAAATCATCGGATGGAAATTTCTTTAGACTCTTTGGCATCCTCACATATGAACTTTTTAAAGAAATTTTCTAGCCTCCCAATACTTTATCCAATTGTTATTTATTTATTTTTTTTTTTGGAAATTCTCCTGCCCTCTTCGTCATTGCTTGTCTACAACCTTCTTATGTTTTTAGCTGGAAACCAATAAAACCCCTCCTCTAGAAACCAATAAAAAACACCCTCCTCTAGACAATCTACATGTTTGCCGGAATAACACAACATAAGCATCTTATGGATTTTTTTTTCCATATTTCGATTTGAAGGCAATCTAGGTTGCCCTTCCATGTAGAACAAGTGATTATGTTGTGTTGCGTTTATGATAACAACTACAACTCGATGACAACAGAATGGACACCACTTCGACAATGATTGGATATTTTCAGTATTCGATAAAACGTCGTCGTTGGTGGTGTTTGACAAAATAAGACACCAAAAAAACAAGTTGAACATCTAACCTACTACTCTACTACAACATGGTAAATAAAACACTGCAAAAATGGATGACCAACGAAGTGGAACGTTTATCCTCAAAGTTGAAACATCTAATGCCAGGATGTTCGGGTTACAATCGCATACAAAGTATGGGTGTTTAGAAGAGTGTACGGTATACGGTCAATGCTCCTTATCAAATTGATATGCGCAGCGGTGGAGTTAGCGGCGCCAGAATTAGTTCGAATAAAAAACCAACACATCGCCGACAACCGAATGTACATATTTTGGATTGCCCACTGTCGAATTGGGATATGTTATACCCGAGTACATCACCTAAAATGTATGCTGTGGTAAGAGTTAAACGGGCCGGCAACTATAGAAATGATCGGGGACAAAAAGTTGTCTATAACAGGAATATGGGATCATCGAGACTTATTTAAAGAAATCAATTGAATACAATACTAAACTTGTTTATAATAAAAAACAATAGTTGTGTTAAATATTATAACAAGTTTTTTTTAACAAATAAATATTAATGTTTCATAGTAAGGTTAAGAGTTTGAATTTTGAATTAAATATTTTCAAAGTCATTTTGAGAAATATATTTGGGGATTTCTTACCTTCAACCAACTTCAGACTGCTGTCATTTCTAAGCCACTCGTCCGACAGCTGTTAAAATTATTCCAGTGACAGCTCATTATATTGTTTACAAGCGTACAAAAGCATTTTGGCACTCCAGCATTTTAATGTGAATAAATATTTTGTGTCTCGTTACCGTGATACTGGTAGCGTAGCCCGACGTCAAGGAAGTGGACGGAAGAACACAGAAACATCAGCAGAAATGGTTCGAAAAGTATAGAAGCGAATTGATCGAAACCCGCGTCGCAGTGACCGAAAAATGTCTCGTGATCTGAACATATCGCAATATTCCATTCGGCAAATATTGAAAAATGAGCTCGGGCTAAAGCCATTGAACTTACATCGCAACAGTAAAAAAATAAACTCAAAAGAGCTATAGAGTTGCTTCGCTTGGCCGAAAGTGGTGAACGGCCGAATTTTGAGTTTTCCGATGAGAAAACATTCGTTGTCCAGCAATTTGTAAACAAACAAAATGATCATGTTTAGTTGACAAAGAGGTCAGCTGAAAATGTGCATTTTCGGTTGGCCACCAAAACTCAAGCGGCTTGGTCGGCATGGTGATGGTGTGGGCCGCCATAACAGCCGATGGTCGCTCTTCGCTCGTATTAATCGACCTTGGCATCAGAATAAATGCCGAATATTATCGCGAAAATATTATGAAGGGTATATTAAAGCCTTGGGCACGCAAACATTCTGACCATCTTCGGACATTCCAACAGGGCTCTGCATCATCGCATGGTTAGAAAATGAGGTTCCTCGCTTCACTTCCAGCGCTCAATGACCACTAAAATCTCCGGATACCAATACGTTGGCCTATTGTGTCTGGTGCATTTTGGAAAGCAAGGTTGGCACTGAAAAATACCAAAGTTTCGATCACCTCAAGCAAGCGCTTCGCCGGGAATAGGCCAAAATACTGCAGAACAACATTCGGACAGCGTGTGACGGCTGCATTGGCCTTTGAAGGTCATAATTCCTGCTAAAAAATTTGATTCTATTTCTGACATTTTTTGCTTTCATTTAAAAAAAATGTAAAAGTTATGGTGTTTGACTTTGTTGCAGTTTTTTTTTACCTCACCCTGTATATTAGGGGATTTCTTTCCTTTTTGGAATTGGGGCAGCCTTGTCTGCAGGTTGAACACATATACTTTTCATATGAGTCCATATAAATAAGTTCTTTTGACATGTTGTAAAAATTTAATTCGCTGCACCGCCGAGCCAATTCCAAGATCTCAATTCTTGTTATGTGAAAATGTAAAATAATTAAATAAATAACATATTTTTTGCATTTCGTATTTTCTTACAAGGCATATATAAGGTCTGCCAATAAGCATATCTTTCTACTAAATATGCTGTGATTTGAAATTAAAATAATGCAATACTACTATCATCAAATTTGGTCTGCTTCAGAATTGCAAGAATGTATAAGTTTTTACTACGATAACCGACTATCTCTGTATGATATCAAAAAATTGCGAAACTAATAAATTCTTGCAGGCACTGGAACAGAACAATGTTGTCAAAAGTAGCCGTTTTGTCCGACCTTATATAGGCATTGTTTCCATAAAATAGAAATTCTACTTTTACAATTGTGACATAACTTATAATCTACAAAAAAAAATATTCAAAGAATTTCTCTTTTTTTGTAAAATTCACAAAATTTAATGTATTTTGAAAAAAGTTAAAGACATGTATAGAACAATATACTCATATACATATACAATAAAATGTTGTGCTTTTTTTAAATATAAATTCTTTCGAGTACATTGTTAATAATTTTGGACAATAGTCTATAATCTTCTAAACATAAAAGGAACTATATTTCTAAAATAAAATTAAAATTAATTTTTGAAAAATTAAATTATAAAACTATAAATAACAATAAAAACAGGAGAGCACTTTTGTCATGTAAAAAAAAAATAATAAAGGAAAAACAAGGAAAACAATTTATGGCTTACATAAACAACGAAAACCAATAAAGTGTAAAACCAAATTGTTTGGAAGAAAAACACACAAAAAACGTGGCAACAATTGGTCGACGAGTGGGAGTCTCAGCAAACAAAACAAATTCCAAAAATATAGTCTCCTCTAACCTAAGAAACTTTACAGGTTTCATCATGTAAATTATCGCCATTAAAATCTTCATCTTGCGTCGAAAAGGCACCGCCTTGTAAGACTTTGTTAACAGCAGCTCGGGCTAAATAGCCGGTGGTTACGTTATAGATCAATGAATAGAATGGTGTCATATCATTGTGGTGGTCATGGATATTGTTGTCCTATAATAAAAAATTCAGCACAACATTAAACGCCTTTAATTTTAAGCAAAAAAAGAACAATTTACCTTGCAATACATTAAGAATGCCTCCATTAGAATTTCATCCAAATCCAAAGCTTGTTTAAAATGTAATTCAGGATTTCTTTAAAAACAACAAAGATTAGTCAAATAATTCCCCAGGCAATAAAAAATGTTACATCCTCTTACCTATTTAGAATTGTTGCTATAATACACAATAATTCCACGGTAATTTGTCGCCTTTCAGGTTTCTCTATGCATATTAAGGTCTCCTCAACCAAAAGTGAGAAATTCAATTCGCCTCGACTCATATTGATTAAGGTCGGTGTGGCTGGCAACAAGTGACCTTGTGTTGTAATGCCCAAGGGTGTTCGCATTAGAATTTCCCATATTTTATTGTAGAAATGTTTGGGTACGCGACACAAGCAGCCCTCCAATTGGCGACGTTGCAGGGTTGTAAGTCTAGTATAATGGATGGAAGGGGTAGATAATAATGTTTGAAGGTTTTTAGAAAGTGATTCCGTATGGAAAGCAAAACAAAATGCAAATAATTAGCGAATGGAAAATAAACAAATGTAAACACAATATGATGTCTGTGGGAAAGGTACCAAAAGAAAGGCGACATAGTTCATCTCAAACCCAATCTAATTTTGTTAAAAATATTGCGAGGAAGATTTATGATTTTTTAAACGTTGAGCTTTGTAAGCCTTTATGGATATCTATCTATCTGATGCGATTTTAAAACAAATTTTGGGACTCCTCTTTCTTGTATGGCATTTAAGAGTTGGCTTCCCAGAATTTCCAGTCAATCGGCAGGCAATGATCTTTGCTGTTGAAGCCATTGAGATCAGCCTGATCATTGACCGCTACTCTCAGATCCTCCGGTGACATCCATTGAACAGCTTGTTAATCCTTTTTCGGCTTTGGGTCCCAAAGTTTCTGCGAAAAGATACCGGCTGGTTCAACTTTCATTTCCCCATCGCTGTGCTTCCCACTGTCCTTTTTCGCCGCAACCGAACCGTACGAGACGGTCAGTTGTATCGCCTGCGCCATCACCTTTTTCTTCGCCGCTTCGCCGGTTGCTGCTACTCAGTTGATCTCATTCTGGTGAATTTAGTCGCCTTTGAAGCTGCTTCGGTTTTGGGTCTCAAGGTTTCTGCGAAGAGATAACGGCTGGATCAACTTTCGTTTGCCCACTGTCCTTTTTCGCCGCCACCGAACCATACGAGACGGACAGTTGTATCGCCTGCGCCATCACCTTTTTCTTCGACTCACGTTGCTGCTCCTAGAAGAGAAGAGATACCGGCTGGTTCAACTTTCGTTTGCCCATCCGTGTATTTCTTTTTCCCCGCAACCAAACCATACGAGACGGACGGTTGTATCGCCTGCGCGATTCTTTCTCTTCACAGCCACTGGCTGCGAGGGGCATTTTGTCGACTTTGGGGCTGCACCCTTTGACGAAATGGGCGCTTCCGCAGACTTTACCATTTTGTGCCTTCACCTTCAACACCGTCGGAGTAGGTATCACTGGCTGCGACGGAACTTTATTCGTTTTTGGGGCCACTCCCTTTGACGAAGTTGGCGCATCCGCAGGTGGTGTGTTTTTTGCCCGTTCGTCGTGGCTACCTTCTTGACCAACTTTGCCATGCTCTCCTGTGCCTTCGCCTTGGACAGCATACAGTAGATGGAGAAGGCGAAGCCACTGCTGCGTTTGAAGCGTTAAAGGTAAACTTCGACTTGGTCTTCTTCCCCGCAGACTCTGTGGTTCGGGAGACTTCATTGTGGTCGTGTCTTTCTTTATGTGAGGCCATTCCAGCCATCTTAATAGACAGCTTAGGTTCTGCCTTCTTCGAAGACACCTTTTCACATGAACAGGAGCTTCCCACAGTCGTTGCTTTTAAGGAGTCTCGACATGCTTCACTGCTGCTCTGTAAGTGGGGATCCTACTATTCCCTTAAAGATGAGTCGTGACATTTCCTCACAAACTTCAAGTTCGTTCTGTAAGCTGTAACTCCTTATCAGTGATTTTTGATGGATCCCGACTAGCATAACGACTGCAATAATTAACTGCTCGCTGATGTGCCTTTTTCTCCCTTGCGGCCAGGGAAGTCAACAACACCTCCTCCAGACTCCAACGCTTTTTGCCGAGATAGCGAGGACTTATCGGTACTGGCCGACGTTATATTGGTGGACCATCAAAACAGAAGACCTAACTTTGTCTCGGGGAGTGAACTCTTGAATGAAAGCCGATGTTCGGATTACCATAGTACCCATGTCCTCTCTTGGTTCTTTATCCGTAATAATGCGAAGGATTGCCTAAAGCTTTGTTGAAACACTTTCGTTAATCATCTATAACATCATGACATTGTCACCTCCTGAGTTTCCCGTTCGTGCTTTTTTATTATTGGCAGAAGAATCGGAATCCTTGACCGTCCCCGATCTAGTGGTCGTGTAAGGAGTGGAGTCGAAATTGTGGTTTTATTGACTGAGGGTGGTGCCAAGGTGCCCACACCAGCATCAGCCAAAGGTAATATTGTTGTTTTTGGATATTTTTATATTATTGTCTTCCATGCATCATCGAGAATTGCATTCGTGCTATGGCCTGGGCCTGGTTATTAACGCCGTATTCATCCATTATTTCTCAGACCGCGTCAGAATGAACTTTATTCATTTGATATTTGTGTATCGATGTACATCTCAATTCAGATTGGCTCGGGCAATAGTTTTTATACCAAAGTTTTGGAATGAACAATTTCATCTTCAAACCTCACATGACTTAGATAGGAATAATGAGATTTTTAAATTAGGTCCAAATAAGGGTCTATCACCTACAGAATTTTTTCATCAGGATACTTCCTACAATTTCATCGCTTTCCTTTGCCACAATATGGACAAACATGTCCAGATCGGCTTCGAATGTCTCGGAACGGATATTGTCCATAAAGGAGGGCTCAGAAGTTGATATCTTATCCCAGTCAGAAGAGATTATGAAAATATTAATGTTTAGATTATTAATTTACCTTTCTTCAGCAGCCCATTCGCTAACAGTCAAGACCTTTTGCAATAGTATACGCACTTGGAAAGGTGATAAATTTTCCAAATCAATTGATTCCTGACCAGACATTTGCAAGTATAGACGCATGGCTTCCAATACCCAACCAATACGTATCTGTGAAAAACGAATAAAATTTGAGACTAATTTCCCACAATTCCCATGAGAAGAGAACTGCCACCTTACCTTCAAAATACCACGGAACATGGTGGGATTTGTTGCGATCAAACGGCCACAGTACAACACCACCTCCTGTTGCAGTACGGCTTGTACAACATTATAGGGTTGTACAGTTTTATACATAACTTCCTGGATCTCCGCTGGAGTCATTGGCTTATCGAACACTGTTTCTTTTTGCCCAATAACACCCACTGTCAATTCTTTACCATTAACCAGGACGGTTGTAATGAAAGGACTTATTGAATCAACAATATGGTGTAGAAGTGATGAACAATAACGTACAGCACGCCAATAACGTAAAGACCCGGCACGATGATATAATTGTTGTAAAGCTTGTATTACTGACAGCCCATTCACTTCGAAATGAGGACCTTCTCGATTCAATATGATACCCCATAATTGACAAAGACAATAAACGGATTCCGTGCTGCGCAGGGCATCAATGATTTCATGTGTGGGTTTGTGGTTATAGTGCTGAAATAGAAGAGAAATAAAATAAATGAAACAGGAACTTTAAAGGTGAAAACGGAATATATCCAGTGTTTAATATTTGTATAGACTGATAGCTCCATATGAATTAAAGCTTTAATGTCGGCAGCTTCATTCCGGTGAATGAACCCTTGATGGAAAGTCGAAGTGTGGATTACGTAGTACCCATGGCCTCTTTTCCTGATCCCAAAATGGCTTATCCGTAATAATTTGGCGGATTGCCTGAAGCTGTATTCAAACACTTTCGTTTATCATATCTAACATCATGGCATTGTCACTTCCTCAGTTTTTTTATTTTATTCAGAAGAATCAGAATCTTTGACCGTCTTCGGTCTAGTGGTCATGTAAGAAGTGGAAGAATAATTCGAATTTGTGATTTTATTGACTGAGGGTGCCAAGGTGTCCGCATCAGCATCATTATTATCTTTTGGTGGCACTGAGGTCGACCATGGCATTGCCTTCGTACTATGGCCTGTGCCTGATTATTAACTCCGTATTCATCTGTTGTACTTTTATAGTTTGAAATAAAAGCCAATGTTTGTTAATACTAAAGGTGTAAAGATTTATTGGATGATGAGCGTTCACAGCTACTAATTTAAAAAGAATGAAGAAGTTACAATGTAGTGAATCAGACTCGAGTGACAGACAAAACAAGACTGAGCAAGCTAAAATGGCGGTAGCACGGCGTCCTATTATATGGGCGTTGCCGTATAGGATGTTGCAACATGAGATGCCATATTGTTAATGTGGGTTGCCCCAACATCTCCCTCCTTAAGATGAGAAGGTGATCTTGAAATAGGTTCGACTGGTTGTCTGCGACTTGTTATTCTTTGAGGTGTCCAGTTTGGTGAACCTGTTGGAGTTGCAAAATGTTCTTGATGGTTAGGCAAAGCGATTTCGAATTCTTCAAGTAGTACGTCCAATGGTAGTTTTTGTCGTTCTTGACTGCTTGACTCTACCGATTCTCTATGTCGAAGTTGATCAGTATGAGCTCGTACTAGAATTTTCCTGTCCCCAACGTCGATTAGAGTGTTGTAAATGACTTTCCCTTTACGCTCGACTATTTCGCCTGTTGTCCAGTAACTTTTGTTTCCTTTGAAGTTTCTGGCATAGACCAATTCTCCGTTGCTAAACTCTCTGTTTTTGGTACCGTGTTTGGTATTGTACTGCTGTTCCATTTTGTGATTGACGTTATACTCAGGCGATTGTTGCTTCCTTAGAACGTCGAAGACCGTTCTCATTTTTCTTCCGATGAAGGATTCTGCTGGAGACTTACCTTCTGGTGCATTTGGATTTGGTGTGGATCTGTAGACTTCTAGGAAGGTTTGGAGAGATTCCGTAGGCGTTTCTTCCCCTTCTAGTTTTTTTAATGCACGTTTAAGTGTATCAACGAAACGCTCGGCTTGTCCATTTGAACTTGGATGAAAACGAACAGTCCTTGTGTGTTTAATGCCTTTTTTGCTGCACCACTTCTCAAATTGTTCTGAACAGAACTGTGTTCCGTTGTCCGAGACCAATTGTTCAGGATTTCCGAAGAGTGCACAATATTCGTTTAACATTTTTAATGTTGCATATGTGGTTGTCGTTGTTGTCTCGTATATAACAGGGTATTTTGAATACGAGTCGATGATAAGAAGATAATATTTACCTTTTTCTGGACCAGCATAGTCTATATGTATCCTTTCAAGAGGGTGTGAAGTTAATGGCCATGGGCAAAGATTTGTTTTTACTGGACTTTTTGCCGCATGTTGACAATTTTTGCATTTCCGAACAAAGTCTTCAATTTGTTTGTCGATGTTTGGCCAATAAACATAACTTCTGGCGATGGCTTTGCTGCGTTCTGCTGATAAGTGTCCTCTGTGAAGTTGTTGTAAGATTTGTCTCTGATATGATTTAGGAATTACTATACGATTATTGAAGAGAATACAACCATCGAAGGTTGAAAGATTTTCCTTGCGGTTGAAAAATTGAATAATTGATGGGTTAATATTTTTCTTGCTTTCTGGCCATTCTGTTTGAATGTATTTGAGGACCATTTGTAAATCCGTGTCTTTTGTTGTTGCATCGACGATCATTTTAAATGATACTGGGAGAACTGACATAGTTTCATTTATCTCGTTACGTATGTCTTCTTCGAATGATATTGAAGCCACTATAAAGTCATCTGCTGGTTTTTCGTGATTGTTGACTTTTGTTTTGCACAGTCCTGGGGTACTGTTATCAAAAACTGATTGATAATTCGTTTTCAATTCTGCTATTTCATCAACGAAGTTTATTTGATGACACCATGAGGTTATTGGTTTCTGCCATAGATTGAATGCTTGAATCCAATCGATTCCCATGATATTGAGTTTTTCTATATCTGTTATATAACATTTTAATGTTTTTGATGTTTTGTCGATTGTGACGTCACATTGAAATTCTGCTAGGAGCTTGATTGAATTTGCGTTTGCGTCGCTAGCGTTGTCAAAAGTTTCGTAGGCTTCAGGCTTACCTATAGCTTTCCATGTGTTGATAGATACAATTGATATGTCTGATGCAGTATCAATTTGAAGTTTTACAGGATTGTTGTTAATTAGGACAGTTGTGTGTTTCCTTAAGTCGCGGAAATTAATGTTGTGTGTTTTGAAAACTGCCTTAGTTTTGAATGATTTCCTTGAATTGCTGTATTTCTTGAATTCGTTCTGGTTGTTTTCAGATGATGATTTGAAATTCTTACCAGTCTTAGCGATGTTGCAAAAGTTATTTTTATGACCCACTTGATTGCATGTTGTGCATTTATGTTTCTGGAAAGGACAAAATTTGACGTAGTGAAGGTCTCCGCAATACCAACAGGGTGAATTGGGTGTTTTGTGCTTCTTAAAGTCTTTTGCGTGCTTGTTGAGTGAACAGACGATTTTTGATTGATGTTCAATGAGAATGTTGTCCGATTTGAGATCTAGAATTCGTTGTGTTTCGTCTACTAGTTGATCTAGGTTCATTGTAGTGTTTTCATCATCCAGTACCTTTAGTAAGCGAAGTCTTATGTCGTTGTCCTTTGCTGACTTGAGTCCTAAGACGAAAATGAGACATTTGAATTGGTCGATTTTCAGTTCTTTCATTTTGAATAGTTCGCATTGTAGGTTTACTCTGCTTGCGTATTCTCTGAAATCTTCGCTGTCGCCTTTTGCTAGCTGAAGGCATTTGTATCTTTGTGAGACTTGTGTTTCTGTTTTACCAAAGAGTTTCTTGAGTTTCTCTACTGTATCCTTTAGAGTCATGTCTTCAGGTTTTGCTGGTAATACGTAGTTGGCAAATCTTTCATGTACTTAGTTCGACATTTTTCTCCATAACAAGGCCACTTTGTCATGTTCTTCGAGTGAGCTTGCTTCTTTTTCGAAAACATGCACAAACCTGTTGTACCACGCTTGAAATATCAGACCGCTCTCTGGCTCGTATACGAATGCTGTCATTGACTGTGCTAGTGATTCCATTAGTGCTGCTTTGGATGAATTTGATGTTTGTGGTGAGTGTGGTGAATTTGGTGCTCCTTGTGCTTGAAGAAGATCAGCCATATGCTTTAGCAGTTGCGTTTGTTGCGACATTGCTTTTTGTTGCTCTGTTAACAATTGTAGAATTATGTCTTGAGACATTTTTGCGGATTGTTGTGTGTGCAATTATTGATCAATTTCCACTATCCTCGTCGCCACTTTTGTTGTACTTTTATAGTTTGAAATAAAAGCCAATGTTTGTTAATACTAAAGGTGTAAAGATTTATTGGATGATGAGCGTTCACAGCTACTAATTTAAAAAGAATGAAGAAGTTACAATGTAGTGAATCAGACTCGAGTGACAGACAAAACAAGACTGAGCAAGCTAAAATGGCGGTAGCACGGCGTCCTATTATATGGGCGTTGCCGTATAGGATGTTGCAACATGAGATGCCATATTGTTAATGTGGGTTGCCCCAACATCATCCATTATTTCTTAGACCGCGTTAAAATGAATTTTATTCGTTTGATATTTGTGTATCGATGTACCTCTCAATTCAGATGGACTCGTGGTTTTATTGACTGAGGGTGCCAAGGTGTCCACATCAGCATCAGCCAAATGTAATTTTATTTTTTTATGTTATTATCTTCCATGCGTAATCGAGTTTTGAAGGGACTGGGGTCGAACGTGGCATTGCATTATTAACTCCGTATTCATCCATTTTTTCTCAGACCGCGTTAAAATGAATTTAATTAATTTGGTATTTGTGTATCGTTGGACCTCTCAATTTAGATTGGCTTGGGAAAGTTTGTATACCTAAGTCTTGGAATGAATAATTTCATCTTCGAACTTCATATGACTTAGATAGGAACAATGTGATGTTAAAAGTTAGGACCAAATAAGGGTCTTTCATCTACGGAATTTTTTCATTAGGATACTCCCTACAATTTCATCGCTCCCCTTTGCCACAATAAGGATAAACATGTCGAGATCGGCTCCGAATGTCGGCAGGTAATGAATAAGTTTGTTTGGTTTTAATTTAAAAACTATACCACTGGCATAACGTGGATTTCCTTTTTGTTATGTTTTAAAAATGTTTGTGAAAAGGATTAGTTGATAAATTCGATGATCGCTTTGCGAAGATATTTTTGGGTGCATCCACATAAAAATATTTAGAAAATTCAAATTCGGCTACATTTAAAGAATCCTTATAAAATTTAGGTTTCAATCCTAAGTCTACCCTTTAGAAATTTAATTCTATATTTTGTAGGAATTCGTCAAATGTTACCTCACATGAATTTTTTTAAAATTCCAAGGAAATTTTCATATTTTAGAAGGTCATATCTTGATTAAAACATTTCTGTTGAATATTTTCATTATTGCCTTACCTCCACAGATATTTTCTCTTCCACATACGTTTGAGCTTTTGGCACATCGGTCAATGATTGATAACCTATATATTCATGATTTATTTGGGCAAAGGCATTCTCCTTATCCGACAAATCGCTCTGATTGATGAAATCCAAATGTTCTGTAATTAAAATTGTTTTAAATTAAAAATTTATTCAACATCAATAATCTCCTCCTCATCTTACCCATACACGAGCTACTAATTAAATTCTGCAAACGGCCAATGCGAACTTTCATGCCATCACAATAGCCCTTCTTCAGCATGGCCAGCAAATCAAGCATTTCCTTAAATTGGGGATCACGCATATGCTCCTCACGTATAAGCAAACAGACAGTTGGTCGACCCGACAAACGCCAATATTTACCAACAAATTGTAGCTCAGTTTTAATATCATCGATTAGTAGAGCCATATCACGATATAAATAAAAATCAGATACTTCAAATATCAAGGGATAACACAACACCGTCATGCCACAAATACGATACACTTTGCTGGTGCCCAAAGAACCCACCGGTCGAGGTGGACGACCAGAGAGGCCAACTTTTTTATTAACACCTAAATGTTGATAGACTTTAATCAACTCCGTGGAAGACCAAATTTGTACGGGCTCAACCTGAAAGAAAACAAGTTAATAATTAAAGATTTTTTTATTAAGGTTACAAAATCTGTAACTTACCTCATGAGGTGTTTGAGTTTGAATACCATAGGTTGCCATCATTGCCTGCAGACGCATTGACTCGGCAATCAATACAATTTGCACTACTAAATCTGTAGCTGTACCCTGAATTTAAAAGAATTATAAATCAAAAATAAAATTAATTGTTTGGTCATAAAAATATTTTAAATTAACAAGTAACAAATGCAAATATGAAACACAATAAATATATACAAAAATGTATAAAAAATATAAAAAGTTTAGTAGAAAAATGCATATACATCTCTTATACATATATTTTAAAAAGAAAAGAAAAACAAAACATGCAACATTTCATAGATATCCATTTATACATACATACATAGATATCCATATACATTCCATACAAATCAAATAAAACAAAAATGCCATTAACAAATATGTATATTATATCAAAAAAACGCAGAAAAATACAGTCAAACACTGTTACAAAGAACACTGTTTAGAAGAAAAAGAAAAATAAAATTAATATTAAATTTCAAAATAAGACAAAAAAAAAATTTTTTTTGAATATTTTTTTTTCTAAAGTTTCTTTGTAACAATGTTTGACTGTATTTTATAACCAAATGCAATAAACATATTATTTTAATAAAAATTTGTTGTTTTTATAAAAAATTTACCTCATTCTTATTATTATCCCCTATAAAAGGAACTCTAGATGTCTAAATGAACCATTTCATTTTGGTTGTTAGTAGTAAATAGGAAAGATAATGCTGATTAGATTTTGTTTCAAGTTTTTAAATTTTCTTAAAGTGTACGAAGCGTAAAAGTGGAGAACCAAAGTGGGGGTGGAGTTGTATTTTTACAGAATCAACCAAAACCTACTTTAAAAAACGAAACATATGTACAAATAAGCTTGTCCTTTAAGCTTTTTGGGATAACCAGATAAGTTCTTGTCAAATTGTGGCGCATAAATATAATTTAGACTACGAGCTCTGAACATTTCCTAACAAATTATCTGGGAAACTGTCAATGGGAAATATTGTTAAATAAAATTAAAGCATTTATATATAATTGAGAGAATGTAATGTCCGATTAAAAGACTTACTTGTTTGTTCGGGAAGACCTATAGATCTTCTATGAGAAGACCTCTTGATCTTCTATGAGAAGACCTATTGGTCTTTTATGAGAAGACCTCTTGATCTTCAATAAGAAGACCTATTAGTCTTATATGAGAAGAATTATTGGTCTTCTATGAGAAGCCCTATTAGACTTCAATGAGAAGAACTAGTAGACCAATTGGTCATATATAAAAAGACCTACTGGTCTTCTATAAGAAGACCTATTGGTCTTCGATGAGAATACCTATTTGTCTTCCATGAGAATACCTATTGGTCTATGAGGAGACCTATCGGTCTTCTATGAGAAGAACTGTCGGTCTTCTACGAAAAGACCTATTGCTCTTCTATGAGAAGACCTATTGCTCTTCTATGAGAAGACCTAGTGGTCTTCTATGAAAAGACCTAGTGGTCTTCTATGAGAAGACCTAGCAGTCTTCTATGAGAAGACCTAGTGGTCTTCTATGATAAGACCTATTGGTCTTCTATGATAAGACCTATTGGTCTTCTATGAGAAGACCTTTTGGCCTTCTATGAGAAGACCTATTGGTCAATTTTTGTCTCTCCGCCAGTTACAGAATTAAACCTAGAAAATGTCGTTGGCCATTTTTGGTCAAAGTTCACGATTGATCCCTGGAAAATCATTTTTTAAAAATCTTTGAAAATAATTTTCAATAATTTCAAAAAATTGCGATTAAACATAAAAATAGTTTTGAAAAATTAAAAATCCACGATTGGTATTTGAAAACATATTTTGTTAAAGAATCCGATTGCTTTGTAAATTTTCAATTGGGTTTCGAATCCACAATTGTACCCTAAAAAACCCCGATTGGATGTTTAAAAAATTGTTAATCTAAAATTTTTTCGGATCAAAATCATGCGCCACCCAAGAATGATTACAAAATGAGGTTCCTCGCTTCATTTCCGGCGCACAATGGCCACCAAAATCTCCGGATACCATTCCGTTGGACTATTGTGTCTGGAGTATTTTGAAAAGCAAGGTTGGCACTAAAAAATACCAAAGTGTCGATCACCTCTTCGCCGGGAATGAGCCAAAATACCGCAGAGCAACATTCGGCCAGCGTGTGTCATTTTCATTGGCCGTTTGAAGAACATAATTCGTGCCAAATGTGACCAATTCGAACAAATCCAAAGTTATTCTAAAATTTGATGCTATTTCCGACATTTTTTGCTTTCATTCAATAAAATTTAAAGAAAAAAATTTAACAATTATGACGTTTTACTTTGTTGCAATTTTTTATCTCGAAAATAAGCGATTGATCCTTAAAAGGGCATTGGGTTTAATTTTTATTTCTAAATCCCTGATTGGTCTTTGAAAACTTATTTTTTTCTTTAAATCCGACTGGACTTAAAAAGGTTTTTTTTTTTTTTATAATCCACAATTGTGTTTAAAAACATTGTTAATCAAAAATTTCTTCGGATCAAAATCTTTCTAAGCACTAAGAGGCCAGTGCAGCGAAATTTTCAGATTTCTTTATTTTAATCTGCACCGAAAACATGGAGAACAGTATGTGCTTAAACGCCTGGAATTAGATATTTGTTTAAACATCTATATCCGAATTTAAAACATTACTCATTTAAAAATCCAAAACTATTGATGAATTAGTTTTAAAATTTAACCTTACCGTATATAGTTTCATGTGGGTTTTTATCAAATTTAGTATTGACTTGATTTTAAGAGTTGGCGAAATATAATCAATGTAATTTAATTTTAAAAAAAGTTAGTGTACATTTTAAAACACGCCAATTAATTTCTCATATTTGGCTTAGTTTTAATAAAGCAGTTGAAAAACGTTTACAACATTTTTTTTAGTTACCAATACAAATAATTAGAATATCATTATGTTGATCAAATGAATTTCGGATTACCAATATACGACAGTCCCTTATTTCAAGGAAAAAGAAATAAGCAATTATTAATAAAACAAAAACTACAACTATTATTATAACCCAAAACATTTAACACATCAAAAAAAAAACTCTTTGAGAAAATAAAATACACATTAAAAAACTGGTCATCAGTTTTTAAAACAATAACATAAAAATCAACTAAACAAAAGGTAACTACAAAAAAATCAATATATTTCAACGAGAAAAATTACTGCCCAAAATCAACTACTTACAGTGCCAGGTTTTGCCTATTTCAAGAAAAAAAAGTAAATATATGAAAGAATAAATTTACAATTAAATTAAAGGATATATAGTAAAATTTACAAAAGGGGACTACTACATAATATGAACGATTTAAGGGTTAAATTACTACAATTGAGAATTCATTTTAAAAATAATATTAAATTTTGAATTTAGTCGAAAAACAAAAATTTTGCTTTTTTTTTAAAAAAAAGGAAAAAAAACTTAGGAAAATGTAATGTTTTGTTCTTAGCCTTTTACTAGTTTTTGCTATAACTTTTTGCAAGGATTTAGATCCCAGCGTATGCATTTTGTGTGCGTACGTAAAAAATTAATATAGGCTACAACCGTATGCATGCTATTTTGTTACAAACTACTCAAATGCCATGTGTGGAATTATTTATGCCATTTTTTTATTGTTGTTGTTCTTTGTATATAAAAGTGTATTTTGCTGTGAGTACTTAGCTATTGTCTTGCAATAAAATTAAACATACATATGTCGTATATTTTTGTTGCTAATTATATATCGAAAATAACTTACGTTGTGTTTCTCATCGAAGGCTTTTCCCTGGGATATATGTTAATTGTATTTGTTTACAATTTTTTTGTTTGTTTGTATTGTTGTTTACCAATTTTATGTTTTTGAGTTTCAATTTAAATTTTTGTTTGTTTTTCATAATTTTACGTGGACATGGAGAGGACAACATATATAAGGTAGTCGTAGATGGTAGGTAATGGTAGTAGTAGTAGTAGAGGGGAAAACAAAAATATATGGACAAAAACATCAATTATACGGGGGAATATTCCATTATATCAAAGCCAATTCAGTAAGACAAACAAAAGTATCAATCAATATTAAAAAAATATAAAACTCAAATCTCTATACCCAATTGGTGGTTCATCATTTCTTCTTCGTCTTCAACAGTACACTAGAAGGCAAGGGTTTAACAACTTACCTGGAAAGCCGAGTAACGTCCGGCACGACGTGGTCTATTATAGCTGGGCAAATAACGGCGTATGGGATCCAATTCGTTAATATGCAAAAGACCCCCAGTTAGCAACTGAGCTATTATAAACATGGATTGACCCCACAAGAATAGCGATTGGGAAGGAGCTTTCACATAAGACCCCTCACCATCGGGGGCATAATACATTGTCACCACCGGATCACCGTGGGCATCAACATAGAGACAAGGCCTCAGCTCATTTTGATATTCCTCAATTTGTTCGGTATTATTCTTGAAAACACCATCAATTATCATGGCTATGAAAAACATGGGCCATTCACATTCATAGCCCTCGAATTCTTTGATTTCACCAGTGTGGTAATATCTGCAAGAATATATAATTATTGTCAATCATAGTTTATATTTCAGTTTTGAATTGGATTGGGAATATACCTCCTTGTTTTGTCTTCATTTTTGCTGAGGAAACCATCGCGAGAAAATCGCTTGAATCCCCTTTTGCACCGTAAACGATTGATGACATTATTTTTTGTCTGCTCCACCAAACGTTCTTCGTGTGAGGCAAAAGCTGGGAAGGACAAGGTTAAGAGGAGAGATGCATCAACACCCTAAAATGTTGGAATATAAAATTGAATGAAAATCAGAAAAACGCTTCATGAAAGAAAAATACTAATTCTAGAGAAGAAGAGGGAGTATATGGGTTCAATGTATTGTATACTTCGGCCCTCTCTGTTAAAAACAGCAAATTCTACATACAGAGTGAGATGAAAAACTGCAATCAACTTCAGATTGCTGTCATTCCTAAGCCACTCGTCCGACAACTGTTATAACTATTCCAGTGACAGCTCGTTATATTGTTTACAAGCGTACAAAAGCATTTGGTTAGAATTTTCCAGAAAAAAAGTTATTCGTGATGAAATTCAAACGTGATAGTGTGATTTCTTTATATTTGGCTGTAAAACCACAAGTGGCTATCGTTAGAGCAATCCAGCATTTAAATGTGAATAAATCTTTTGTGTCTCGTAACATCGCTCATTACCGTGATACTGGTAGCGAGGACGGAAGAAAACAGCAAGACCAGCAGAATTGTTTCGAAAAGTAAAGAGGCGACTTAATCGAATCCCGCGTCTCAGTGGCCGAAAAATGCTCGTGACCTGAACGTATAGCAATATTCCATTCGAAAAATATAGAAAAATGAGCTCGGGTTAAAGCCATAGAAATTCCAAAAAGTGAAAGAACTTATACCGCAATAGAAAGAAAATAGACCTTAAAGAGCTAAAGAGCTGCTTCGCTTGACCGAAAGTGGTGAACTGCCGAATTTGGTTTTATCCGATGAGAAAACATTCGTTGTTCAACAGTTTGTAAACAAACACAATGATCGTGTTTATCTGCCAAAGAGGTCAGCTGAAAATGTGCACCTTCGGTTGTCCACCAGAACTCAAACGCCGGCCATGCTGATGGTGTGGGCCGCCATAACAGCCGATGGTCGCTCTCCGCTCATATTAATCAACTTTGTTGCAGTTTTTTTATCTCACACTGTATACCCTCTCGAGCCATTTGGCTGAGGGACGTTTTTTATATAAAGCCATTTTCCTTTGTCTCATATATTTACCTTACTACTCGATTCTCTTGGCAACATTGTTTCGAAAATACTCCGATTACGATTGTGAGCATCGATGTCTACATAGACTACACTCCACGAAGCACCTTTTTCGCCAAACAAATTGCAACCATTGATGGCTTCCAAAGCCGATTTGGCCATGCCAATTGAGGAGGCATGAATTTCAGGTGTGCCATTATTATACTTCGAGCCACGTTCCCACATGCCAAAGTCGGGTGTGCGATAAGCACGCTCCACATAGTAGACTAAATTTTGGATAAAAGCAACTTCATCCTGCAATGAAAATCAAATGATATTCTCTCTATATAATTTTTGTAATAGGAAGCACCCTCACCTGTGTATATATAATTTGCAATCCCGATGTTATCATCTGCACCAAAAATATCAAATACAGCGATACCACATCAATTTGCAAATGATTATACAAATCATCCGAATAGATTATTTCACCAGTGTGCAAATGAAATTTACTATGCAAGGCATGTTGATTTGATTGTCGCTGTTTGAAGAGTTCAACACGTGATGCTTGTTTTATCCAACATTCCAATATGCCACGCATACATTTCACGGTGGACTGGCCTAGTTCATAGGATTTACCACGATCATCATCAATACGACGATAGGCTTGATATAAACTCCACACAGCAGCAGCACAATAAACACTATCACGTACACTGCCCACCTCATGATCGATGCTCATCACCGGAAAGAGGCCATTAATGGGACTTTGGAAGCGCAACAGCTGTCTTTTAACTGAAATAAGAAAAGAAGATTAATACATTGATATGAGGAAAACTTAAATTATTCTCGTCAAGAAACCTAATACCAATGTTAACAACATTTTGTGTGTGTCCTACTCATTGTGAACTTAAAGTGACAATGCTAAAATGGACCCTCAAGATTTAGGAAATGGAGCAGCTTTATCCATATTAGCAATAATAAGCCGCTAGATCCTCATAAGGAATAAGATGACATCCGATTTTTTAAATTAATAATAGATAAATAGAAATTGGACATATTTTCGGAAAATTCCGATGCGAATACGAATTGCCATTTTCTTGAATCTCCCAATAAAAATAATTGTTAGGCAACTTTCTATGAAGTGGTAGAGAACACATTCGAAACAGTATATATATACCCGGTGATTTTCATATTATCAATTAATTAAATGCAATTGTGAACGAGGTGATCGTTACACAGATCAAATTGACTAAGTCGATTTTTTAAGATACTTTATAAATTGCATTAAAATTTGAACATTTTTTAAACATGTCTACTTTTTTTGAATTTATAACCCCTTTTATTTAGTTTATCAAAATCCAATTTTTTACGCACATATATCTTCCATATGAGCAATATAAAAAGCAAATACGAAAACGTGACTTATATGCTTCTTGCAACACAACGGCAATTTGTACAATAAACAAACAATATGTATGTAGCCATATACCACACCAAACATCTAGCAAGATGCCAAAAGTGCTCAAGTATATATGTCCCAAGACAACAAAAAAAGGGGAATACTCGATATTATATAATTTAATAATAATTAAGAGATGAGGGATGCTTTGTAGAAAACTTACCAATTCCATAATAAATATCCAATTGTTTGCTAAAAAAAAATAAAAATATTACAATTTACGCAATTAAAAAGTAATCAATTTTTTCAACATACACAGTATCTTCATAATTGGATGTCTTTAGAAATGAATCCAAATTAATATCTTCCAAACTGTTGTGTCTTCCCGATGTTGATGGTGCTCCAGAATTGAGACCACTTTCTGGTGCATTGAAAGTAATGCCCAACCTGCGAAAAAAAAACTCGTTAAGAATTATGTTCTACTTAAATTATTGAACTCACGTTTTGGGTGGATCTCTCATCGTGTGGATTTGATGAAAAAACTAATTTTTCCCTGCTATTTTCTAAAGTTTTTGTTTAGTTTTTATTCCGATGTTGTTTTGGTTACTGGTTGCTGTGTAAATACCCTTGTAAAAGTCAAATGTGACACACAGCTGCGTAGGGTTACCACACTGCAAGAATTTGCGACAATTACTTTGTTTAGAATAGAATATAAAAGATAATGTGAATTTTTTGCGAATGAGGAGATGGATACTAGGCAATAGAGCACAGGGTGTTTCATGTGAATATGAAATCGCAACAACATTTACAGTGGCGGTTAAAATTAGATTAGGATTTTAGTAATGGTATAAAAATATAAGGTGACATCAATTTTTGGTTGAGTTCATGTTATAATTATTAGAAGGTAGAAGCAAAACTACAACGAATATAACTCTACAACAATCACATAGAAATTTGTAATTGTAAATAATTCTAGTATCGGAGTTAGTGAAACAGTAACTAACATCACGGAGAACGTTTCCTAAGATGAATGGTTAAAAATCTCCACGTTTTGTATATATGTACATGTGTGTATTGTTTTGAATGAAAAATACAATGAATTGAAATTATTTCAAATTCGGTTTCATATTTTCGACATTAATGGGCAATACATTATAAAATTTTGGGATAAATTATATTATCCTACTATTTTAGATTCAATCTTGTGGAATAACCACAAAATTCCATTCTTGTTTATAATGGGGTTTCCCCATGGTACAATAACAGGTAAGATAGAGCTACCAGCTGATTACAATTTTTTTCTAAGTGTGCCCGACTTCTGCCAATTTTGTGCATGTATTTATCGTTTTGAAAAATAAAAATAGAATATTTACAAAATCAATGATTGGAAATCACGTACATTGCGAAACGTGCTTTAAAGTTATTCACCAGTTTTGCCATGATATTGAAAGATATGACTGTTTAGATCATATTTATGAAAGAAAATCCAGCCATATCATTCATATTTTCTGCTGTTTAACTGATTTAAATTTTTAATTTAATTTTTTTTTCTTAATAAGCCATAGATTTTTTATCTCCAATACATGAATAACTGGCTAGGAAGCTTTTGAATTTATGTTTAAATAAATAACACATAAAAATTTGGAGTTACAAACAAAAAACGTTAACATTCAAATTTTAATTAACTTCGGTAAATAACGAAAATTTTTGGCAGGTTGGCTATCAAAACAAAGTAGCCGCTAAGTTCTACCGATAACAAAGGCGCTGCCAACTTTGTTTTGGAATTTCCATTTATAATTTTGCATTTCTATTTTACGGAAATATGTTGGTAATTCAAAAAATGGTTTGGAGGATCCCACTACAGGTCACTTTACCGTTAAAATTAAAGTACTAATTTAATTTATTCTACTATTTTTTTATTATTATTCTCGCCATCTATTACCTTATGTTAACATTTTTTCTTATACAGTATATTTTGTTATATATTATTTTTTTACCCCAAAACTCACTTTTTTCGGTTACCTTTCTTTCTCTTTGTAAGTTCCGGTAAACCCTAATAACATTTAAATACTTAATTTTCCAACTCTGAGTCTGACAGAGAGACAGAACATCAACTCTCTCAATAATAAACAAAATAATGAAAGGCCAACAGAGAACAGAGACAAGCACCAAACACATAAACAAATTATTAACCAGAAACATTAAACTGCCATTAAGTAGCCAGAAAATGCCAAAAGTGTACTTCAACCTCCAACAACAACAACATTGGCAACAGGTACGACCGACTTAAACAAGCAGAAAGGGAATAGGCAAGCAAGTAAAAAAACACAAACAATACAGAATGAAATATTTAAAGCAGCAGCCACTACCACCATCATCATCACCATACAGCAGAAGCAAGCAGAACAACGATGGAAACCAGATTTAGATTTTTTTTGTACGGCTCACATCATATCTACCACAAGCGCTATCAGTTGCTGCCTGGCTGGCTGGACTATTGTTAAGCGCATCATAACAACAAGCAAAGAACGGTGTACGGCGAACGCTGGCTGAGTGTAGATTAAGACAAGCTGCTGCTTAGAGAAGAAGCTCACAAAAACCTTTTGTGTATTTTGATTGATTGACTCGGGCGATAAAATGTGGAAAAAAGCCGGTATCTGAGTAGTTATGATGTGTTTGAGGTAAACAAATAATTACATCCAAACCGAAGAGAATAGCATCCCAAAGTAAATATACAAATATCTGAAAATTCAAGTGTGAGGTCATCCGTCGCCAGAAGAATAACCTCCAAGCACAGCTGCTGTTACGCGGTGAAGGTGTCGTTTGTGTTTCTTTTTTTGTTTATCAAGTTATTCGATTAACTTTGTTAACTCCCTGACTACCCAGCAAATCGTGCAACAATTCCAAGGCCAACAAAGTGATTGTTGTAGTGTGGCTAAAATTAAGCGGGCAACTGGGAATGTGAGAAGTGCCGTGTAATTTCTCAGAAAACCACAAACGCTATTGTCTGCTTTGGGCGGTGCACTGGATACAAGAAAAGAAATTCTATTCCAAATTAGAGAAATCTGCAGACTTAAAAAGAAACACCTTGGCCTTTATATGAACAATGGAGAAATTTCTATTACTCAGCATAACGGTGACGGGCATTGTTGTCTTGTGGCCGCTGCTGTGTTTGTGCGAGTGTGATGTAGAGCAAAGCCTTTCTTTGCCGGATTTACCATTGGAGCATTTGAAACGCTACATAAACACGTTCGACAAAGTAAAGCAACAGTATCAGAACAAAACGGAACTACTGCAGAAAATCGTGCAAAAAGACAACAAAGGTTGTTGGGGCCATGAACCGGACTGTGCCAAAGAAAATCGATTTCAAACACCCATTTGCCCGGGCTCGCATACGGGATGGGTGCGCAACAAAGAATCCCAGGTGGAGACATTCTATGAGCAGGCAGATTTTGGTTACATTAAACATCAAATAAAGGAGATGAAGTTAATGTGCGAACCCAAACTTATTACCGATTCCTCGTTGGAGTGCACCGAGTACATGAGATTTTGTCGTGGCCGTTATCTTATGTTGGACTTTAGAGATTTGCCCAAACGGCAAGAACGTATACGTTATCACATGGATGTACTGAAGGAAGGACAAATTCAAGGCTATTGTCAGTTGAATGAAACTCGCCTCAAATCTCAGCTAGATCACATGGGTGCCTTGCAGTCGTGGTCACCAGAACTGCGCAACTTCATCGAATCCAAAGAACCAATCAGCGAAAGCAGTGAACAGTGTGATATGTTCATTAATACGCCCACATTTCTAATGAAAATCGATGCCACCTACAATATGTATCATCATTTTTGTGATTTTTTCAACTTGTATGCCACGCTGTTTGTAAATCAAACTCATAGTTCAGTGTTCGATAGAAATACCCAGGTGATAGTGTGGGAAACCTATCCGTATGACTCACCGTTCAGAGATACATTCAAGGCGTTTAGTACTAATCCTGTTTGGACATTGGATCAGGTGAAGGGCAAACGGATATGTTTTAGAAACGTTGTCTTTCCATTGCTGCCACGCATGATTTTTGGCCTGTACTATAATACACCAATTGTAAGTATGAATGAATGAGAATTCAAGGGGATATTGAATCGGGAGTACATTAAGCTCTCTTTCAGAAACTGCAAGAATCTGTATTAGTTTTGCATTTACTTTTTTCGATATCATAAAGGAAAAATCGGTTGTCGTAGAAAAAAAATGTTTACATTCTTGCAGTTCTGGAACAGATCATAATTTTGTCATTTTCTCATAGCGTCACAATGGGCCCAAAAATATATATATTTTTATACCTTCCACCATAGAATAGAGGGTATATTATGTTTGTCATTCCGTTTGTAACACCTCGAAATATACATATTAGACCCCACAAAGTTTATATATTCTCCATCAGCATAAAATTCTATGTCGATTCAGCGATGTTCGTCTGTCTATCCGTCTGTGGAAATCTATCGAGCTTCCGAACGAATTGAAGCAGATTGATAAAGTTTTACTCAAATGTATGTAATGTCTGCAGGACTTTTGGTATTGAAAATGGGCCATGTAGGTCCACGTTTTGGTATAGCCCCATATAACGGTACCACCCGATATTCGGTATTTTAATGAGTTTAGCGAGGTATTTACCGGAATTGTGTCAAATTTGATATTCGAAGTTCGTAATTGATACTACAGCCTAAGACAGAAAATTGTCTGTGCAGGTTCACGTCTTCGTATAGCAGCCCCCATATAACGGTACCTCCCGGTATTCGGTAATTTGTTGATTTTTGCGACATTATTCACCAGAATTTTTTCAAATTTTGTATTTGATGTTCGTAATGGATCCTACAGCCTATGACTGGAGATTGTCTGTGCATGTCCACGTCTTCGTATAGCCCCCATATAACGGTACCTCCCGATATTCGGTATTTTGATGATTTTAGCTACATTATTACCGATTTCTTTTATGTTTCGCATTTGAATATTGTAATGGCTTATGACAAATGTTACCTATGCAGGTCGATGAATTCGTATAGACCCCAATGTAACAGCTACTTTGGGTATTTTTAAGATTTTAACAAATTTTTTAACGGATTTTATTATTTCTGAGAATTGCCAAATTTGTTCCAAATGGTGGAGGGCATTCAAAGTTCGGCCCGGCCGAACTTTTTTTCTCAAAAAATGTAACTTGTACATCAAAATTCGTTGATTTTATTTTTAATTAATTTGTTGAAATTTTTTAATTGTCCACTCAAAAGCCATGAACAAAAAAAATGTTAAAATATTGAAAATTACAAAAAATATTTTTTTTTTTCAAAAGAAAAAAATGTGAAAAAAGATAAGAACTGATCCTCAAATATTGAAAAGAAATAAAAGTGGCTGAAACTGAACTATGTTTTCCTCTTTATTTTTTCTTCCAGATTCAAGGGTGTGAAAAAAGTGGATTGTTTAGAGCTTTTTCAGAATTTATTTTGCATCGTTTGAAGGTACCCTTTGTTGCACCCAAAAACAACAAGATACGAATAACATTTTTATCGCGACGTACCAAATATAGACGCGTAAAGAACGAAGAGGAATTGTTGGAAGAAATAAGTAAAAATGAAGACTACATAGTACAAAAAATTTCATATGAAAGGTGAGTAAAATCCAAAGTGATTCCTAAGGTTGTCTAAGAAATCTAATATATTCTCTTTGTCCCCTTTTTATAGAGAATTAACATTCCTGCAGCAACTGGAAGTAACACGCAACACTGACATTCTCATTGGCATGCACGGTGCGGGTCTGACACATTTACTCTTTCTACCCGAATGGGCAAGCCTCTTTGAACTCTATAATTGTGAGGATCCAAATTGTTACAAAGACTTGGCCAGATTACGTGGCATCAACTATATAACATGGGAAGAACGTGACCTAGTGTATCCTGAAGATGAGGGCCATCATCCCGAAGGTGGTGCTCATGCTAAATTTACAAATTATGCCTTTGATGCAAAAGAATTTGCACGCCTGGTAGACAAAGCAGCAGAGCATGTGAAAGCGCATGTAGATTTTCAAAAATATAATCAAGAGGCTTTAACAAAAGATGAGCTGTAAAATGTTATTTTTATAAAGATATATAGTACTGTTGAGATTATTATTGTATGTACTTAAGAGTTTTTTGTGGTATTTTCGTATTTAAGTAAGTTGTAATTTTATTGAAAATAAAATTAAAAGAACGACAAGTATTTTTGATAACCAAATCGAATTGAGAGAGTGTTTTATATGCATACAAAGGGTGTCATTGAAATGAATATTGTGAAAATTTATGTATTTTCAGAGAATTTTTCTGTTCCAGAACCTGCAAGAATCTATTAGTTTTAGAATTTGGTCGATTGAGAAGAATTTAGTTATCGTTGTAAATTTTTTTTAACCTGTAGTCCTCAATTTTTAAATAAAATATTTCCTAAACGAAATCATATGCATATCGATCGAATTTCACATTTTTTATAACCTTTCTAAGTCGTTTCTTTTGCTCTCATTTCAGTTTGACCGAAGCCAAGCTAATTGTTGAAAAAATATAAATTGCAGTTCATAATTTAATTATCTTCACATCGACCTATTTTTGGAAATAAAAAAACAAGCCATTCTAAAATATGTCAAAATTAAATAATGATAACTTATTTAAGATGACGTCTAATTTCTTGTTTCTTATAAAAAATATCAAACAAGATAAATGCCTTAACCCGTTGCTAATGAAATTGTTTAAAACGTACTGATTCATAATGGTTATTAACAGGTTGTTTAAACGAGTTTTGTTTATTATTATAACGGTTCACTTCTAAAATAGACAAGGATGTTAATGCATTGATTTCCAACATTTGTTAATAGGTCAAAAATGCATTGAAATTGAAATAACAGGTAAAAAAGCATTAAGTTCGGCCACGCCGAACTTTAATTACCCTCCACCTTTGGGTAAAGGAAACAGTAGACACCATTATGATCCACAAATACCAATTTTTAGACAAATCCGTGAAAAAATGTGGGAAAAATCATCTAAATATCGGGAGGTACTGTTATCTCTGTCCATGCCTTGACAACCATGGAAAGTCTACAAAAACCTGTAAAGAAAAGTTTACTTTTAATAAACGATCACCAGTTAATGGTTTACATAACTGCCCAGTTTAGGATTCGCAAATAAAAGAATTTTTCTCGGTGTTCTTAAATAATGAGCTGCTTATCCTTTGTTCTTTGTAATTAATAGTCTTGTCCCTTCATGAAAAAATCCAAAAATTAAGATTAGATTTCCATATCATCGATATCCAAACATCATTCAAATGACTTCAAATTTCTGCCTTAAAGAAGCACAATATACACCCAGCTTGTGGAAGTAGCCCAGACCAGTCAGTTCAGTTTTTCACAGATGACTCAATCCCATCATTCCCTTTTTCGTTTTGGATGCGTCTTTATAGTTGGACAGACCGACCAGAGAAAGGTTTCTGCTAGGAATGAGTATACCGCTGTTATTAAACGGGGAATCGTTTGCAACATAGCTGTATGCCGTAAAATTAATTAGTTGTATTTGCGTTTTGAAGGAAGAAGCAAATCTCAATTTTGTGATTGAAGGAAGAAGCAAATTTAAAGTTAAATTTTGTGATTTCTAACCCAATTCCCATTGTTTTATTGTGCAGTGGCCAATGTGATGATTCTTCATTCTTATTTCCAAATCTATTTGTCTTTTAGCTATTGCTAACATGGTTTAGCCCTTCTAACAGACCCTTGTTAGCCACATAATTCTGTACGAACGAGCCTGCTTCTGTATGAGCGAAAGTGAATTCAAAAGACTTAAAGGAGAATATTGATGACTACTTACTACTCATGTTACCTTTAACATAAAAAGGCGAATTTGCAGTAATTGGTACAAAATATTGTGTGAAAGAACTTATCTATTTGTAATAAAAAAACTAATTTTTCAATCCTTTACTTACCTTTTATTATTTAATAAAAATGTTAATATGGCAATACCTTGTTATCTCTCCATACTCATATCTTCAATTTGGAAGCACTTTCATTTCAGCCGTTATAAACTGCCAACTAAACACAGCTGTAAACCTAGTGACCGTCGGTCGTTTTGTTCCGATTGCGGAACAGTTGTTCAAGGACTAAAGGACCAATAGCGTTGATACTTAAGAATTTTAGATTTTTAAGAACATTTTTTCAATGATCAAAGAGTCAAAATTTGTGTGTTAAAAAAATATTGTTAAAGGGTCAACAAAGCTTTTGGTGTTTAGCTTTTGTGTTTTTTTTTAATATTTTTGAAAGACTATTAATTTGTGGGTACATTAGCAGCTTTAAGTCTTCGCATGGCATATTTTGTGACACATTATAAAGGGATGCCAGAGCCGCACTTGAAGAGTAACCCTTTAGCTATTAAGCCAATAAACATAGGTATTTTAAAAAAAATTCTGTCAAGGACCATTAGGCATGATTTTTCTTTTTAATACTAATATGTGCATTTTTTTTTAAAAATTGTTTTAGTACAACAATCAGTAGTGGGATTCTTTAACTCATTCTTTTGAGTTACCGACAAATATCGGTAATTTTAATATTACTCAAAATTATGAATAAAAAATCCGAATTAAAGTTAACGATACTGGTGCTATCGGTAGGACTTCCTTTTGGTCGATAACTTGATGAAAATGTCGGTAATTTCCCAAATTATAAGAATTTTAATTTAACAGATTGTTGTCGGTATGGCACTACAGAGCCATAGAATTGATTTTTTTAAGAAGTATAAGGCGTAGATTTTTTAAAAGTATTTTTAAAGGTCCCACTATGCAGTCGTTTGATGTTTTGTCTTTTTTATTAAATGACAAAAAACTGTTTTATTAGCGTACATCGTTGTCTCTCGTAAATACATCATTAACTTGGCAGCACTTTCAGTTCAGCCGTTATAAAGTGTCAACTGAACACAGCTAAACAGCAGATAACTTTCTCGTTTTCAATCTCTGGAAGCCTACAAACATTCGGTAGTTTTGTTTTGATTGGCACTTCCTAGACAAAATGTTGTGCTTAGGATCCCTATATACAATCTTTGTTTTTGTTTTGATTTTTTACGTTTATCACGCAATTACGCTTTAGTATTTGTTTCTTACTTATCGGCGGCCGGTGTCCGAGGGTAGCTTTGCAATCTGATTCAACCTAAAGGGTTGTGTTGGAACGCGAATATCGCAATTTATTAATCATTTGGAGAACTTAATTTCTTCAAACAATTGCAATTATCAACGATTGCGTGTATGGCTATTACAGACTTCAAATAAAAAACAAATGTCTATTCATTGCAAATAAATAATTACATACACGGGAAAACACTTGAGTTTGCTGCTACTCCTACTCTGAAGTGGTGGGGTAATCTTATCATGGCATTAGACAACAACTATGGAGATAAATACAACAACTGGCACCCCGGCAACGATGAGTACTATTGTAACGCTGAGGCAACCAATAATTTCGAGTGTCTATCATTGGTCAAACAATTATTGGCATGTCGGCGTTTTCAAGATCGCTGGCCAGTTTGTTGGTCAAAGCCTACAGCTGAGCAGAACGATACATCCCATCGCATGGATATATACGAAAAACATTCGGAAGAAACGCTAATACGAATATGGCACATACAATGTACCATTGTTGTGACGTTAATGGCGATAGCATTGGCTCGTGTGGTGGTACGTCATACATTAGGGCGCCACCGAAAGGAGGAGGGAAATGATCGGAGTAAAGGAGGCACGGGGATGGTGTCATGGTGCAAAGTGTATATATTAGAATTTCTGGTGATCTCAATGCCTGCTGTTGTAAGTGTAAATGTATTCAATAGATATGTTGATCATATCTTGGCAATTGCTGTGATCGTGGTGTTGGCAGTTGTATGGCGCTCGAGGTGTACGCAACGAGCCAAGGAGAGAATATATGAATTTGGTCGACGACCCGCAATCTTTACCCTGCTGCGCTCCACCATAAGCCTGTTGACAGTTCTGTGTATTCTTGCCATTGATTTTGAAAGTTTTCCAAAGAAATTTCGCAAGACCAGACGTTATGGGGCCGGCCTCATGGATGTTGGTATTGGTCTGTTTGTATTTTCCATGGCCCTGGTATCGCCCCGCTCAAAACGTTTTGCCGATATACGAAAAATGTGCTTCACTGTCGCCTGCATGTTGGTATTGGGTTTGGCGCGAACCATTGTTATCACCAGCATTGATTACCATCAAGATGAACATGAATATGGCAAACATTTGAATGCCTTCTTTACATTGGGTCTAACAAAACTTTTTGCAACCTTACTCGGCTATGTGGCCGGAAAAGATAGACATCTGTTACCACTGGGTATTGGTAAGTTTGAAATGCTAGAGAATCTAATAAATATAAGTGTTTTATTTTAGTTTCCGATTACCACACCTGTTTTTTTTTTTCTTTGCAATAATTTGAAAAGATATTGATAACATAATCAATTGATTATGCGAGGTTTCCAATATCGTTTATATTCATTTTCGAAATTGTATTTGTATTTTGATAAGCTCCAGATAACATGACAAGCGTTTTGTTGAAATATTTTTTCGTTTGTTTTCTATAATAAATTATAATACGTCTGCTATTGGGGAATGTTGGACGGAAACGCCTACATAAAACGCAAACACAATTCTCCAGAACACTGTGCATAAAAGAGGAACAAGTGACGTACTTTGTACTTTTTTAGCAAAGGAGTATTGTTTCGTCATTAAAAATATAGATTAAAAGTCTTACATTAAAAAGCTTCAGTATTTTCTTAGATATTTTTTGTCGTCTATAATGCAAGAGTTTTTATCGTGTCACCCGTAAAAACATTTTGGAAATTTCAATTGACAAGTTTCAATATCACTTTATTTTCTTTTGATACAATAATTTATGACCATTTGCCTCTAGAAAAGTTAACTAGGTCTGATGGAAGTTAAAATTTTGATTGGTCACCTACTATCTAATGGCATGTTTGTGCTACAGAAAAATATGATATGTCATCTGTGCCATTGGAACCATATACAGGGAGATAGTCAAAGGAACAAGAAATACACTATTTCCATTTAATTTTATTTTCAATTGTTCAAGTTTTCATGTCCTAAAATTATATGAAAATAGGCTTGTTTGAGAACAACTAAAGTGGTATATGTTATTTCTTTTATTAAGAACTAAAAATACCAAATTTTCACTGAAAAGATTTGGCAAAAGTTATGAAAATTACGAATATCGGGAGGAACCATTTTATGAGTAATTTGCGCAAATTTGAACCTATATTTACAGGGGAAGTGGTAACCATTACGAACTTTAAATATTAAATTAAAAAAAAAAACAGCAAAATAGTATCAGTCGGTTTTGCCGACAGATGTATACCACCAGCCTTGAGTTATGATTATTTTATGAGGGAGATTCGGAAGCAGTTGGCCTATTCGTATCTGACCTAAGACAGATATAAGAACTACAACGTGCCAGATTTTGACTGTATCGACTACTTCCTATAAGCGCAAATTTTAGGAAAATGCGGAAATATGCGTGAGGTAACAGATATAGCGGACCGAAGTATTCCATTTTCATAATGCATCTAATACAGAAAAATTATGTGCAGTTGCAAAATTTGAAGGAAATCGTAGGTTTATGTTCAATTTTATGCGATATCATAAATTTGGATAAAAAACATATTCATATCAGATTTCTGGTTAGGAGAAATATTTAGATATAGCAAGTTGGAAAGAATCACCGACTTGTTTCACCAGTTATGACTGATATACATATGTATTGAACAATGTAACCCTTTGTGGGTGACTATCAGATTTCTGGTTAGGAGAAATATTTAGATGTAGCAAGTTGGAAAGAATCACCAACTTGTTTCACCAGTTATGACAGATATAAGTATTGAACAATGTAACCCTTTGTGGGTGAGGTACCACAAGTGGTTGGCAGATATATACCATCTTCACATCGGATCTTGCGTTTGAAGAGAGTTGAATGCATATTGCGCTATATTTTAACATTTTGTTTTTCAAAAATTTTGAACTCTATGTGGGTGAGGTACCAGTAGAAATGGCCCGATCTGTACCATCTTTATAACAGATCTTGTTTTGATGGAAATATTGAGATGTATCAAGCCTGAATGGAATCGGATGCTAATTTCGCGTTTTATGAGTTTCATGGTCACTCAAAATGTTGAACATTTGTGGGGGAGGTACCAGAATGAGTGGACCTATATATCCCATTTTCACACCCGACCCTGACTTAATAAAAATATAGTGATGTGTGCAATTTGAAGACAATCGGACACTTACATCACATTTTATACGAGCTATAATTATTCAAAGTTTTGACGCTTTGTGAGGGAGGTACTTGATGGAGTGGACCGATATTGTCCATTTTCGCATCTAACCTAGCACTGATGCAAATATTTGGATTCACAAAGTAAGAGCAAAATTGGATAATATTGTCTCGTTCTGTGTAGTAATTTATATTCTTTGAAAAAGTTGACATTTTATGTGGAAGGTACCAGAAGTAGAAGACTGTTATTGCCCATCTCCGAACTCGATCTTAATTTGACAATAATATTACGATATACCAAGTTTGGATCAAATCGGATACTCCCTTCGAGAGTTATCGTGCGCACCAGCCAGACAGAAGGACGAACGGACGGAAATCGTTAGATCGACTCCTAATATCCTGAGATGGATTTGGTCCAAAGAGACCTAGGGTCTAAAACCGTTAGTTATCGTTATATATCAAATGATATATACCCTCTCTAGCCATATGGCTGAGGTATAGAAAATAGGCGAAAATCATCAACATTCTGAATATTAGGAGTATTTTACGGAATCCTATATCTATACAGGGTGAGATGAAAAAACTGCAAACAACTCCAGACTGCTGTCATTTCTAAGCCGCTCGTCCGACAGCCGTTAAAATTTATTCCAGTGACAGCTCATTATATTTTTTAAAGGCGTACCAAAGCATTTTGGTGAGAATTTTCGAGAAAAAAAGTTATTCGTGATAGAATTCAAGCGTGATATTGTGATTTCTTTAGATTTGGCTTGAAAACCAAAAGTGGCTATCGTTAGACCACTCCAGCATTTAAATGTGAATAAATCTTTTATGTCTCGCACCACCGCTCGTTGCCGTGATACTGGAAGCGTAGCCCGACGTCAAGGAAGTGGACGGAAGAAAACAGCAACATCAGCAAAAATGCTTCGAAAAGTAAAGAAGCGACTTGATCGAAACCCGAGTCGCAGTGGCCAAAAAATGGCTCGTGAGCTGAACATATCGCAATATTCCATTCGGCAAATATTAAAAAATGAGCTTGGGGTAAAGCCATTGAGATTCCAAAAAGTGCAAGAACTTACACCGCAACAGAAAGAAAATAGACTCAAAAGAGATAAAGAGTTGCTTCGCTTGGCCGAAAGTGGTGAACTGCCGAATTTGGTTTTCTCCGATGAGGAAACATTCGTTGTCCAGCAGTTTGTAAACAAACAAAATGATCGTGTTTACTTGCCAAAGAGGTCTGCTGAAAATGTGCACCTTCGGTTGGCCACCAAAACACAAGCGCCGATCGCCGGCAATGGTGATGGTGTGGGCCGCCAAAACAGCCGATGGTCGCTCTCCGCTCGTATTAATCGACCGTGGCGTCAGAATAAATGCCGAATATTGTCGGGAAAATATTCTGGAGGGTGGATTAAAGCCTTGGACACGCAAACATTTTGGCCGTAGACCTTGGACATTCCAACAGGAGACAGCACCATCGCGCTCAGTACGCGCCACCCTAGAATGGTTACAAAATGAGGTTCTTCGCTTCATTTCCAGCGCACAATGGCCACCAAAATCTCCGGATACCAATCCGTTGGATTATCGTGTCTGGAGTATTTTGGAAAGCAAGGTTGGCACTAAAAAATACCAAAGTGTCGATCACCTCAAGTAAGTCAAACGGGGAATGGACCAAAATACTTTAGAGCAATATTTGGGCAGCGTGTGACGGTTTCATTGGCCGTTTGAAGGCCATAATTCGTGCCAAAGGTGACCAATTCGAACAAATCTAAACATATTGTAAAATTTGATGCTCTTTCCGTATTTTTTGCTTTCATTCAATAAAATTTAAAAAAAGCGTAAAAATTATGGCGTTTGAGTTTGTTGCAGTTTTTTTTATCTCACCGTGTATTTTCGATATTCTCCAGTTTGCCCCAAATTGTCAACCCAATTGTCGGTTTGATTATAAGTCAAGTTTTCACATTGTGGAGGCAATCAAAAATTCGACCAACAAAACTAAACGTTGTTTACACTTGCTTATTATTCTTTCGCATTGAATTTAATTGAATTTAATGATTTTAAATGCTTTGTGCAATATGCGGAGTACTTTGCGTAGACTTATGGTGGACCAAAAGGACCTTTTGTTGTTAACGTGCTTTTAGACGATTCATTTTTTTCATTTATATCCAAAAAATGCCTTGGTATTAGATAGAGTTGCGATATATATCGGTTTTATACCTTCTGAGTTGTGAGGAAATATATTCAGTATTTTTATATGGGAAACTCTATTTTCGACACTAAAAGTTTCAAAGAAATGTCTCATAAATTCACTCAACCCACAACACACCCTTTAGGCAAACAAAATGACATTTTTCTGACAAGTACAAACACATTTCAGAAAAAAAAATTATTACAAATAACAATTTCACCTTAATCCAATTTCAATTGGAAATGGTGTTTGTTTTAGCGATATCCCCGGTAATCTTATCAACAATTGCCATAAATCGATCCGTTGCGGAAGAAGGAGACACAACCAGCAAACGCAACACACTAGCAGTGAAGAATAGTTCAGTTTAACACCATCAGCTGTATCACATTCGACTGGTCAAATACGCGTCGCCGTGGTGATGTTATGAACGTTGCATTTGTGGCGCATATAAAAAATTTAATTATTCAAATGTCGAAATTCGAGATTTATTCGCAAAACACTTTAGAACGCTTGTGGCCCATTCAGTGTACCATATTGGTGGCCTTAATAGCCATAGCATTGGCTCGCGTTGCACGTCAGCGATGTTGTTGGTGTTGTTCGCGGTCGTGGTGTAGTGTGTATATTTTGGAATTTCTAGTGATCTCAATACCAACTGTTTTAAGTGTAAATCTTCTGCATAAATATGTGGCACACATATTGTTGGGAGCAATACTTGCGCTGGCCTTGACTATTTGGCGTACAAAATGTTTACAGAAAGCATCGCGCAGAGAATTTGAATTTGGCCAACGGCCGGCACTTTTCACTCTACTCCGAACAAATGTTTATCTGCTAACAGTGCTGTGTATATTGGCTGTGGATTTTACAAGTTTCCCTCTAGTCTTTCGCAAACATCGAACATATGGTGCGGGACTTATGGATGTTGGTATTGGTCTGTTTGTTTTTGCAATGGCCCTGGTTTCGTCGAGACCCAAACGTTTTACAGATTTACGTAAAATGCTAATAACTGTGACGTGCATGCTGATATTGGGTATGGGTCGAACAATTGTAATTGCCATGATTGGTTATGGCCAGGATGAACATGAATATGGCAAACATTTGAATGCTTTCTTCACGTTGGGTTTCACGAAGTTGTTTGGTACTTTGTTTGGATTTTTGGCAAGATCTCATAAGCACTTGCTGCCACTTGGATTGGGTGAGTGATCAAGGACTTGTATTAGTATCGGTTTTATCCGGACTAACAAACATTTTTTCTTAGAAGTTTTATCAATTTTCCCTATAAAAAATAGATCTGCTTAATGAAGATAATAAAATAACAGCCATTGTGGTGGATATTCTTTGAAAAATCAGTCGATATTTTTTATGGGAATCTATCTATCTTCATAAAAATTGTTAGATCTTCTTCTTCCATAAAGGTGTTGACCTCCAAAGAATTTTGTGGATTTTCTTGGATTTTATAGGAGATGAGTTGGTTTTATTGAAAAATATCAATTTAATTTTTGAGTTATGATTAATTAACCTACAGTCAGTTGGAAAGGAGAAAGGAGAGAATCAGTTAAAATCCTTCGAAAAAATTGATGATGTTATTAGTGAACAGTAGCTGACCTTTGAAGAATAGAGAAGTTTATCTTAAAAAAAAAAAAATACAGTCAATCTTTTTGGCATTCAGTGGACCATCTTCAATAAATCAGCTGATTTAAAGAGGCCTGGTTAGAATAAAAGTTGTTCTTATTCGAATATTTATATTTTACAACCTCAGCCACATGACTACAGAGATATACAGGGTGAGATAAACAAAAAACTGCAACAAAGTCAGACGCCATAATTTTTACATTTTTTTTAGTTTAATTGAATAAACGCAAAAAATGTTCGGAAATAGTATCAAATTTTAGAATAAGTTTAGATTTGTCCGAACTGGTCACCTTTGGCACGAATTATGGCCTTCAAATGGCTAATGAAACCGTCACACGCTGCCCGAATGTTGCTCTGCGGTATTTTGGTCCATTCCCGGCGAAGCGCTGGCTTGAGGTGATCGAAGTTTTTGTATTTTTTGGTGTCAACCTTGCTTTCCAAAATACTCCAGACACAACAGTCCAACGGATTGGTATCCGGAGATTTTGGTGGCCATTGGCGCTGGAAATGAAGCGAGGAACTTCATTTTGTAACCATTCTTAGGTGGTGCGTGCTGAGTCCTGTTGGAATGTCCGAGGTCTGCGGCCAAAATGTTTGCGTGCCCAAGGTTTTAATACACCCTCCAGAATATTTTCGCGATAATATTCGGCAATTATTCTTATACCACGGTCTATTAATACGAACGGAAAGCGACCATCGGCTGTTGTGGCGGCCAACACCATCACCATGGCCAGCGCTTCAGTTCTGGTGGCCAACCGAAGGTGCACATTTTCAGCTGACCTCTTTGGCAAGTAAACACGATCATTTTGTTTGTTTACAAACTGTTGGACAACGAATGTTTTCTCATCGGAGAAAACCAAATTCGGCAGTTCAGCACTTTCGGCTAAGCGAAGCACCTTTTTAGCTCTTTTGAGTCTATTTTCGTCCTGTTGCGGTGTAAGTTCGTTCACTTTTTGGAATTTCAATGGCTTTACCCCCAGCTCATTTTTCAATATTTGCCGAATGGAATATTGCGATATGTTCAGCTCACGAGCCATTTTTTCTGCCACTGTGACGCGGGTTTCGATCAAGTAGCTTTTTTAATTTTCGAACCATTTCTGCTGATGTTGCTGTTTTCTTCCGTCCACTTCCTTGACTTCGGGCTACGCTACCAGTATCACGGCAACGAGAGATGATATGAGACACAAAAGATTTATTCCCATTTAAATGATGGACTGCTCCAACGGTAGCCAATTGTGGTTTCCCAGCCAAATATAAAGAAATCACACTATCATGCTTGAATTCCATCACGAATAACTATTTTTCTGGAAGATTCTCACCAAAATGCCTTTGTACGCTTGTAAACAATATAATGAGCTGTCACTGAAATAAATTTTAACAGCTGTCGGACGAGTGGCAGCAGTCTGAAGTTGGTTGCAGTTTTCTCATCTCACCCTGTATATTATATAATTTTTTGTAATTATATAATTTTTTATATTCTCCTTGATCGTCGATAATTTTATACAGTTATTTTGAAAATGTATGATTTTTCGTTCAGAATTTATTTATAGAAAATCTCCCAATTGTAATATACTTCCTTTGCAAAATTATATATTTTAATTCTCCACATGTTTTCCTTCTCTTTCCAGTTATATTGATAATACACGAAGTCACGCTGCAGTGTGGCATAGCCTCATTTGTATTGGATCCCTTCGATCGAACCGATCTGCTAACTGCCAATCGTGAGGGTATCTGTTCATTGCCTGGTTTTATTGCCCTCTATTTGCTATCGCAGTACATTGGACAATGGATCAAATCGAAAGATGTCTTGAGCTTTGAAGAAATTAAACAAAAATTAATTCATCTCTCATGTTGCGGTGCAGTTCTATGGCTTGTTGTGATAAGCAGCGTTATGGTGATTGGCATTGCTCGGGTCACCTGTAATTTTGGCTACGTGACATGGATGCTGGCCATTGCTGTGACCATGTGTGCCTTATATTTATTTGTATTCGATATAGTATTAGATACCTTATTACCGGTTAATAAGGAGGATCACATTTTGGAGCTAACAAATCCTTCGGAAAAGGGTTTACTTGGAAATGCAGCGAGTGCTGCAACCATTTCAAAAATTCCCACCCTAGTAGAAGCCATAAATTATAATGGCTTGGTGTATTTCTTGTTGGGCAATGTTTTGACGGGTGCTGTGAATATCTTTCTCAATACCGACGAAAGAAGTAACACAGAAAGTGTGGTCATCCTTATGGGTTATATGTTTCTGACCAGTCTTGTTGTTAGTTTAATGTATCGTTTTAAAATAAGAATAGCATAGGTAGAGTAATTATTATAAATAGCAACAAAAAACAACAACAACTATTGTACCTATTGTGATTCATAACAGACTATGTGTTTATGTAGTGTAAGTTCCCATGTACTACGCTATGCCCATGTTTTTTGGATATTTATTTATGTTTGCTTAGTGATAAGATTACATGACCAAAATTTGGTGGTCTATGATGTTGTGGTATTTTTTTTATAAATAAAATGTCAATGATTTTGTAGTGGAATTTGTTGTAAATTTTCGTAGTGCGTCAATAATTACCCTATAGAACACAAAAAAATAATTAAGGGGAAAATCCAGCAGATTTTGAAAGTAAAGCTAAAATTGGAAGACAAATGTTTCGGCGTTTTGAAAGTTTACAGAGCAAAGTAACCCACATTTTTATACCCTACAACACTATTTGTTGGGGGTACTATAAGTTTGATTAGGCCAACAATTATGTAAAACCTCGAAATATTGGTTTCCCACATAGGAAAGTATATATGGACCTTCCTTTCTCGCCTAGCTGAGTCGATCTCGCTATGTATGTACGTCATCTTCATGAAATTTAGAATGTAGGTGGGGATATAGCCAGAATAGAAAAATATTGCTTTTGGAGATGTTTACATAATATTTAGGGGTTGAAATGGACCAAAAACTGAAAATTTTCCTGATTTTGCAGTTGCTCTACAGATCGCAATTATAGACCAATCGACGCGGAAGTTAGCATGGGACTAGAGCTTAGGGCTGGGCAGAAGTTTTCCAATTTGGATGGTCATCGGATTATATTTAGTGGTTGAAATAGACCATAAAATTTGTGTTAACGAAAAGTCACATTTTCCATTAATCCCGGCGAAACGTAGATACCGATAGTAAATAAATAGATATATATATATATATATATATATATATATATATATATATATATATATATATATATATATATATATGTATATATATCTATGTATATATATATATATATATATATATATATATATATATATATATATATATATATATATATATATATATATATATATATATATATATTTATATATATATATATATATATTTATATTCATATTTATATATATATATATATATATTTATATATATATATATATAGAAATATATACAATGTGTATATACAAAGGAAGGAATGTTACCTAGGATGCTTATATCTCAAGAATGGCTGAGCCGATTTTGACGAATTTTGTTAATTTACAATGCCCCCTTGTCATAAAACGATAAAATCTAAAAAAATCGCATAAAAAGTCCCAATAATGCGTTAATACAGATTCTGTAGTATTTTGTTCTATTTTTTCAATTTTTTTCAATTATCGTCCGATGCTCACGAAAATTTTCACAAGGATAGGTTTAGGCTCAGAAGGGCTAGACCTATTGTTTTTAAAGATGTCCGCAATATATTTAGTGGTTGAAATGGACCAACAACTAAACATGTTCCTGATTTTGCAGCCGTTATAAAGGACACAAATAGAAACCAAAGGACACGAAATCTCGCATGAAGTTAGATATTAGGACAGCGGGTAGATGGACCACTACTTTTGTGTGAAAAAATACCAAACATTACTTACAGATGATATCCAAAATAGACAAATGCTGATTTCGTTGACGAATATAGCCAAATATCGTAGACAAGCAAATCATATAGATGAGTCTAAATTTAGAGATATAGAGTACCCTCTTGCTTTTGGAGATGATCGAAAAATTTTTAGAGGTTCAAATTATCCAAATTATGAAAAATATTCCTGATCACACAATTGAAACCAATCGAAATGGAATTTGGTATGAGAAGAGAGTCAGAGACAGGGAATAGTTCTAGCATTTTGGATGACCAGTGGATTATATTTAGCTATAAAATGGTCCACAACAACTTAAGAGCACGACGGAGTGCGTAAATATTGGGCAAATGTCCCTGGTCAAAATGCTACAGGTAAAATCTGGGCAGTGTTCCGTGACATCATTTCAAAAGCGAAATCTTCCAAAATGGATTTGGACATAAGGGAGCTTCTAAAATATTGTAGTGTTGTAGGGTATCACATGGTTGTTTGTTAAAATATAGAGGCAAATAGAGGTTTCTATTATTTGGTGACTTATAGCAAAATGTGATGAAGAATATTTTTTTCTTTGACGTAATGCTTTTAAAATGATGCTTTGTTGGAGATTTTAGCAGAAACTCGCACAAAGTACGTCTTCAATCCTAAAATGTGTTTTTAATATATATGTATACATTTCTGATTAGGTACCCTTTAGACATTTGGCATCTCCTGGGATCTATGGTAAAATTGTAAGACAAAAAATTTTGTAGAATATATAACGTATTCGCATGAACCCCATATAACAATATCCCCCTATATTCGGTATTTTGATAATTTTTGCGGCATTATTTACCGGAATTGTTTCAAATTTCGTATATGGAGTTCGAAATCGGTACTACAGCCTATCACTGAAAATTACCCATGCAGGATCATGTCTACGTATGGCCCCCATATAACGATACCTCCCTACATTCGGTATTTTAATGATTTTAGCGGCATTATTCACCGGAATTGTTTCAAATTTCGAAATTTAAAGATCGTAATGGGTTCTGCAGCCTATGACTGAAAATTGCCTATGCAGGTTCAAGTCACCGTATGGCCCCCCATATTACGGTACTTGCCGATATTCGGTATTTTGATGATTTTAGCGGCATTATTCACCGGAATTGTTTCAAATTTCGTATTTAAAGATTGTAGCCTATAACTGAAAATTGTCTGTGTCTACGTATAGCCTCAATGGGGTTTCATTTGAGAGGTATTTTTCTACGGATATTTTTTTTAAATTTTCATGTTCCTTCAAAATGGTGGAGGGTATTTAAAGTTTGGCCCGGCCGAAGTTAGATGCTATTTTACTTGTTTTAGTCCTACTTTTATAATCTGCAGGATTTCCTCCGTAATTATTGGAAAAAAAAATTGAATTTTGTCCCACAAAAACACATATCCTGATCAAAATTTTTTAACAGTGATGTTAGAATAATTTAGCAGCACAAACAAAGGGAATTTAATTGACATACAATTTATCTCAAATATCATTGATATCCATATCTCAGCTACATTAGGAAGATTAACAGGAATCGGAGTTCATGATATGTTTCGATTGTTACGTTTTTTTTAAAGGGCATGAACAACCCCCAACCTTGTTGGGAATAAAAAAAAAACTGAATTTATTTTTTACTCCCCTAGCCTTTTAAATCACCGCAAAAAGTAACTTTTCATTTCACATGTCGTCATGCTCCATTGTGTCAATATGTCATCAAAAGACCGAAACGGGAATCATTTATTTTTCCTGCAATTATTTCGTTTTTTTGGAACTGGGATGAAGTTGTTGTTGAAACTTTTAAAGTAATAAATTCGAAAGCGGACAAATTAAGCAATAAAATATTGATTTAATGGATGAAAAGTGATTGTTTTAAAAAGAGGAGATTCAGGAACGTCCAAAGGGTCCTTGACGACCTTTGGAAGGCGTTTCAAAGTAGAAAAACTTAATATCTATATTTTATAGATATCTACATTCTTAGAAGTCTTTCCTTTGCCTATGGCAGAGGAGATCTTTACAAGGGTCTTTTATTTATAGAAGACTTAAGGAAAGTCTTCTATCAATAGAAGACTTAAAGAAGGTCTCGCATCTACAGACAACCTTAAATATAGGGTGAGATAAAAGAGCTGCAACAAAGTCAAACGCCATAATTTTTATATACATATTTTTTTAAATTTTATTGAATGAATGAAATAATGTCGATATAGCATCAAATTTTAGAGTAAGTTTTAATTTGTTCGAATTGGTCGCCATTGGCACGAATTTTGGCCTTCAAACGGCCAATGAAACTGTCACACACTGCCCGAATGTTGCTCTGCGGCATTTATTCTGATGCCACGGTCGATTAATACGAGCGGAGAGCGACCATCGGCTGTTATGGCGGCCCACACCATCACTATGGCCGGCGCTTGGGTTCTGGTGGCTAACCGAAGGTACACATTTTCAGCTGACCTCTTTAGCAAATAAACAAACTGCTGGACAACGAATGTATTCTCATCGGACAAAGCCAAATTCGACAGTTCACCACTTTCGGCCAAGCGAAGCAACTCTTCAGCTCTTTTGAGTCTATTTTCTTTCTGCGGCGGTGTGAGTTCTCGTATTTTTTGGAATTTCAATGGCTCTACCTTGAGCTCATTTTTCAATATTTGCCGAATGGAATATTGCGATATGTTCAGCTCACGAGCCATTTTAAGGCCACTGCGACGCGTGTTCCGATGAAGTCGCTTCTTTACTTTTCGTACAATTTCTGCTGATGTTGCTGTTTTCTTCCGTCCACTTCCTTGACGGCGGACTACACTACAAGTATCACCGTAACGAGCGATGGTACGAGACACAAAATATTTAAATGATAGCCACATGTGGTTTCCCAGCCAAACATAAAGAAATCACACTATCACGCTTGAATTCCATCACGAATAACTTTTTTTCTGGAAAATTCTCACCAAAATGCTTTTGTACGCTTGTAAGCAATATAATGAGCTATCACTGGAATAATTTTAACAGCTGTCGGACGAGTGGCTTAAAAATGACAGCAGTCTGAACTTGGTTGCAGTTTTTTCATCTCACCCTGTAAAAAGGACCCTTTGAAGATTTTCTGTCGATAGCAGAGTATTTACCAAACAACGAACTTGAACTTTAATGTCCTTGGAAAAAATAGCACTATAGCAACCCCACCACCCCCTCCATTGACCCCCGTTATCATCGGATATTTAATAGATTATCGGCATTAAACTTCTGCTTCTGTTTTGTTTCTCTCGTTGCCATTATTTTATTGTGATTCTGTTTTCATGTGAGATTTACAGCCAATAGATAAAAATTCTATTAAGAAAATGAAGACAACAATGCACAGACAAAATGGGAGAAAATCCCAAAAAAGAAGAAAACTAGCCTCCATAGCCTTTGGCTGTGCCATTGTTTGAAAATGTCCACCAAGGCAAACAAACGAATGAAGAAGCAAAAGGTTAAGATGCTTAACACCGGAAATCATCAGGAAAAAATGAGGAGATTTCATTTATCTCATCTTTTGAAGAAACACAAACAAACAAGAGATCAAGGGAGGGGAGGGGAGGGTGAGATGAGGAAATAATATTAAGGGAGGTTTATGTCACCACTCAGGGTGGGGAGGTTAAAAGGTGTGAAAACTAACGAGTAATTGCCTTTAAATGCACTGCGGAAAAAAGTGGAAAATTCTCCCCCAAAAAAGTGGACATTAAGAAGAAGAGATAAAGAGAAGTTAATCACTCTTTTTTCCGCATTGGGACTTTTTTCTTCTTCTGTAATTACAGCTAAAATCTATTGACAGATGACAAACAATCGGAGATTTTATTAGACAAAGGGGGAAATTAAGGAAATATGTTTGAAGGTTGATAACAAGAAAAAATAATGAAATAAAAAGGATTAAAATCAAGGAAGACTGGGACTACTTTATAAGTTCGATGGGAGGTTTTCGATAAGACGTCAAAGTTATTTTCGTCCACCCATTTACCCGTGGACCTATATATACAATGTTCCGCCATTGTAGCTAGAACCCAGTATGACCTACAAATACAAATTTTTGGACAAATCCGTGAAAAAATGTGGAAAAAATTATAAAAATAACGAATATCCGGAGGTGCCATTATATGGGGGCTATACAAAACGTGGATCTCAATATACAATGTTTCGTCACTGGAGCTTGAACACATTATGACCTACAAATAACAATTTTTAGAAAATATCGAATATCCGGAGGTACCGTTATATGGCGATATATACAAATTGTTCTGCCGAATTTTGAAGCCGGAAATAATGTGGGCTGTATCGCGATTTCAACCGACAGATGGATATCGTTCAATCGACTTAGAATTTAATGATATCGGACGCCCAATATATATATTGGGCAACTGCGAATTAAATAAGCAGCCGCGAACAGCTCAGCTTTTTCCATGGTGGGAGTCTTGAACCAAATATCCTAAGTCTCGACGAGGGAGTAACAGGCTTAACTGCAAGTCAATACCATGGTATGGAGGCTATGCCATGGCGGACAGCTTCTCCTCCGCCGTCCAAACAAAAAATTTGGAGAACACTAAAGAAATACAAACAAGCACAACCATTAACAACCAAAATCGGAAGAATCAACAACAGCAAGACAAAGGACATGATTTTGAACAGGAACATGTATTTGCTGGTTCGAAGGTTTGTTGCTTTGAGTCAATCCAGTACATAGAACCGGCCGCCGTGGGATTGTAGGAACAATATTCTCAAGTCTCTGGCCTGCAGCACTTGGGGAACAGATAAGGAAACCTTGTTGACCTCTTACAACGCGATAAACTATGGTAAACAATATGGCTCTGGTGTGGTCCGCCAACGTTAGTGCTACGCAGTGGAAACATATTCAGTCCTGCCAGAATGCCGCCCTTAGAACCGCAACAGAGTGCCTCCTCATGACACCTGTCGACCACCTACATGAGGAGGCGAAGGTCTTACGGTGCGACAGCAAAATAAAATGCTGTCAATGCGATACCTGCTTGGGTGTTACAGTCAGAGCCATCAGAATCTCCATCTGGTGGATAGGCAACCTCCGCCCAGACATGTAAGGAAAGACATCCATGAGCCTATATATCAACAGGCCTATCAAGCGAGACTTAATAATATTCACTCTAACGCGGTCTCAGAAGTCATGGAAGGATATAGAGTGTATACTGCACTAGAAGGCCATCCCCCTCCCATCGTAGCTGAAGAGCGATAAGTCCGAGTAGTTTTGGCTCAGTTAAGATCCGGATGGTGCAGCCGCTTCAATTCCTATTAGGCCCGGATTGACAACGATGTGCTGCACCTATTTCGCTGCTCAGCGAAACGTATTCACCTAACTCCAGTTTCGTTGTGGATCCAACCCGTACAGGTTGCTTTCTTTTTGAGACTGAATCTAGAAGCAGAACCCGATTGAGAGACGAACACAGCAGTATGAGCTGCTACAACAAAATGATTTTGAATTCGGGCGGGGCGAACCGTTGTTTTATGACAGCAAAGTGAATAGTTGTCCACCCTCTTGAAAAAAAGAGGTGTTCCCTCTGGTTTTGGGAACGACATACCTCTATCTGATGAGGAACTTGACGTCAGAGTCATCTCCTGGAGATGAGGATGACCCAGAAAACCGCAGGGTGAGGTTACACTTCATTGAAATCCAGGAAACCGCATATTTATATTAATAAGGTGCCTGGCCTAGGGAGAGAGCGGGTCGTCTGATATGGTAAGCACATGTATCTTCGCTAAGAAGAACTTAAACCTAATCTTCCTAGGTAATTTCAGCGGAGAAGATATCACTGCGGCGATATCAAGTAGGTGATGCTAGCCAGTCTGGTGGTCCAAACTTTTAGTCAACCAAGGAGGGATAGCAGACAATTGCATAATAGGGCCAGCAAGACCATACAACGTACGGACGGGAGAGCCTATAAGGCCGTCTTTAACAAGTTCAATAGTGAGATCAAAAACGCCAAGCGTAAGTCATGTGTCTGCTTCGCTGAGTCAATAGAGAACGTCAACGATGCTGCCAGATTCCGTAAAGTCCTTTCAAAGGATCCTAAATCCTTAGGAATTATAAGTGGAGAGGTCAATGCTAGTGACTACATATCAAAAACGGTTGGACTTCGAACCACTCGACATCCACATACTTGGCAGGAAATTCTGGACAATCCACCTTTATGCGGAATAGCTCTCTATAATGATAGTTCTAAAATGGAATATGGGACAGGAGCTGGGATCTTCTGTGATATATTTTATAAAATCCTACAATTTTGGCAACGACTGTAGTCTATTCCAGGCGAAAATTTTTGCGATCAAAAAAGGCATAGACCTATAGGCAAACAGGAACGGTAAGATAACAGTTCCGTGATTATATACGACGATAGTCAAGCGACATTGAAGACTTAGGGTGCAAATACATAAAAAGCTTGAAGTCATGGCTAGGCATAATAATGCCAAATTATAATGGAAAACGACGGCAGGATTTTAGTGCGGCTCTGTAATTCCTTTGTGAAATGTCACGAAATAGGCCGTGCCATGACTTCAAGCTTCTTATGTACTTAGCCCTTTAGAATTCTTTCGCCATTAAATCCTGTTGTAAAAAACTTTTTTCAAAATTATTCATTAGACACCTCATTGTAAAAATTTATGTTTACAAATCCATTGTATACACACAAATCAGAGGTGGGAACCTATTTTCTATGCAGTAAAAATTCACAAGGTAAATTACAGAAAATGCAGAGATGGATAATACTTTTTGAATTGACTTTACCTTCTTAATTTTACCATGATTAAATCTATGGCAGTTTTGGAGTGCAGAAAAGCCTTGGAAAGAAGGTCTTACTGTCAAAGGCCGCATTTCATTGTTTGTACTCCCATCTCTGACGCAGAAAATGTAAAATAAAAGGAAACAATAATAAATGTATTATTTTGGTTTTAATATTTGCAAAAAATATAAAATTTTACAATAGTCCTCCGAATGGATGGAGTTTGCAATAATAATTATAACATCAATCGCAAATCAAAATTATCTGTGCCAAAATGCCGTGTAAATCGAGCAAAGCCTTTGACAAGACTTCGAAAAATACCAGCCCTAAATACATTTGGACCATTTCCCGATGAAACCATTACAATAACCATGGATCGCATTTTATATTTCTTGGGTGGTCGTAAAATGCAAAAGTTCTTTCATACCGAATCGACGAGTGACAGCAGTGGGAGGAGTCAGTGTTCCATGAGAAGTGTGTGCTATAAAGCCTTCCCGAAATTTTACACGAAAAGCCATCAAACATCTGTGGAATCATTCTATTCATCCAGCAATGTTTGGGAGTCTGGCGATCAAAATAATTTTCCGAAAATTAATATTTGTCCCATTGATCGCGGAAAATCAACACCCAGAATAATTTTGCAAGAATCACCTCGAGACGATGACAGCTGTCTCCGGAAATCGATGCAAAGTTTAAAGCGTTCATTTTCTCTGTGTTCCTTGGCATGCCGTAAGATAAAAGAAAAGATGTTGATGGGTAGAGAACCATCTTCGCCACCAAAATGGTTGTGGACCAAGTTGCAGGATTATGGTGATGGCTGTCATGTATATGAAGTCTTTACCAATTCTTCGACTAGTAGCCATCCCACACAATTTGAAACGGAGAAGGCTCCTCGCATAATTTTTGTAATTTTACCCACGGGCGTAATTATGCCATTTGAGACATTGATTCGTCATTGAGGTGTTAAAAAAAAAAACAATGAATTGGAATACGCAGTTGTTTTTGTATTTTTGGAAATATTTTTGAATCTACCTATAGAAGACTTATAAAAGTTATTAAATTTGTAAAAATTTGGAATCTCAGTATACTTATATATTTAGTGGAAACCATTTAATAAGCAATCATAGGCAATCAGCGGCCCAGTGAAAGTGTTTAAAAGAAACGATTAAGTATCAAACGTATTTTGAATGGAGAGGCGAATGAGTGGTGCCTAAATTATTAAAATGTATTTATTTTTGTTCCCTAACCTCAAAAAGTGATTACTTTGCCATTTGTGTACTTCATACATACAAATCTCTAGAATGACGAGGAGAATGAGTGGCGCCCAAATGACCAGTTATACAAACTTTTGCCTCCAACCCCCAATACTAACAATAGTATATTAGTATAGTATATTATGTGATCACACCCAGATTAAGGAATGTATTTGTAACCGTAACACCTGGACACGGTGTAGAAAAAATGGGTAGTGCGAGTTAGCGCACATATTTTTATATGGACGAGGCAAATGAATATGGCTACAAATATAACGGTTTTACAAGCTTTTTGATTCCAATCTCAACAGTTATGTGACCATATTCCTATCAGCGTTGTTCCTGTTTAAAGTTAGGGAAAACTCGGACGGAGCTTTGCTGAAACATGATCGTCTCAAAAAAAATGTACGCTTTGTGGGCTGCCCAATATATACAGGGTGAGATGATAAAACTTCAATCAACTTCAGACTGCTGTCATTTCTAAGTCACTCGTCCGACAGCTGTTAAAATTATTCCAGTGATAGCTCATTATATTGTTTGCGAGCGTACAAAAGCTTTTTGGTGAGAATTTACCAGAAAAGTAGTAATTCGTGATGAAATTCAAGCGTGATAGTGTGATTTCTTTATATTTGGCTGTAAAACCACAAGTGGCTATCGTTAGAGCACTACAGTATTTAAATGTGAATAAATCTTTTGTGTCTCGTACCATCGCTCATTTCCGTGGACGGAAAAAAACAGCAACATCAGCAGAAATGGTTCGAAAAGTAAAAAAGCGATTTGATCGAAATCCGCTTGATCGTGGATCGTGACCAGAACATATCGCAATATTCCATTAGACAAATATTGAAAAATGAGCTCGGGGTAAATCCATTGAAATTCAAAAAAGTGTAAGAACTTACACCGCAACAGAAAGAAAATAGACTCAAAAGAGCTAAAGAGTTGCTTCGCTTGGCTGAAAGTGGTGAACTGCCGAATTTGGTTTTCTCCGATGAGGAAACATTCGTTGTCCAGCAGTTTGTAAACAAACAAAATGAACTCAAGCGCCGGCCATGGTGATAGTGTGGGCTGCCATAACAGCCGATGGTCGCTCTCCGCTCCTATTAATCGAACAATGGATCAGAATAAATGCAGGATACTATCGCGAAAATATTCTAGAGGGTGTATTAAAGCCTCGGGGACGCAAACATTTTTACCGCAGACCTTGGACATGTCAACAGGAATCAGCACCATCGCACTCAGCACGCGCCACCCAAGAATGGTTACAAATGAGGTTCCTCGCTTCATTTCAATCATTTCCAGCGCACAATGGCCACCAAAATCTCCGGATACCAATCCGTTGGACTATTGTGGCTGGAGTATTTTGGACAGCAAGGTTGGCACTAAGAAATACCAAAGTATCGATCACCTCAAGCAAACACTTCGCCGGGAATGGGACAAAATACCGCAGAGAAACATTCGGGCAGCGTGTGACGGTTTCATTGGCCGTTTGAGGCCATAATTCGTGAGAGGAAACTTTTACCAGAGAGGAAACTTATAGCCAGTGACCATTACGTTGGGGGTTCTACAAAGGGGGTTTCATCCATAGATAACTTTTAGGATGTCTTTACTGATATTCAAAAGATTTTGTATCCATAAAATCCTTTTTTAATGTCTTCGAACCGAAGAGGTCAATATCCTTGTAACCTTCCGTTCATAGAACCCCTTTTGAAGAAGAAGGCCGTATGCTCATAGAAGATCCACTGTTTGTTAGAAGTGGTTTTGAAGATCTTACATCCATAGGGGGTATCCCGTAGAGAACCTTCTATTTTTACAAAGATGTTTAGAAGGTTTTTCACTTATAGAAGTCTTTAAGGTGGTCTTCTACACATGGAGGGTCTTTTGAAAATCTTTCATTCATAGAATAACATTGTAAGATTCTGTGTCGACCCTGTGAACACCTTCAGGAGTTTCTTTATCTATGTCCATAAAAGGGCTTGTGACCACATAGACCTTTAACGTTCATATAATAAAATATTATATTCTTATTTGTATGGAATTCATGCCTTATTCAGTATCTAATGGATCCAAGGTTAAATAATAGCCCTTTCCATTCAAAACTTTGATTTCTCGAACAACAACAACAAGCACACTTCGCTTTTTTGTGGGACAACAAAAGCAGCCATAAAAACGACATCTACTTTTATACTCCAAAAAAAAAAAAAAAAAAAAAAAAAACAATCTTATCTTGATTTTGGAATAAAATTAAATTTCCTGTGCAATTTCTGGTACATCCTACCAGCATTCATTTATTAAAGGCAACGCACGAACACTCACACATGGATACCCACGTTCATATATCAAGCACCAAGTAACCCTTTTCTGTACAGAAATCAGTCAAAGTGTGTGTGTCTGGTGTTGTTGTTTTTGCTATCGTTTAACAAAGTGACGATTTATATTGAGTTAATAGTTAAAGTCACTGAATGCTACCGGCAACAAAAGCAACAAAAATAATCATATTCATTAGCTAGTGTCCTCCCCTCCCACAAGGGTGGCCTTTTTTCCATCAATTCCCACACAAAAAATTCTTCGGCTGGGGTGGCAAAACAGAGAGAGAGAAAGCGTTGTACATTTATTAACCGAACGCCCACCTGTTTCCATGCCATGGCAAAGAAGTCATTAGCAAACAACCCCCTGTGTGTTTGGGATTTTTTTTCCAAGGGCGTAGTTAAAAAAAAGGGGTTGTAATGGGGGTTACAGAAAATTTTGCCAATATTCTCAAAGAAATTAAAAAAAGATTTGGAAATTAAAAAAGAAAACAATTGGTAGAGGAAAGTTCTTGTAATAATATTTTTTCTACGCCCCTGCTTTTTTGTTATAAAAACTCTACCGAGTAGATTGAAGTTTCATAAACGCTAAATATGTTTGTAGAAATGTTTATATGCGGATGGGTCTATTCTGCCTGGCCATTGTTGATGGCTTCCCTTTTGATGATAGATTATATTCATTACCACGCTGGGCATTCCTGGCCATAGTCGTTGCAAAATGTTTGATGTGTGAGCGTTTTCTTTGGTTAAATTGTCGTTTCGGAGAAAAAAAAAACAGTTTTGAGCGTCTTTTTTGATAAATGATAATTATTTGGTAGTCAGTGAGTGGGGTACCAGCAGGAAATAATTCTTTGATAATAACTTTTACAAAAGGACCTTTTATGTGAAATTTAGTAACGTGAGATTATTTTTCCAACAGTGGTCTCAGGGATAAAAATCAACGGTTTTGGTTTCAATGGGTCTTGAAAAATAGTCCTTAAAAATCACTGATTTTTGGCACCCGTGAACATTTTTCTTTAAAACTCACTGATTTTTGGAACCAATAGTCCTTAAAAATCTCTAATTTTTGATTTCAATAGCCCTTGAAAAACATCAAAATCCTATCAAAATCCATTTCTTTTCGCATCAATAGTCCTGAAAAATATTCCTTGAAAATTGCTTATATTTGGCATCAATAGTCCTAGAAAAATATTCTTAAAAATTCCTGTTTTTTGGCATCAATATGTAGTCCTTGAAAAATATTCTTTGACAAATCTCTATTTTTTGACACCGTATCCCTTGAAAAAAACATTCTTTGAAAATCTCTGATTTTTGGCATCAGTAGTTCTTGGAAAATATTCTTTGAAATTTTCAGATTTTTAGCATCAATAGTCCTTGAAAATTATATCCTTTTAAAACTTCTTATTTTTGGTATCAATAGTCCTGAAAAAAATATTCCTTGAAAATTGCTTATATTTGGCATCAATAGTCCTTGAAGAATATTCTTACAAATGCTCTTAAAAATCTCTTATACTTGGCATCAATTGTCTTTAAAAAATATTCTTATTCTCGATTTTTGGCATTAATAGTCCTTGACAAGACATTACATAAAAGTCTGTTTTTGTCATCAATACTCCTTTAAAAATATTATTTGAAATTCTCCTATTTTTGGCATTTATAGTCCTTGAAAATTATATCACTTCAAAACTTCTGATTTTTGGTATCAATAGTCCTGAAAAATATTGATTGCAAATTTCTTATATTTGGCACCAATAGTCCTTGAGAAATATTCTTTAAAGATCTCTGATTTTTTTGGCCTCAATTGTCCTTGAAAATATTCTTTAAAAATCACTGATTTTAGGTACCAATGATCGGTGAAAAATATTTTTTATAAACTTCTGATTTTTAGCATCAATAGTCCTCGATAATTATATCCTTTAAAAACCCCCGGTTTTTTGGTTTTTATAGTCCTTAAATAAAATTCTTTAAATGATCCTCGTTTTCGGCTTTAAATGTCCATTAAAAATCCAGGTTTGTTGTTTCAATTATCCTTGGAAAAATATTTTTTAATTAATCCACCATGATGGCTTCAAATACCCTTAAAAATATTTTTAAGAAAATCCACATTTGGGATTTAAATTGTTCTTGAAAAATATTCTTTAAAAAGTTCATGTTTGTTGCTTCATCTGCCCTTGAAAATGTCATTTAAAAATCCATGTTTTTGGCTTCTTCTGTCCTTCAAAACGTCCCTTTTAAAATCCACGTTTCAGGCTTCAATCGACGTTTGTGATTTGTGGTTTCAAAGAAATGTCTTCGAGAAATATCCTTTTAAACATTTTTGTAGCTGGGTTAGTCCTTGAAAATTGTTTATCTATACATAGGTCTGTAACCACTGTCTCAAATTAATTACTGTCTTTGCGACTTCGACTTTCAACTTCCCACAGATATCAGGTATTGTGTAAAAACATGATAGCAATCATTAACAACATGTATTCCCCCTTATTAACCATAAATTTGTTCATAAACAGTGATAATGGAAATGGATGGGGGTT